AAAAAATGGTTATACCAATTATATGAACATATTTTTATATTTGGTCTTTTCAGTATTTCCTTAAATCCGGTGAGGGTGAACGAGCAGCGAGCATCTTAGAGGATCATATCAAATCCCATTCATCTGAAGTGGGGCACGATATCTTGGATTTACTGGCTTCTGTTTTCATGCAAATTAATGCGCATGATAGAGCTCTTAAGTATATTCACGATGTGCGCCAGATTTACAATGCCGGAAAAGAACTGTCTTCCAGCTTGAAAATCAGACAAGCCATCTGTCATGTTCACCTTGAAGAAATGGAGCAGGCAGAGGTTTGTATATCTATATTATAAAACTACTAATCGTGATCTCAGTAATTGCTTTAAAGCTATACCCTCTTCTGTTCTAGTAATAGATCGATAAGCCACAACATTTGTCCCAAATTTTGGGTTGCCTGGAACCCATATCTTCTGCTTTTAATGATCCAGAGTTGCAATCCTTGTTTTGTTTGAAACCTGAGGGTTGGCAAACAAAAAAAAAAGAGAATAATCATTGCAATAGGTCCTTATCATTTATCGGTATTTGTATCCTTCTCAAATTCCATGTTTCACATCTTTCCACCATATGAACTATGTCAGTTCTCTTATGCTATAACTTTTAATGTGATTTACAGCCTGTTCGATGTCTGTTTCTGTGATTTTGTACCTGCCTATATAATTTACTTTGTTGCTGTCAAATGTTATGTACCTATTCTTGTGAATGATGCTGCTTCTCTGATCTGCAGAGCGTGTTAAGTATTCTACCACAGGAGGCTGTATCTGAACATCCAGAGCTCATTACCAATTTGGCTGATGAGCTAACAAACATTGGGAATTTCCACTCTGCTCTCAAATACTATTTAGAAGCAATCAGTGAACCTGTGAATGTAAGTAAGGAGATCACCAGTTCTGCTCTATTGTTTCCTCTCTTAGAACTTTTGCTTCACCCTTTTGATAACTAGTATTGTGGTTTTCCTTGTAGAATGGCTATTTGTTTGTGAAAATTGCTCGCTGTTATATGTCATTGGCAGAACGAGAACAGGCCATTGTTTTCTATTATAAAGGTACTTTCATATTTTCACTGAGTAAGAGATTGATTTAGTTGTTGTGTATATGTGTTTTCTAGAATGAAAGAGCTCGTAGATACTTATGCTCTATCTTTAGCCCTCTCTTTTCAAGAGTAGAAGGATTGAACAATTTCACTATAAACATGGGATGTTATGAGGTCTCAAAACTCAATCTTTTATGATTTTCTATGTCTTGCAAATTGAAAATGGTATCGTTTATAGTCTTTTCGGTTTCTTATTAGTTTTTATTCGATCTGTTGCTAATTGAAATTTCCCGCAGCTCTGAATGAACTCAGTGATACGGTTGATATTCGCATAACTCTGGCTTCACTCCTCCTGGAAGATGGCAAACGAGATGAAGCTGTATTAGTGCTTTCTCCTCCGGAAAATCCAGGTCAGTAGAGAAAATTGTAATCTCTTTTCTGCCATATTGTCTGAGCGAGTGCATATTTTACCTAAGATTTGGTCCTCATGGTACATTACTTTATTAAACAGCACTTTGACAGCTTTGATGCGAAATTTTTAAGTAATGACTGTGTTACTTTTTCAGTGTTGAATTTTCCCTCTGCTTTTTCTTCCAAATGTTAGTTATGTTATTTGCATCCAATTGTGTTGCTGTGTTGAGCCATATGTTATAAGATTGCTAACTACAGTTTTTTTCTCTAAGTGTAGATCCTGATACTGCTAAACTGAAGGCATGGTGGAAAAACAGAAAGATCAGGATGAATCTTTGTCAGATCTATCATTCAGAGGGAATGCTTGAGGACTTCGCCAATACAGCACTGCAGTTGGTACTTAAGTGGGTTTGGCGGCGGACGGTAATATCCCTATATCTTAAGTGGTTTGGAATGTGTTCTCATATAATAAACATGCAAACAAAATTGTGAACACTGAACATAAACTACTGCTTCTTGAGGAAAAGCTCTTGGATCCATCTGAACATCTAGCATTTTGTTAGGTTTTTTTCATTTAACAACAGCAGAATGCCTTACTCTGTATATACACTCGGCTTGATGTAAAACTTAGGTCAAGGGGAAAAGAAAACGACTGGTTCTTTCAGAGCATCAAAGAAACAAAAAACGCCGACGTCCTAGAGATGCTCAAGCTTCCCAGTAAGTATAACATATATCCACCATAATCTTTAAGCCTTGTCATTCGTGTCTGCAAATTATTAACTTTTGTTCCGGAACATATTGAGCAAGGTTGAGAGGCGGACCAAAAAAGTGGCGCAAAATCAGGGCAACGTTAAATGAAACAAGAAGAATTAGAGAACGAGCTGCTATTAAAGCTCATAACGAAGATGTCTGCAGTGAATCTGAGGTATTTATCAATTTGAACACAATGTCACCTTCCCCTGTTACCTGATAAAAACTTGTACCAGAAGACTTTTGTGTTTCAACCTACCCAAATTTGGTTACATAATGTGGGTGCAACCTTGACTGTTTTTTTGTTGGTTTGTATACCATTATTGCCGATTCTGTCCTCTAAGGTTTAATTACTTGCTTTTGCCTGTTATATTTACTGGGTTATCCTTTGACTTTGCTACTCAGGAAGAAGTTATCAAGGATGAAGAGTATCACCGTCTCTTTGTGGATGTAATTGACCGTTCCCGTTTACCATTATGTAGTAGATTGTATATTGTTACGTTTACATACCTTTTTTTGCTTGCTTATGACCGTGTGACATCATTGATGCCATCTTGATTTATGTTTGTCTTGACTCCTAAAGTTGCTTGTCTTGTAGTTGTGCAAGGCATTGGCATCCCTGCAGAGATATTGGGAAGCTCTGGAGATAGTTAATTTGGCTCGGAGATTGGATGCTAAAATGCTGCCTGTTGAGACAAAAAAGGAGCTTCAGTCACTTGGAGCTAGTGATTACCTAACCCAACCTTGATTAGTCATCGTCTTTTAGATTTTACTACTGGGTTTATACCTGTGGTTAACACCGCTTTCTTATTTTTACAGAAATATCGTGTGATACTATGGATCCAAAGCAGTGGTTTGACTGTGTAAGATCTGTCATTCAGCAACATCCATATCGTTTGAATGCCTGGAACTGCTATTACAGAGTCATTTCAAGGTAGAAAGAGGCATTTCACGTGGAAAGTATTGTAAGCATGTTTTGTTTACGACTTGACATTATGAATATCATATTATTATGTGCAGACTAGGGAAAAGAGCATCGACTGAAGCTAAGTTCATGCATCACTTAAGGAGCAAGTACCGAGATTGCGTACCGCCCATTCTAATTGCTGGTCATCACTTTACCGTGACAAGCCGACATCAAGATGCTGCAAGAGAATACCTTGAAGCATATAAATTAATGCCTGATAGTCCTTTAATTAACCTGTGTGTGGGTACGTATATATTCATATTGTTTTCTTTCACTTGCCCAAGTTTTCAAAATCAGTTAAATTAATGTGTCACCTCTTTCTTTCTTTTCAGGAGCTGCATTAATCAACTTAGCCCTCGGTTTTCGACTCAAAAACCGACATGAGTGTCTTGCTCAAGGCTTTGCATTTCTGTACAACAATCTCAGAATTTGCTGTGACAGTCAGGAGGCGTTGTATAACGTTGCTCGAGCGTATCAGCATGTGGGACTAGTGACTCTTGCAGCTTCATACTACGAGAAGGTTTTAGCGATTTACGAGAAAGAATACCTGATGCCGAAACTCCCTAACGAGGATCCGAATGTTGCAGAAGAGCGGAAGCCTGTGAATTGTGACCTACGCAAAGAAGCTGCACACAATCTGCATTTGATCTATAAGCACAGTGGAGCATTTGATCTCGCGAGGCAAGTTTTAAAGGATCACTGCACTTTCTGAGTATCCTTATCATTGTCTTTTTTTTTTCAAACGAAGATAAAACACTAGGAAACCATCCGATTTTGTATGTTCCAACTGAATTAAGAGAACAAAGTTTGTTTTTCATGCTTATATTTAGTTTTCTCACAAAACTTGATCTGGATATTGCACTTCGACTATCTAACTGGGGAATTGCCTGACTCAACCAATCCTCTATCCATAAAATTGATGAAACTTTGTCCACAACCCACTTCAAGATCATCATCTAAATGAAAATTCCGTGTCAATGCAAACAGATTGCCATCACTTTGAGAAAAAAGCGAACCGATATTTTTGGTTTTCGGTTTCAAATAGGTTTTCGGTAATTAACCGGTCAGCATTTCTTCAAATGTACTTCGGTTCTCTATTTTAACCGATAGGCAATTCTTCAAACCCTTGAAGGAAAGATAGAATGTGGTAAATAATGTCATCTGCTGCTAGACCATTGATCCTATCCATCCTTTTGCCCAAACACTACCCAAAATCATAAAAAAACCTTTCAGGCCTGATGAATATGAATATAGTTTTCAGCAACTAGGGATTTTGAATGTTATATGATATCAATGTCTTAAGGTTGATTCATTGTTTAATGCTTAATTAAATTTCTTTTAAGTTTGACACTGGTTTTGGATCCTGTAGTTAATAAATACAAAAGGCAAATGAAAACTGAATGTTATGGACCGGATCTGTTTGTGTTAAGGTTTATTCGTATTTAAGAAAATGAAACTAAATTAATTTGTTCTCTAAATTTGAGTTTCATTTAATTCGATTTGAACCGGTTAATGTATGTCTGAACAGGGTAGCTCGAGTTTTCTCTCTCTTCTCTCTCTCGAATTTTTCAGAGAGAGAAACTCTATGTTTTGCCGTCCGATTGTTAAATCGGTTTCAGTCCGACAACCACCGGCTTCTTATGCGATGGTTGGGTCGTCTTTTGTTTCCGTCATCAGCCGTTTCCTTTTTGCGGCGATGGACGGCTTGATTCCGGTATGCGTCGGCCCCTTTGGTGACGTCATGGCTGGCTTTCGTCTAGGGTTTCCCTGTCTCATCTTTTACAGCCTTTCTCTCTAACTTTCGAGAGAATTTTCGCTCTCTTGAGAGATTGCTTTCGCCTGAGTACAACGGATCGACGTCTTTCGCTCCATCTTCTTCACTGTTTCTCGTGTATGGTTAAGTCTCCGATGTTGTTTCTTTCCAAATTGGTGCTGGAATAAATTTTCAGTTTTGGTTTAAAGCATCACGGGATGCTTTTGAAGAGGAGAAAATTCAGGCATGCTACCAGCGGCAGCCCAGACTCCAACCTCTACTTGCTAGCATAGGCGTTTAATTTCAATGCTTGTCCGTGAAGGAGTTTCCTTTGACGGACTTTGTTGGTGCTAAGGTGTCGGCTTAGAAGGTGATGGAGTATCTACGGCGGCGGATACCGGAGATACGACTAGCCAAAAAATTCTCCGGTGACCTTTCTCCCATCGTGGATGAGAACAACACGTGTCGTCTTGGTTATGGCACTTTGTGGGCTGCTTACATGTGTTTCTTTTTGAAACACGTGTTTTGCTTAGTTATTAAGTTTTTATACGTTTGTTTGATATTTGTTGTAGTTTTAAGTAAGTTGGTGCGTAATAGTATACTTCAGTTGCTAAGTCAGTTCATACCGAGAAGAGCAACTAGTGACTTTGTTCTTCAAGTTTTGGGATGTCTGTGGTTGAGGCTTTTACAGAAGTTTCGGGTTGGCTGGATTGCACTCATAGCTTCGCCGGGTCGCGCGTTAAGTGTAAAGGGTTCCTGGGACGAGGGTTAAGTGAGAGATTCGGTTTTGCTCTTTTTAGTATTTTACTTTTTATTGAAATTTTCTGTTGGCCTCTTTCTATAGATTGATCTGTTTATTGATCTGTTGCTAAAATCGTTTATAGGCTTAGTTTCTTATGTATTACTTAATGACTCTCCAAAATGGTTTTTCCATTGTTGGAATGCTGTAGTATGAAAGTATATATCAATAAAAGAAACACCTTTGGGAAAAAAAAAAAAATGTATGTCTGAACTCTGAAAATGGTAGAATCAAAACTGGGCGATTAAGATCACCAAAATAGATAGATAGATAGCAACCAACTATTTAGTTTCTTAACAGAAAGCAAACATGTTCTTCTCAGAAGTGATCATTCTCTTTGCGGAAGCAGAGCCAACGATCCTTTCCAGCTGCAAATAACATCACATTGGTCCACATTACTACACTTGACATTACAACTTTTATATTATATCATATTACTCTTTGTACCTAGTTCGAATGGAGTTCAGATAAGCTTTTTAAACTAATCTAATTGTGTATATCTGAGGATCCATCAGGAGATTGATAATGAGAGATGTGCAAGTACCTGGAGCATATCAAAACGAGAAAAAAGTGCAGTGGACATCATCTCATGTGATCCTTCTTCAAGCATGTTCATTATCTGCAGTTAAAGATAAGAACGATGAGACCCGACTGTCTTTCTCCTGATAAGAGTTGGGTCGCAATTAATTCTCGATTAAAGATGCACTTACCTCAGGGTAAAACTCCTTCCGCTCCGGAAGAGAATAGAAGATTAAGTTCTTTATACCACGGATCTGAAACCCGAGAAACCAACATCATCATAAATCAGCCAAATTGGTCAGAATAGTAATTTCATCACAGAACCTACTTAAAAGATCAAAGCTGAATTTAAGAAGAGAAAAAACCTTGTATCTCTTATAAAAGTATGCTCTCTCAGTGTAAAGCATGATCTTTCGGCTCCCTACAAAAAACCGTTCTCTTGCTCGGGATATATCAGCATTTTTTGCATAACTGAAAAACAGAAGTCACGATTAACTAATATCAGGTGAAAGAAATCCAGATAACACAGAAGTAGCAACTTCAAAACAGGAAGAAAATGATCTCACTCTCCAAGAAGACAGAAAGAGGTATTCTGCGTATTCAAAAAGTTTCTAAGCCTGACGAACTCGAAGTAAGAATGGATAAAGATCAGTACTCCTCCCTGCAAGCATAATTGGAATACGAACAATCAAGCTCCCAAATTTACGTGATAACAATAAGGTCTTTGTTCTGACCAACTTTGTTGTTGTCCATTCTATGTATTTTAGGGCAACTTAGAAGTATGGGCAACAAAATAGTTTAGCCTTTGATGATGGGAGTACCTGAACAGAATCTCTAATCTTTGGGAAAATCTGTAATGAAAAGAAGAACGGAATCAGTAACTATTGTATCTAGGATCAAACATTAATTAAAAGTGTAATATGTGCAATGACCCTACTTTCAATGGTATACGAACAAAAAAAAAGCAACAATGCACAATATTCATTAAAATCTAGTTACTGCATAACCAAAGCATCAAAACAAATTAAAAAGTGGACCTTTTTGGTAAAATATTCAAGACGTGCATCGTCCACATGGGTTATGGAGTCTGCATCAAATCTTTCATAAATCTGCAACACAGACAGAGAGATTAGATGTCTAGAACTTTTCTTGTGTAAAAAAAAGATAAGTTTTTATACCTGACGGACAGGGAGCAACACTTTCTCAAGAACACCCTTGTATTCACACGCCAGCTTCATCTGCATAGATTCAACCAAGAGTGTTATGGGACAATTTTAATTCAAAATTAAAAATGAAAGACAATTAAGATTACAATCTTGGTATGGGGAACACATAATAGATCAATCATCTTATCTCCTCACAACACTAGCAACAAAAAAGACTCCCAAAATGCATTTAATATAGAGGGATAATATGCTAGCTGCATTATGAATGCCCACCTTTCCTTTATAGTTCAAGCACTGGCGATTGAATAGAGAATTCATCTCTGAAACAAAATATTATCTGGGTTAGTACGAGTCTGAAAACTCCACCATAAATAAGGGTTATGGAAATATAGGAAAAACGAAAAATCAAATGGAATTTAACCATAGCTGAAAACAAGTGGGCAGATCAACACCTGGGGTTAGATAAGAACTTAGAATTATTGACTGGCGATAAAACCTTGCATGTCCATCCAGATACCTAAACATAAGAATTGTTTTTTAGAACTTCTGGCATAGGTGGGCTGCTTGACACATAAAACATATTAGAGAAAAGATCTTAAAAGTCAGAACTACGTACAACGGCCGAATTCGCATGACATTGGTTCCATGTTGTTTTGATGGCAATCTATTTAAGTAGTCAACGACTGTAGCAAGGAATGACCAATTCTGAAACATTATAATAAACGCATATAAGAAATGGAGTCATAGTATTCTATCTTTGAAAACTCTATAAGCTCACCCCACAACCTACCTGCATAGATATTATGTCTGCATGATCGATAACCAAAACCTATCCACATGTAAATGAAAAAAAATATTAGTAACTTCAATAAGGAGATGCAGAATAAAACCTCGAATATTTGAAAATACATGCAGCAATAGACCAGGTTTAAGAGATAAAGCGATAGTGGACTAATGTAACTGAACATTATTGGCATCAACCGTCAGCTATCTATTAAATATATCTTCTGCAAGCAATGATAAAACAAAAATACCTCTATGGAGGAAAGATAATCAACATCCCGTTCCTTGTTTTCTTCTGCTTGACCAATGGCCTACCAGGAGCGACATTGATTAGAGATCACATCAAGAAGATTTGCATAACTTAGTCATCTAACGAAAGGATAGATAAGGCTGCCTACCATATGTAACTTGAGAGGGGAAGCAATTATAATGTCTGAGGAATAAAAATCACCATACAGCCTAATGCTCTTCCTGGAATTGTCAAGAGGATTCAAGTCTCAGCACAACGACCAAATTAGATACCAACAGAAAGCATGCACTTCAAATCTAAAGAGTATGTAGGCTTATGATATACCTTGTATGCTTAATGCCCAACATAAACTCATCATCGTTGTTACTCGCACCAAAAAGGGCTTGCCAATCAGAAGGTTTTGAAGACTTTTGTGTGATTGCGTTTCCATTTTTTGATGTATTCTTTTCCCCATCACCGTCATCAGTACCCTCTTCACATCCAAACTCATCATTAAACCGGTCAAGGTGTTCTACATTAACCTGAAACCAATGAAGGATATTGAAGATGGCATAGGCAACTCAAGACATTAGCAACATAGACAATATCAATGCAGAAAATTCTTTCAACATCACTAAACAATCAAACTAGAGAATTTTCTCATCCGCGAGATGTTGAGTAGAGGCAACACAGTCACAAAGCATATGCCAATTGAAAAATTGATGACAGAATTACATAAATTATATACCCTTTGAGATTCCGGAGTTAGATGTATGAGCCTCTTAACAACGCGAAAGGCAATGCTCCTCAATGGTAATAGAATCAGTACCTGGAAATACAATAAACGTAAGACCGATTGTAAAAGCGAGCAACAACATATTTAGACACATAAAAAATTTGCAGACGAAAAGCACAAGGGGTCACCTTTGGACGAGTAAATCCTTGGTCCAGAAATCCATCATCAGAGAGAATTTCCTCTTCAGAGGTCTCTCGATGCTTGGCAATTTTACTTTCATTCTTCTTCACAAGATCTCTAGTTTTGAAGATGTGATTCAACTGCATAAGACAAACGGACTTCAATAAATCCTGAAGAATGCTAAGTCTCACGAAAACCTCATAAATTGTCTTAAAAAAAGGAATACAAGTGTGTACACACAGAATGCATAAGGTACGCATCCATGGCACTTGAGTCTTCGTCAGAGCCACTACTGTAAAAGGGTTTCTTGTTAGAATGCAATATATCCAGATAGCTGTTGCCTACAATATCAAATAGAATAATCAGCACAGAGCCATAAAAAAAAACAAGAACGATATAAAGTAGAAAGAAATCCAGAGATAGGTGAATCCCAGAATCTAATCCGTACAAATGGAGAAGAATTTTCTTCTTTTAGATGAGTCAAACTCTTTGCCTCCAGATTTTTTGTATAGTTGAAGCCAGTGATTATATAACTTAGGCTTGAGGCCGTAAGTTGCATCACTCTGAATACCCTGCAAAATAAAAACAAATAGTGCTACTGGTAAACTACTGGGTTTGGCGACAGACTTTGCTACCATATGTTTCTGAGGAAAAGGTTATAGAACACATACATCAAGAAAATTTTCACGCGTTCCTTTCCATCTGCAATTTGGCATGTCAAAGGCAGGTGATTCCCATTTAAACTTCCACTTGCCTTTTGGTAAAGTTTCCACTTCTTCACTGGATAATTTGTGGTTAAGGTGCTCACTAAATGCACTGAAGAATAAATGTGTGAATAAAAAGGTTGTATTGGATTAAGAAGCACATCAAACTGTAAATAAACTTTTGCAGAAACTACCATCTGAACTAAATTTACCTAATAGATGAAGAAGCATAGGACTGGCCATTGGTACTCAACTCATGATCCTCATCCGTTTCATAGTCGTCAGGATCTTCTTCCTCACTCTGATTATCATTGTTTTCCTGCGTGTCCTCCGTAAGACCTCCGAGAGTTTCCTGATCCTCCCCTTAAATAAAGACAAACAGAAGCATAGGTGAAATCAAAAGGCTGAACAACGATGCACCTATTGCAAGAATACTTAAGAGCCAATAGGCCAGAGATGGTCAACTACAAATGAGTTGAAACAATATTCAAGTCTACAGGAGTATGCTAAGTCTAAGCATGATAGAAACTACTAATAACTTCCAATACTAGATAAGGACAAACTTACCTTGAATCATATCATCCTCCCCATCAATAGAGCTTAAATCCTCAGACCCACTGTTTTCCTCCTCATCCTCATCTTCATCGTCCTCATCTTCTTCTGTGTCGCTTTTACCTTCCTCCTGTCTCTGCCTGTAAAAAAGATTTGAAGATTCAATATCTCCCTAGCAACCAATATATGCCAAAAAAATTGTTGCATGTAATCTACACAATCTTAAAGAATAAAATTAGAAGAGTAGAGGACATAGTAGTTAGTTCCACAGAGGAACAAGTAAGTCGAATCTAAATAAATGGTCCACTGTTCCGAATCAATGGCATATAACCAGTATTACAAAGACTTCCAAATGAACAAAAAACTAAAGACTTGAACTTGTTAAAACAAACGGATTACAAAGGTACCTTCTTTTGTTCATATCAGCAACGACCTTGTTGGATGAACCAAGAGACGCCAGCAAATTTTGGTACTGTGTCGGCTCTCTGTAAACCATTGCTTCCGATTCAGTCTCTATAGAGTCTTCTTCAGGTGAATCTAACGATACAGTAACCCAAAAAAGAGTTTAATTTGAGTACCACTTATTCTGAAATCACTTGCAGAGACATCAAAGAGCTAACAAACCTGGATTCTCTATTGAAGGATTGGAAACAAGAGCCTTTTGAACATGTTTGTGCTTCTTCGAGTCCCGTTTCTTATCGAATTTCTCATGTGGCCTGTGCCTCTTCACCACTCCAGTAGCGCTTGGAGCCATCTGAGGAAGCGAAGTGGTGCTGGGAAAGATATTACGGGAGATGTTGAGCCTTGTCGCTTGCTTGACGGCGTTGACGACGGAGTTTTAACAGTTTCTGCCTGCGCGCGGCTTTGTATCAGTCAAAACGAAAGACGGCGTTCATAGGTTTGTTAGTAGTGAACGTGGGTTTATTAGTTATTGAATGGGCTTGCAATAGGCCCAATAAATTAAATCGAATAAATCTAACAACTCAATAAAAATAAAAATAAAACAGAACTGTGAGATTAAGCCCATATTGATTCATTTAACATTTAAATGTTTTAGGAAATGACTAATTTCTATAAGGGTGATTTGCAAAAGTGACGCTTTTGAAAGATGAAATTAAATATATAGCACTATAATTGGGGAAATTAAGCAAGTAACAGATGAGGGTGGGGAAATGTCGTCAAACTCCCTCTTAGACGAATCAGCAAGTGCACACGCGCATGGAAAGATAGTAGAAGTGAATGACATGGCTAGTGTTTTAAACAACAATTTTGCTACTATCTCTGGTTATAGATAAAATAGTACAGAATATAGTATGTAACATGTTTCATCTAAACTCCACTGAAATTACAGACTAACTGTAATTTATGTGCTAACATGAGCGCAAGATTTTGATACCCACATTGAAAACAAATCAAAGGCTCATAAGAAATCGTTGGAAGTTCGGAGAATTGCATCGATGGAGTATACGTGATATGGAGGAACAAACCGATTATTGTCGTCGGCCATGAGTTCGATGGCCATCGTAAACCCTTGATCGCTTTTAGATCTAAGAAATCCATAACTAAATCTTCAATTTACTGGTTCCAAGTTCTCTATTTCATTTCCATGGATCTAAGAAATTAAAAATTCTCAGATTAACTTTGGGGGAAAGTGAATTAATTAGACAGAATTTGGCGAAAGGATTTCACCGGAGTTTTCTAGCATTCTTCGGCCGACAAAAAATAAAAATAGTCGGAGTTAGGGACTAAGGTTGTTGCGCTGATGGTTGGGTTTGTGGCTAATGGTGTTATTATATGACAGTTTGATTTTTGTTGAGTTGGTGATGTATAGGAAAGGAGAGAGGGAGATAAACCAAAACAAAGAGGAGAGATGAAAGGAGCACAGTTCACAAAAGGGAAGAAGATGAACAAGAGCGTGCACTTCACACATAGGGTAAACATGTCTTTATTACAGAAAATATAGAGAATATCTCCTTTCTTTTTTTGGAGTGCTAGTTTCTTAATTAATGATTTTTTTTTGGTTATAGAGTCATATTTTCCTTTCTATAACCCACCCCATTACCATATGTCCATATCATTATCACCATTACAACAACATCATTATTACATCATCGTCATCGAACCATCATTATACCATCACAGTATTACTAGTATCACTTTTATTATCATCATCTTTATCGTGATACCATCATCACTATTGTACGATCATTATTATCAAACCATCATCCTCATACTCGAATCGAATGTTTATTGTTTAATAATAAAAACACAACACTGAGTGGTGGGCTTAAAGGAGCCATGTTCAATTGTTCAATAATGCAAGAAAAATAACTCGGCAAGTCTCATCTCTTTCTGGTCTGGCCTTTCATGACTTTTGCAGTTTTCTCCTCGTTCTCTTCTTATTACAGTTCCCTTCTGGCACCTTCTCATTGGTTTACACTTTTAAATTTAGACAACGCCAACGTGGCCTGTTCTTGCTTTCGTGGCACCTTTCACCTCGTCGTTTTGTAACTCTAGACACACTTTTCTTTTTTATATACTGTGTATATTGTGGTTTTTTCTTACGTCGTTTTTATGCGTTCCTTTTTTTCCTACCATTTTATCTTATAGATAAGAACACCAAACACGGTTAGCAAGCCAATCCAATACATTTTACAAATAATAAACGAAAATGGCGACAACTTGTTGACCAGAATAACATATAGTTAAAAAAAAATAAAAATAAAAATAACATATAGTTTGCAAATTACATAATATGAAATTAAAACGAGTGCAAAAGAAATTAAACAAATTATGTTTGGAAATGAAATCTAAGAGTCATGTAGAAAATTTTGGCAAATCATCAGAATGTAGTCAGTCATGACTCATGTGGATGTGTTCCAAACAATTGGTTTCAAAAGTGGTGTGTTATTAGTGTGTCCCATAATTTTAGGTATATTTGCAATGTATATCCCATATTTCACATTTTTGTATACTATACAAGTTGCTCATTTTTTTTTATAGAAATACAAAACTTTATAAAACCTCTCAGTTGTACAACTTTTCTCTTCACATACCACAAACACATCACACTCTTGTAGCAAAAATATTCTCTCTCCCATATCACAAAAGAGATAAACAATATGACAACGTATGGCACCAATCCAACTTCGTCTAACGACTTAGCCCCCAAACTCGAGTACATTACCCGCGGCATTAACCAACACAAAAGATCCGGCCTCGCCACGCGCCGCCCTTGGAAGCAAATGCTCGACCTCGGCTCATTCAACTTCCCCCGCAAACTAGCCACCGTGATCACCAGAGTCAAAGCCAACACCGTCTATTTCCAGACCAATTACACCATTGTTGTCCTCTTCTCAGTATTTCTCAGCCTGATTTGGAACCCCTTCTCACTCCTAATCCTACTTGCCCTACTCGGAGCATGGCTCTTCCTCTACTTCCTCCGTGACGAACCGCTCTCAGTATTCGACCGAGAGATCGACCACCGTATCGTACTTATCGTCATGTCCGTTCTCACTCTTTCGATCCTTTTCTTAACCGATGCTAAGCTCAATATCGCGGTCGCCATCGTGGCCGGTGCCACGGCTGTGTTGTCTCATGCAGCCGTTAGGAAAACCGAAGATTTGTACCAAAACGACGAAGAAACCAGTCTTTTAAATCCCTAAAAAAAATTAAAATCGTCAACTGTTAGACTGTTTCACATTATGACTACGATTGTTTATTTTGCGTGTAGATTTGATTTTCAATGTTACGGTAACTCAATATTATAATTAACCATGCTCGTTTGCTAGCGTTTTCACGTTTTGTGTGTGTTTCTAAATTATTATAGTGACAAAAATATATAACATGTATATGTAATTCAGAGACTCAACCAGGTGGTCACGGGAGAACCAATCAAGCCTTGTGTTTGATGTCATGTAACAGAAAAACAAGTAAACACAACAAAACAATCGTACCCTAATACCCTATATACATCGAATATTCGTCTCACTAAAACATATTTCAAAGTCACCGATTTTTTCTGTTACCATAGGGGTTGTATATATAGTAGTCGTGAAAACTTGAATTCTATGAGTATTATTACTGAACAATAAAATAATCAAATGCTCGTCCCACTAAACCTTGATTAACAAGGTACCGTATATCAAATTTGTTTACATGTATAACGTATATACCATTTTCACATTTATTTTCGCTATCGGATCAATCGAGTGATATTATGCTACTCCATTATCAAAGAACACAACTTAAAGAATTGATACGATAAATGAGCCAATTAAGCTTCCGAAGGAAATCCCGTACATCATTACGAATCCAAAATATTCACTTACGTGCATGAACCAGTAATCTTTTTTTTTTTGCTAAGAATGTAAATATTTCATTAAAAATGAAAACATAACCAAAATATTCACTTACGTGCATGAACCAGTCATCTTTAAACATCTTACATATTTTCTTGATTGCATGAAGAACGAAAACATAACCAAAAAATCTTCCAATTCCTTGTGCACTTCATCAATCACTTAACCAAATTTAAAGGAACTTGAAGAGTAAGAGGCACCATAGGTTCATGAACAATCCCAACAGATATCTTGCAATTATCAGAGCTCAACATCTTGTCCTTCTCGTCTTCTTCCTCTAATGATATAATCTTGTTGATTATTTCCATTAGTATCCTCTCCATATCTTCTCCATCGGTCCAATCTCTAACGGTAGCCTTAACCAACATGGGATTTTGACTAATCAGATCCCAAACCGGGAAACTCTTCCTTGGCATCATGTAATCTTCAGCTTTGAGTCCAAGACTGGGACAGTAATCACCAGCACCATCTCCAAGATAAATCATCTTGGTCTTCTTCCCTTCTTTGGTTAGAGAAGCTTGAATCCTTTCGATTATCAAACCCTGTGTAAATAGAGAATTTAATATTAATTTAGCACTGGAAACAACACAAGTAGGTCCATATTGACTCATAACAGAATCAAAGATAATATATTTTACACCAAAAAAGTTTACTAAAATCCCTGGAAGTAGTTATGACAAATGGCAAAATCACTTTTCTTGTTTTCTTTCTCAAATCTCAAGAATCAGAATTAATCAATCAATTTGAGATTAGTGTAACTGCAGTACCTTGCACATGTTAGGAGGGCAACGAGAGCAACCATGAGAAGATTTGGTGAAGTCATGGTAAGGAGAGACTATTAATCTTCCTTGTTCATCAACAAATCCTGGATTTGTGTTAATCTCGGAGAAAAACTCTCTAATCCCGAGATGTTCAATGATCGTTTCGATGAATAACGTGTTTGCGTCGCTCACTATTCTCAGCTCGCACCTATTGTCGTATGATTATTCAGTACCGTGTTATCAAATGAAGATTGATGAATTTAATATGGATTTTTATTTACCCTAAAGCATGAGCAGATTTGATGGCAGGGATGACACGTGGATGAATTGGGATTCTCCTCAGGACTTGTTTGATTTCTTCAATAGTTTTTCCATGATCATGAAGCTCCTTCATCATGCGATTCTGTTTTGTAATAAAACCAAATAAGGATTTAGGGTTTCGTTTAAATCATGACTGATGAACATAGAAAACAACAAACGATTCGAGAAACCGAAAGAGAGAGCAGAGTTAGAGGTGGATGAACAAAACAAACCATGAGAGAGTTCCAAGGCATTGTTGGGAGAAGCTGGTTGAACAAATCAGTGAAACCAAGTTCATCGACAACCCAATTATCACTGTCTACATCGATGATTGTCTTGTCAAAATCAAAGACGATCACGATGTTGTTTCTGTTGTTATTGTTAGCCATTCTCAGAGAAATTTTCTATAGGTAATGTTTTTTTTTTTATTTCTGTGTGATTATGAAATTTGGAGAAGAAGAATGTGATATATATACGAGTGAGAGAAGGTGGAGAGGGAGAGAGGCGAATAGGGATTTTCTAGGAAGATGCCATTGGAATATTACTTACCGTCAGACGCAAGGTGAGAGAATTAAGAATCCTAATCTGATAATGATTCGAACAGTTAGATCTGATGACGTTTAAGTGTCAAACATTGACTAGGTATGCTGATCCAACGGTGATGATGACTCTTGGTGTATTATGTGGGTATTATCTAGTTTGGCTTGTTAAATGTTTTTTTTAGTGGGATTTAGGCAGTTGAGACGACACGGGAATGGAATGAGATAAAAGAATATTCCACCTATTAATCCGTTTTCCATTATCGTTTTCTTTTTTTTTATTTTAAAGGAAGATAAAAATTCGTTACCCAAAAAAGTTTTTTTTTTCTTTTAAAAGATACAACCAAACAAATAAATGAATTAGTTTTGTATTTATCAAACTAGAATGAAAATAAATAAATATGCATGGGATTAGGTCACACACTCTGTTGGATTTAACGTTAACAAAAATAAATGGGAGTTGCATCAGAAGGCACTAGCGAGGAATAAGGTTGCAACTTGGAAGGAATGATGAGTGACAAATGTAAGCCGAAAAGAATATTCTAGGGGTTAAGGATCATCTTTTCTTTTGGTGGCCACATCTTTCAATATTCATCTGTATTTGATTTCTTCAATAACAATTAAAAGTAGTATTCTAACCAAACAAGTCTCAGTATGACAACAAAACAAATGTGTGTGTGTGTGTGTGTAATCCTCTATCTATATAATAATACATATCTCTATCAGACGTTATCAGATGATCCGCGTCAACACAAGCTTCTTTAATTCCTCTCCCTCATGTCTTTAGATGACTAATGTATAATATATACAAAAGGAATATAGTATATATTATAATTTCGTTGTAGAAGATCTGTAGCACCACGAAAAACCATAGACAGGGATGACTCATTTCACTCCATCCACTAGTTTGATTTGGTTTACATTTCATTTTTCTTAGCAGAAATCAAATTACTTAGGTAATATATTAATGTTGCCCTATATATACACTCTTGTTGAGGTAGGGATTTATATATTCATCACATCCTTTAAAGTATTACAAACTGTAGTCAATGATAATTTATTGTTCTTACAATAAGATTCCATGAGGAATTGAGGAGAAAACTACTTTTTATTGAGGGTAAAAGTAAGAAAACAAAGAAGAGGTGTCTGACAATACAATTGAAAAATAGACAAATAGCAAAAAAGCCACACGTATGATGTGGAGTTCAAGAAGAAGAAGAAGAAGATATGACAAAAGAATCAATAAACAAATTTTGAAGCACATCCCTCCCAATCGTCTCATACTAAAAGAATCCCACACACCATAATCTGTTTCTTAAGAAAAAAAAAAAAAAAAAGAGTAATAGAATCGAAACTAAAAAAATAAAATAAAATGTATCCTTGTGCAACCCAAAAAAACACAACCTAAGTAGGAGGGGTGGTTCGGATATTTCAAAAAAAGACAACCCTTCTTCTGGTAAAAAAGGTCTCTTCTTCTTCTCTTTTCCCAACCCAATACTTTTTTACCTTCTAACTCCTGAAAGATTACTGTTGCTTCTTCCGTTGACTCGTCGCGGTATGACTGGTCAGCCTTTGGTCTTGGACACAGCATAACAATGTTACTACTACACCTTTTCTGGTTACATCATGACTTTGGTTGTTAAAAAGAAAGAGAATGAGAGAGAGAGCTTGGAAAAGAAGAAAGGGAAAGTTAAATTGGAGCAAGCTGGTTCCATGTGTTTGTCTTCTCTCTCTCTCTCCAATTCATGCATAGTACATGTACAAGCTGTTTGCTGCTGCACAAGCAATTGAGTTCTCTGTTGGGTGCCATGCCATATGCAGCAACTTAGTTGTGAAATCATATGCGTTCCCATTTGCCTCTGTTCCGGGACTCTCTGATCCTGCGTCCAAACCACGAGTCTTTACTCCACAAGAAAATAGTAAAAGCGCGAATAAGTAAGTTTTACAGTTACTACTACCACTAACCTCGTCTAACCACACGTGTCATACTGCCTATAGATCTGGAAGGTCTTGCAGGTGTCTGGATTTGCCTCCTAATATAAACATTGATGCAAAAGTTTGCAATTGATCAACTTCTATGACTTAATGTTACCTATCAATTTTCTCTGTTTTCTGATTTACCTCATCGGGTTTTTGCTAGCTTCCAAAGTTGCAGCTTCGGTACTACCTTGAGACGCTCCAAATACGCGGAATAGATTGCTGGTTCACCCGGGAAGCATAATAAATTGGTCTTTTGTTCATTTCTTATTCACGACAGAAAAGTACAGTAATGACCAGAAGAAAGCAAGCAAACCTGTAAGAACCTGTTGCTACCCTCAGTCCATCACCACTCAGACAACACTCAAATTTATCAAAGATGGAGTCATTTTCATATAGATCGCATAGCTGCAACCGGGTAAAACATATTGTGGTTAGCTTTGAAGATAGAATCATCAAATAAAAAATGCCACAGAAAGAAACTCTCACCCTGGGTCTCAGATGTTCATGAACCTGGTAAGATGCAACTGGACCAGAATCCATGTTTATGTCCCACAGCTGAAACATCAAAAAGGGTAGAAGATATCAGAAAGAACTAAAGAATAGACATATATTGGCCCACAATCATATAAATATACACAAGGGAACCGAATGATTTCCAACCTTGAGCGTCATGTAATCGCGACTAAGTATGTATCTCCCATCCTTTGAGAATTTAATATCTGAAATTGAGGCAATTATCTCTGTGAAAAATGATCTTGAACCAGGTGCTTCCGGTTCTTCAAATCTGTGATATGAAGCAACAATGGTCAGTTGTCAGAATTCAGAAACTTTAGCTTATTAATCTTCATTTCCAAGTCATTTCCGACAAGAAAAGAAAAAAATGGAAATGAACCCACTATATTCATATCCCCTTCTTATTATATTGTACATGAGTTAAGCACATATTGAAACTTGCAACTAACCTTTCCGATTAAAGGATGAGGAGAACAGAACTTACAATTTTGTATGAGAATCACACAGAGCTGATTGACGCATATCAATCAAACGAATTGAGCCTTTTGAACTACTATACGCGAGCATATTACAATGGATAGGATGAAACTCAGCTGATGTAATAACCTCTGCAGAGACCATGTAGCATTTAGAAGCATGCTCAACAAGCAGTAAACGTGGAAAGAATAGATAATCAAAGTAAGGAGTTTGTTGATATGAATCTATGTTAAGACCATACAAAATAATATCTAACAAAATAATGGAAATAGCATACCAGTTAAGTCCTCCATGTTTGTGGGCTTAACATCAACAATATTGAAACTTTGGTTGCTAATTTCCAAATTCCAGAGATTTACTCGCAGATCATCAGCCGAGATAAAGGTTTCTCCATCGCTATAACAATTAGGGGAACGATAAATTATCACAAGGAATAAAACAATGCAATACATATCTATGTACAAGTTGTGAAATTTAGGATCAACTAGATTTTCGACAAAGAGAACAGTAGCACGACCAGACATGAAAAGACATGTAAAATAAAATTCTAAAATATATTTTAGCATTGTTTTCTGAGAACGAAAAATTAAGGAGAAAGACAGCAAAAACGTGCTAAAGAGCTATCAAGATTCAAGAGTAATACATATAACCTGAGGGAAAACTTAGGAAAACGATTACCTGCTATTTGAGATTGAGTTAATATGGTAATCATGAGCATGAGCATATACTCTTCGGCATCTAGCCACAAGGTTGGTCTCCTGGCTTGTCACCTAAATATGCAGAAAGACCCATTATTTCAAGCAGAACAGAAATTAACTAATGCATGAGACTAAGTTGGTACTGAGCTTTAGTTACGACAAAAGGAAACAACGCCAATAGTAAATATCCTACGTTTCACAACTCAAGTAGCAGGATCATCAACATGACGAAAATATCCACAACTTCAGTATACTGGCTTAATATCTATATGCATTTAGTTTTCAGAATCCTGAAACAAAAACTCTCTTCATTTGACACCCAAAAAAAAGTAAGAAAATATTGCATCAAGTACAACTACCACAGGCAAACGCAGAGATGGAATGCCTCCTGGCGGGAAAGAATATTCGTTGCTGAGGTAGCCATGGTCTTTATCGGCAGGTAATCCATTAGTAACTAATTGAGGAGGGATACTTGAACTTCCTTCTCTCGACGGATCAATATTCATTTCACTAATTTTCTTGATCTTCTTCTCTTGTACCTGTTTGATTCCAAATGAGAGGAGGAGTCAAATTATAAGAGTAAACAAACAAACTATTTCTCTTCTTTTTTTGCATGGAGTATTGGAAACATAAAAAACCAGTTTCTAGACAAACAATTTTCACATGTGACACCTAATATATTCTACACTATAAAGCATATGAAACAAGATTATGGAACCGAGTTACACAGAAAGGAATTGCTATAAATGGCCTATATTTTGCAGTCATGTGATATAAATTCAATCCAGATGTCGCACCTTCCAATATTTGATGGTTTTATCGTTTGTGGAAAGCAGAAACAATGCACCATTTGCTGGCTGACACCATCTGATTTTGTTGATTTTCTCCTCTATCTCCAAACTCTTGAGATAGTCAAACTGAAACAGATTGAAAAGCAAGCTTATTGAGTGACAAAAGGAACACAATTACTCGTAAGTGAAATCTGGTGATAAGTTTTAATGTACCTCTGGCTCATGACTCTGAAATTCTGTTTTATATCTAAACTCAGGATGCCTAACTGGGTAATCCGTCTCCTCAAGATCCTTCCTGGACCCTCCATGCTGAAAGTAACATTTCGCAAGACTGCGTTACAGCAGAAAATATTTTTTGAAACAAATCTTGCAGAAGAAAAAGGAACTCACATCTTTAGTATCGGTCCTTTCGAAAAGAACTACTCGGCCCCCACGGTCACCAGTTGCAAGATGGTCTCCACTTTTATCAAATTCGATGGCTGAAATGATGTCAACTGCGGAAGAAAATTGTGCAAACAGAATCATTACATCAGAAGTCACCACTAAATTGTAGGAGCTAAACACATAATAACCTTGAGATGCAGCTAGTATATTATTCTCCAAAACATAGAGAATGTACACCGGTAAAGAAGACTACATACAATAACATGAGAGCACATTAAGTTTATCTCATACAGAAAGTGCCTCTGAAGACAACCTAGTTACATCAATACCCCTGGAAGTCTCATCAGCCAGAAGAGAGCAGCTATAGACCAACTCAATATTACAAATTCAATTCATGAACCCAAAATGCGTGACCATTGATAACCCTTGACACTTGTCGCTCGACAACCCAATCCCTCATGGCCTCATATGCCTTTCTTTGCTGTTAAACAGAGTCGAGACACCATTCTACCAGTGGAAAAAGTATACATGGCTTATGGCATTGAACAGACAAAAGCTTCAAGCTAGATTACCCTCTTAGTCTCAACTTAAAACTATCATCAGCGTATCGATTCAAAATATCTACAATACAAAACCACGGAAAACTTGTATAAAACAGAGAGTTCCAACCTCACAAAAATCAGCTAAAGAGAGATGCTCTCATATCACATAATACCCAACAATCCAAACTTGTCATAGAACTTAGAAACTCTACTTACAGTGGAATAAAAGTCACAGAGATTCATCAATGACACATTAAGTAGTAGAGGCATAACTTACTAATCCCTAGCATCCAAATCAGATCCAAACAACAAATCAAACCCTTAGTCCTCAAATACCCTCCGGATCTAAAAGAAAAAGAGAGCCAAACTCATCACCCCCGAATAGGCAATAATTACCTTCCTGAACTTCTTCTCCGGCGGTTCGCTCGCCGAAGACCTGAGAGAATCTCCACTCTAAAGACGGAGGAGGACCACTAGTAGCGGCGGAGGAAGAGGCATCGTCACCACCGTTCATTTTTTTTTTTGGTTTTGGGCCAGATAATCCAACAAAAAATAGAAATCCGAGCTTGAAATCTGAGCTTCCAAATCTTTTAATCACCAAATCGAATCGAAGATCGCGGTCATCACCATCACCAAATCCATTGATTCACATTCCATTCCATAGTTTTATTCATGGATTTTTCGCAACTTGATCGATGATTAAATTTCGTTCCTTTCTCTCTCTCTCTAAAGAAAATGGAATTTTGATATCTCTCTCTCTCTCTCTCTGTAGAAGAAAATGGAGGAACGAGAGAAGAAAAAACGCCTTGGCCTTTTTCTCTCTCTAAAAGGACAAAATCGGAATTATACCTTTTTTCCTGCGAGACCAAAACGAAGGAACAAATCGTATAAGTTAATGTCTAATACTAATGTTTTTGTCCTGATTCTAAAGCTTCCTTAGAGTTACAGGCGGTGACATTATTTATTTGACCACTAAATATCGGTGGACGGTGACATAGTTGTCGCCTATCATTGGTCAGTTGTGGAGGTGCTGCGCTTGCCACTGTTGTATTTGTATGATGGGGGAAAATGTATAATTATCATTAGTAGTACCCGTGTTCAAAAAATCGCTAGGCGCTAGTCGGGCGGTGAGGGTGCGCCTAGCGCCTAGCAAGAAAATCGGGGATTACACGGGGATTAATCGGGGATTAGTTTTAGCGCTATTTAATATTTTAAAAACATATTACTCCATTATAATTAAGTAATTTATATAATATTGTTTTTAAAATTGTATTAAACACATGAAAACAAGATTTTAATTTCAAATTTATGATTTTTATACAAATTACGAACATAAGTAGGACGTTTTGAATTTTAGATGAAAAAAAAAGTAAAAAAAAACAAAAAAAAAAAAATGGGCTAGGCGCCGTCTAGGCGGGCTAGGCGGCCGCCTAGGCGGTCCAGGCGGACAAAAATCGGATCTCCGATTTTTCTCACCGATTTGGACAAAATCGCCGCGGTGCTCCTCCGATCAGCGCCTAGACGGCCGATTTTTAGAACAAGGAGTAGTACTAACTAATTATTTTTGCCAAATTCTCCTAAATAGAATTCCATTGCACATTGTTTTTTATCTGATAAAACTATTTTAATATGAACATTTTACTTAAGAAAAATAGTTTCCTTGCAAGTTTCTTTTCAGGGGTCAAAATTAACTCATGAGAATACCCAAGCGGTAGAAAAACGATTGAAACCAGTACAAATCATATGAATTAAAAAGTATTACTATAGTTTATTTTGGATTGTGAATAATCAAAAATTGAAAATAAAAGAAAAGTCAAAAGAGTATGTAATTTAATAACTACTAACCACTTTACCAGTGGCGGATTAAAAGATTAAAACCTAAACCGGATATAACCGAATAATTCTTTAATCAATCAGTCCAATTCGATTTAGGACAGAAGTTAAAACCTTTATTATATCTCTCATCTGCGGGAGAAACACGCTTGAGAGATCTTGTCCCAAATTCGAAGGAACCCTAATTTCCCGATCTGCATATTTTTTCCGGTTGATCAAACAAGAGAATTCCGATTATAAGTGATCGAGATGGGTAATACAGATAAGCTGATGAACCAAATATTTGATTTGAAATTCACGTCAAAGTCTCTGCAGAGGCAAGCTAGGAAGTGCGAAAAAGAGGAGAAGTCGGAGAAGCTCAAGGTCAAGAAAGCCATTGAGAAAGGGAACATGGATGGTGCTCGGATCTATGCCGAGAACGCCATTCGCAAGCGCAGTGAGCAGATGAACTACCTTCGTCTCTCTTCTCGATTGGACGCTGTTGTAGCCCGGCTCGATACCCAGGCTAAGATGGCTACCATCACCAAATCGATGACTAACATTGTCAAATCCCTTGAATCGACTCTTGCCACTGGTATTTCACATTGTTACTTTTCAGCAATCTCTTATCTTTGATCCAATTAACTGACATTTTTCGTTTTCCCATCAATTTGGCTTTGTGGTGCTCATAGCATTATAGTATAGATGGAAAAATTCTGCTCCTTGTTGCTGTTTTTGCTGATTGAAGGATATGGTTTTGATGAAATATTAGAATAGCTTGAATTGAAGTAGTAAACACCATGTTTCAGGGCGTATTTGTACATGTTAAAGTAATCTAGATTCGAATAGGAAAACATTGTTTCATGGAAACACAAACAGCTCACTGTCGTGGCTGTTCTGTGATAAATTTCGATTGCATTGTAGTATAGAGGGAGAAGAAGATAGGGCTTAAGTACATATAATACTCTTATACATTGTACTGTAGCAACTCAGGTTATCAACTTTTGGTTTGTTCTTTGCAACAGGCAACTTACAGAAGATGTCAGAGACTATGGATTCGTTTGAGAAACAGTTTGTGAACATGGAAGTCCAAGCTGAGTTTATGGATAATGCAATGGCTGGTTCTACTTCATTGTCGACTCCAGAAGGAGAAGTCAACAGCTTGATGCAGCAAGTAGCAGATGATTACGGTCTTGAAGTTTCTGTTGGACTGCCTCAGCCTGCTGGTCATGCCATTCCTACCAAGACTGAAGAGAAAGTTGAGGAGGATGATTTATCTAGGAGACTTGCCGAGCTTAAAGCCAGAGGATAATTAACTAACCTAGCAAAAAAGTGTGTTTGGAATATACTTTTATTGAGATGTTGATGCTATTAATCCCTTGAACATTATGGGAATGTTTGTGTAAATTGCTCACTCTGGAATATGGATTTGTTTATATTTAACCTCGAGTGTGCTTTTAAAATGAGAAATTTCATTAACTGCTTAATGGTTCAGACTTCGGATTGTGGTACAAATGTTAATTCTCTTGATGATCTCTCTGGTATTAGTAGTTTCACCAAATTTTCCAGGTCTATAAGGAGTACACTGGACTTAACTAGATTTTGAAGATGAGCACAAAGGTTATGATTGATCTTGGAATGTTAAACAGATGGAAGGACTGAGGGTGTTGGGGATGCAAGAAGAGAAGGATGTTTATGGTATTCTGGGTTTGCGTTTGCGTTATGTTGCAGTTGTCAAATTGGTGGGAGGAGGATTTGGTGAAGTCTGCCTCTCTCTCCCATGTCTTGATCACTGCAAGTGTTTTGTTTTTCCTTTTGACGTCCCAAGGTCTTGTTCTTGCATGTTTTTTTTATATACACTTGTAAATGAATAAGTGAAAAAATGGAAAAGTTCGAATCTATTTCTTTTTGCAACAAAAAACAAAAGAAACATAAAGTTATGGTTTAAAGATGCTTTTGGAAAACTCCATCATTTTAGTGGAGAATCACAGAAAAGATTGGTCGTCAATTATTTTTCTTTTATTAATTAAGGATGCACATGATGATGATTATTAACCACAATATACTACTAATATAGATGACAATGTATTTTAGTGTTACAATTATATTAACAATTATATAATTGAACGTGTAAATGAATGTTTTATTATATACTACTCTATATGATTTTTTTATTGAGACAATGCCGATGTACCTAGACAAGAACGCCCTACTCTGAGTGCATGTGCTTCTCGTTTTATATACTCTTTTACCAAACAAACAACTACTATTCAACTTAACGTATCTTACATAATTTTGGTAGACTTATTTTTAATTTTGACCACAATGAGAAAGATTAAATTAAAACTCATCCATTACCTCCTGTAAGGTCTATATTAACCACTTTAGCCCTTCTTCACACACTCACAACAACCAATCATAGTTAAATAAAAAAAAGCAGTCATGGCATTTTCATCTTCCTGTTCGTCCGTCAAAGCCGTCAACTCACGGTGGACGTTTCCGTCTCCGTCACCGTCTTCTAGATTCGCCGTCATCCCTGCTTTCCTCCACCGCCGTTACGCAACAAGCGTCAAACTAACGGCCACAAGCGCCGCCTTAAAAACCGTCGAGCAAACGACGTTAACAGAGAATAACAAATTCTCCACCGTCGGATCTGATTCTGATGAATACAATCCAACGCTTCCAAAGCCGAGGATCCTCGTCGCCGAGAAACTCGGAGAAGCCGGCGTAAATCTCCTCAGGGAATTCGGTGACGTTGACTGCTCTTACGATCTTTCACCAGAGGATCTGAAGAAGAAAGTGGCGGAGAGTGACGCTCTGATCGTGAGAAGCGGAACAAAAGTGACGAGGGAAGTGTTTGAGGCGGCGAAGGGGCGGTTGAAAGTGGTCGGAAGAGCCGGAGTTGGAATTGACAATGTTGATCTGCAGGCGGCGACGGAGCATGGCTGTTTGGTGGTTAATGCTCCGACGGCTAATACGGTTGCTGCTGCCGAACACGGTATTGCTTTGCTTGCTTCTATGGCACGTAACGTTGCTCAGGCCGACGCTTCTATTAAAGCCGGTATGTTCTCGATTAGCCATTTTTTTTGTTTTAATGAAATGAGACGTAGATGGACGACAGTTAACCAATATAATTAACCTATCTAGATTAATTTATAGCTTATACTATACTTCACCATTAAAAAGAAAAAACTAATCTAACATGTTTTAATCTCGAACATTACGAGATCTGATGAAGTCCAAAACTTCCTGATTTACAAAAAAGAAAAATTTATATCTCTCTTGGATACATAATTATTGGTTATACTTATATGGGGTTCGTTAATCATTGATTATTCTGCTAGATATTAAATACTTATTTCTATTTCGTTTTGGTCATCATATATATATATATATATATTTTTTTTTTTTTTTTTTTTTTTTTTTGGTCATCATATATTATATCGAGAAGAGTTAATGGTCCATTTGAATAATTCCAATATAGTGGCGTTAGTGTTTCTTCGTAATTATTGCCCAGTTGGATCTTGGAGTTATGCATTATATAGCATAGAAGTGGCAATTTGTCATTGGATAGTAGAAAAGTCATGATTAGAAGCAGAAATAAAATTGGTTTACGTAAGTAGAACAAAAGGGGAAATCACATTTATCCTCCCCGAAAGATGGAAAAACAAATGAACCTGTCAATGTAAATTACGGGTCCATTTACTGCAGAAAATAAAGTTTGGGCCCTATGTTTAAAATGTTTGGGGCCACCATTACCAGTTATAACCTCAGTTTACTTTCCTCCGAGTCTCTCACCAACCACAGTACACAAATTAAATTATTGGACTCTCCTTGTCTTTTATTACTAACTTCTTGTTTTGTTTTGTAATCACGAATTGATACCCTTTTTTATTTCAAATTTATTTACAAACCCATGTATCATTGAACCCAAAATTGAAGAAATAGTTTAATTACATCATTTCCACCCATTTTCGAATTTGGAACAACATGGGCATGGCTATATTATTGTCTTAAGACTTCGTTGTCTTTTTTTTCTTAACTTCATATTCGTTATTATTTTATTACAGTTTGATAATTACCTAAATTATTGATTCGACGTATTATACACAATAATACACAATTTTAAGGATATTTTAATAAAATAAAAACTGTAATAAAATATCCTACAATAATACACTTGACCAACTGAAGAATGTGGCTATTTTTTTTTACAATAATACACAATTTGTAGGATATTTTAATACACAGAATACAAGTGGATCATTTTAAAAATAATCATGCATTATAATTGATTAGACTCAATTATTTGATTCTGGTACTGTTAAGGTGGAATTGTCAGTCAAAGCATCAATATACGATTGAGACAGAAACTGACAAAGTGTAGACATTACAATCCGATTATTTCTTCTAAGTCATAATCATTTTTACTTAAAATCACTCTTTGTAAAAATGTAGAGTTGACTCCTCCGTCAAGTAATACCGAGTCGTTTTATGAAAGTTTGACATTTGGAGATTTTTACAGGAAAATGGGAGAGGAGCAAGTACGTCGGCGTATCTCTCGTCGGAAAAACCTTAGCCGTGATGGGTTTCGGGAAAGTCGGGACGGAGGTGGCGAGAAGAGCCAAGGGTCTAGGCATGAACGTTATCTCCCACGACCCTTACGCGCCAGCTGATAGAGCCAGAGCTCTCGGTGTCGATCTTGTCTCCTTTGATCAAGCAATCTCCACCGCCGACTTCGTTTCCCTTCACATGCCTTTAACTCCGGCCACAAAAAAGGTCTTCAACGACGAAACCTTCTCGAAGATGAAGAAAGGTGTTCGTCTCATTAATGTCGCTAGAGGTGGTGTCATCGATGAGGATGCACTCGTTAGAGCTCTTGATGCCGGAATCGTTGCTCAGGCAGCATTAGATGTGTTCTGTGAGGAACCACCATCGAAAGACAGCAAATTGATTCAGCATGAAAATGTTACTGTGACACCTCATCTTGGAGCTAGCACAAAAGAAGCTCAGGTATATATCACTTTCTTGATCTTCTTGATGTTACTTATTTCATCTCTCTACACTTCTTTTCGAGTTTATAAGATTCCATTATGAAATATCTTGATCTTATAGGAAGGTGTAGCCATCGAGATAGCAGAGGCTGTAGTAGGGGCATTAAGAGGCGAGCTATCAGCTACTGCGGTCAATGCTCCAATGGTTGATCCTGAGGTTTTATCTGAGTTGACTCCATACATTGTTTTAGCTGAGAAGCTAGGGAGGTTAGCTGTCCAATTAGCATCTGGAGGTAAAGGAGTACAGTCCATTAGGGTGGTGTATCGGTCAGCTCGGAACCGAGATGATTTGGATACTAGACTACTTCGTGCAATGATCACAAAGGGAATCATTGAACCGATCTCAGATTCATATGTCAATTTGGTGAATGCTGATTTCATAGCTAAACAAAAGGGTCTTCGTATTAGTGAGGAACGAATGGTTGTTGATTCATCACCAGAGTACCCTGTTGATTCTATCCAAGTTCAGATTTTGAATGTGGAATCGAACTTCGCTGGTGCTCTCTCTGATTCTGGTGATATAAGTATCGAAGGGAAAGTGAAATATGGAGTTCCGCATTTAACTTGTGTCGGATCATTTGGTGTGGATGTGAGCCTTGAAGGGAATCTGATACTGTGCAGGCAAGTGGATCAACCAGGGATGATTGGACAGGTTGGTCACATACTTGGGGAACAAAACGTGAATGTGAATTTCATGAGTGTTGGAAGAACAGTTTTGAGGAAACAAGCGATCATGGCTATTGGAGTTGATGAAGAACCAGACAACAAAACACTTGAGAGGATTGGGGGTGTTTCTGCGATTGAAGAGTTTGTGTTTCTGAAACTATAAAGTTTGAGATGGAGTTGCGTTGTGGTGTATGAAGAATAAAACTGTGACCCGGATTAAGGTGTTTTATCCAGTGGTTGTTAAGCTGTAGAGAATCTGTGGCATTGTGAGTGAGTGTGAGTCTCTTGGTACTATTACAATGTTCTTGTTTTGCTTTCTTATGGTAGTATGTAATGCTTTTGGTTAATGTCATGTTTCTCTTGTTTCTTGATGTCCAAGAAATGTGTTTTTAGGGCCTATATTTTACGATGAACCGTTGGACTTAAAAATAAAATTCCTCTTTCACTACTCTATGGATTGTCGCATTTGGGCCTTTGGGGTTTTAGTCTTAGGCTGTAGGTGGTCTTGTGAACTTGAGACTAAATGTGCAATTTCCAAACCTCATTGAAATCTTTTTTTATTTTTATTTTTTTGACATCAAAACTCATTGTAATCCAGTGTGAAAATCCTTTGAAGTTAATTTCAATTTTCAACATTCTTTGAAGGAAATTCAAACAAAAGAAAACTAATAGAAGACAAGAACAAGGACCACTCTCTAAACCCTTTAGATGTAAATCACAATTTCTTTGTCAACTATGAATAAATGGACTCTAGTATAATTATTATAGGGTTAGGTGATGGAAACCATATATAGAAGTTGTTATTAAATTCGTTTGCGACCTACATAAGTGACGACCAACCAACTTAAAATCGAAATGGACAAGGACAATATGATATTTTCAAAATCAACGTGTTAAAATGTTACAAATGAAGATTGTATACATTAAAGAAAGTATGAGACTTTTTGACTTCTTAATAAATAAATACCATGTGATCAAATTGAATTAAATTAAGGAATTACATAGTTTATAATATGTTATGGTGCACATCGAATGATTGAGTTATGTTGGTGGAATGAATTAAAAAAAAAAATCAATTTATAGATGATAATTGAGTCTAAGTTGAGAATGCGTGTTATCTTATTTTATAATCATGAGAGAAAACATTATTCCATAAAAGAGCGATTAAGACTTTTAAATACTGATGAGTGCTCCACTATCTTAATATTCTTAACAGGGAAGATCAAAATTTATCTGTCAATCAATGGGTTTTAATTGTTGTTTGAAAACATTTTTGTGTGTATAATTTTTAGTTAATACTAGTTTAAATTACAGTATAGAGGGCAGAGACAAGACATGTCAATTAAATTGTTATATACATTATAATGTTTTATGAAAGATTTAAAACTAACAAATCAACAGTAGGATAAAATGTCAAATAACAGCCCCCAAAGGAGAATGAAAACAAAACGTGGAAAATGGAAAATTTAATAAAATTTTAAGTAAAAAGTAATAAAATAAAAGAAAGATGACAAGAGTCTCCGAATAGCGTGGCGAGAAATGAACACGAAACAGTGTTGAAGTCGCAAATTCGTAAAGTTTAGGTTCACAATCTCTGACGAGTAAACCAAAAAGCGCGCTCTTTTTCTCTCTTGCCAAACGCATCGATCGTTTCTTAAATAATGCAATCTATTCCGGCCACTAAATCCATAAAACCTTTTAAAATCAAGAAGCTCTCTCCTTTATTTTTCCCCTCTCATTCTGGGTTCAAGGGTTGGTGCGTGAGGTACGAGTGTTTCAAATTTCAGTCTCTTGAGCTCTAATCTCAAATGAGGAATCTTGGGTTTGTCGAAATTACTCTGCTTTGCTCTCTCTTTGCCTATTTCCGTATAGATTCTGTCTCCTCTTTAAACTCAGATGGTTTGGCTTTACTCTCGCTTCTCAACCACTTTGATAAAGTCCCTCTTGAAGTAACTTCGACATGGAAGAATAACACATCTCAAACCACTCCGTGTGATAATAACTGGTTTGGTGTCATTTGTGATCCTTCCGGTAATGTGGAGACCCTTAATTTGACTGCTTCTGGGCTTTCAGGCCAATTAGGTTCTGAAATTGGGGAGCTTAAGAGCTTGGTCACTTTGGATCTCAGTCTTAACACTTTCTCTGGTTTATTGCCTTCCACTTTAGGAAACTGTACTTCACTTGAGTATTTGGATTTGTCTAACAATGGCTTTTCTGGAGAGATTCCTGATATTTTTGGTAGCTGGCAGAATTTGACATTTCTGTATCTTGATCGCAATAATCTTAGTGGTCTGATTCCTGCAACTATTGGTCGGTTGATAGAGCTCGTAGATCTGAGGTTGTCTTATAATAACTTGTCTGGTACCATTCCTGAGTCGATTGGGAACTGCACTAAGCTGGAATACATGGCTTTGAACAACAACAAGTTTAATGGTTCTTTGCCAGGAAGTTTCAATCTACTTGAGAATCTTGGTGAGTTGTTTGTCAGTAACAACAGCCTTGGAGGGAGGCTTCATTTTGGTTCTAGCAACTGCAAGAAGTTGGTGACGTTAGATCTGTCGTTCAATGATTTCCAAGGCAGTGTTCCACCTGAAATTGGCAACTGCAGTAGCCTTCACTCTTTACTCATGGTGAAATGCAACTTGACAGGTACAATCCCATCATCCATGGGTATGTTGAAAAAGGTTTCGGTTATCGACCTTTCCGATAATCGTCTCTCTGGGAATATCCCTCAAGAGCTTGGGAACTGCAGCAGCTTGGAAACCTTGAAGCTGAACGACAACCAGCTCCAAGGCGAGATACCACCTGCATTGGGTATGCTAAAGAAGCTACAAAGCCTGGAGCTTTTCTTTAATAAGCTGTCAGGTGAGATTCCTATTGGCATATGGAAGATTCAGAGTCTGACACAGATGCTCCTTTATAACAACACTCTCACCGGGGAACTACCAGTTGAAGTAACTCAGCTGAAGCACCTTAAGAAGCTTACACTGTTTAACAACAGCTTTTATGGAGAGATACCAATGAGTTTAGGCATGAATCGAAGCTTAGAGGAGGTGGACCTTCTTGGTAACCGTTTTACAGGGGAGATACCACCCCATCTCTGCCATGGACACAAGTTGAGATTGTTCATCTTGGGTTCTAATCAGCTTCATGGTAAGATACCAGCGTCTATTAGTCAGTGTAAGACCCTTGAGAGAGTCAGACTTGAAGATAACAAACTTTCAGGTGTTCTTCCGGAATTCCCTCAGAGTCTTTCCTATGTGAACCTCGGAAGCAACAGCTTTGAAGGATCCATCCCGCGCAGCTTGGGAAGCTGTAAGAATCTCTTGACCATTGACCTTTCTCGAAACAAACTCACGGGTCTGATACCTCCAGAACTGGGAAATCTGCAAAGCCTTGGACAGTTGAATCTTTCACATAATCATCTGGAAGGTCCTCTGCCATCCCAGCTATCAGGCTGTGCGAGACTTCTGGATTTTGATGTTGGGTCCAACTCATTGAACGGTTCTGTTCCATCAAGCTTCAGAAGCTGGAAAAGCTTGTCCACTTTAGTTCTCAGTGACAACAATTTTCTAGGAGCCATTCCACAGTTCTTGGCAGAGCTTGACCGGCTCTCAAATCTGCGGATAGCTCGAAATGCTTTTGGAGGTGAGATTCCTTCCTGGGTTGGCTTGTTGAACAGTCTACGCTATGGCTTAGACCTCAGCGGGAATGTATTTACGGGTGAGATTCCAACCACACTGGGGGCTCTTATCAATCTTGAACGGCTCAACATATCCAACAACAAGTTGACAGGGTCTTTATCAGTTCTTCAAAGTCTTAAGTCATTGAGTCAAGTTGACGTCTCGTATAATCAGTTCACGGGTCCAATACCAGTAAATCTGATATCAAATTCTTCAAAGTTTTCGGGAAATCCAGACCTCTGCATTCAACCTTCTTACTCAGTGAGTGCCATAATCCGCATCGAGTTTAAATCTTGCAAAGGTCAAGTCAAACTTAGCACCTGGAAGATCGCCCTTATAGCAGCTGGGTCATCTCTATCTGTAGTGGCTTTGCTTTTTGCTATCGTTTTGATTTTTTGCCGCGGCAAAAGAGGAGCCAAGACAGAAGATGCTAATATCCTCGCAGAGGAAGGTCTGTCCTTGTTGCTGAACAAAGTTCTAGCAGCCACTGACAATCTAGATGACAAGTACATCATTGGAAGAGGAGCTCATGGAGTTGTTTACAGAGCTTCTTTAGGGTCAGGCGAAGAATACGCCGTGAAGAAACTCATCTTTTCGGAACACATACGCGCAAACCAAAATATGAAGAGGGAGATTGAAACAATCGGGCTAGTTAGGCACAGAAATCTCATTCGGTTAGAAAGATTTTGGATGAGGAAAGAAGATGGCTTAATGCTGTATCAGTACATGCCCAATGGAAGCCTACACGACGTTTTGCACAGAGGTAATCAAGGAGAAGCAGTTCTTGACTGGTCTGCACGGTTCAACATAGCCCTTGGGATTTCACATGGACTGGCGTATCTACACCATGATTGTCATCCACCAATAATTCACCGCGACATCAAACCAGAGAACATACTCATGGACTCGGATATGGAGCCTCACATTGGAGATTTCGGATTGGCTCGAATTCTAGATGACTCAACAGTTTCAACGGCCACTGTTACTGGCACAACTGGGTACATTGCACCAGGTACATATACTTCTCAACATAACACGTTCATATTTTGCTCACCTTTACCTTATTCATGCTCTGATGGCCGTATTTCTGTTAAACAGAAAATGCGTACAAGACGGTGAGGAGCAAGGAATCAGATGTTTACAGTTATGGAGTTGTTTTGCTCGAGCTGGTAACAGGAAAGAGAGCACTGGACAGATCTTTCCCGGAAGATATCAACATTGTGAGCTGGGTCAGATCTGTATTAAGCAGCTATGAGGATGAAGACGATACTGCTGGTCCAATCGTTGATCCAAAACTTGTGGATGAGCTTCTGGATACGAAGCTCAGGGAACAAGCAATCCAAGTCACAGACTTGGCTCTTAGATGTACGGACAAGAGGCCGGAGAACAGACCATCCATGAGAGATGTGGTGAAAGATTTGACTGATTTGAAAACTTTTGTAAGCACTTCTGGTTCAGTTCACTAGTTTCATATTTTGCAGGTTTATATAGTTTACTGTTCTTTGTAACCACTAATATAATTGTAACTACCATTGAGTAACCGTGAAGATTTGAGACATATATATCCAAAGAGACTTAATTTTATTGCATAAGTTGGAATTGTTGGGGGAAATAAATTACAAGTATTAAGAGAGGCTTCACAAATTTGCCAATCTCAGTATATTTTAGCCAGTGCTACCAGAAAGCTCGCCTGAGAAGGCACTACCATATGATGTGGAACCGGTTGGTGTCTGTGATGATGTTGCGATCCCTCGAGCTTTTCGCATCTGCCTTAGTCTGAAAACATCTGTGGGCAAAGGCTGGCTTTGTACAGTTGCTGTATCATCTTCTTCTTGCCCTGTTAACAGAGAGATAGAGTAAGATAAGCAACTAACATTTAACGGTTTTCTAAGGGATAGTAGAAGTTATATGCATCTGCAGCTACAAATGCCAAACATTTGAGTGATGGCATAGATGATTCACTTCCATGAGCCAAAAATTATATATACTTGAACATAAACTATAAGCAAATGTAACTTACTGTCTGAATCTTTTCTCTTTGTAGCTCTTCTGTCTCTTGGTAATCTTTGAGACACACCGCGGGTTGGACCCGAGGGATCGTTTTGACTTGGAGGATTGCCTTTAGCAGCAAAACTCTGCTTTACAATTTGACCTGTTGGAAAGTCACTCTGCAAACATATCGACAGAACAACATCCACATTGGGTGTTGGACCTGAGAATTGAGAGGATAATGATAAACTAGTTGGTTAGTGGAAACTTATTCAGGTGCTCAGTTCAAATATAACTTGAAGTTGGTTTTAAAGAGATTTACCGTCAACAATAGGTAAGTTAGCTAAAAACGCTAACAATGCAGGTGGAGTAGTCTTTGGTATTTCGTCAAACGTGCTGGCTGATCCATGAGTTGCAGTTGCAGTCACAATACTTGGGAAGGTGTTCGAAGCAGAAGCTGCCACTGGGTTTGCAGAAGTAGCAAACTCTACAGTCAAATCATGGGTGGTTCAGATTTAGTTCACAATTCATTCATTGTGCAGCCAAATGATGCGGCAAAGTGCAAAGTGAAAAGTGCAAATCAGATACCTGATTTCTTTGTCGGGTCTTGAACAACCATCTGCGATGTATCTGGATAAACAACTTTTGACGAAGAAGCTACACTACCTGTCAGCCCAGAAGGCGGTTTACTTACTTCAGTCATCACCAAAGTTTAACATAATCGATTACACCAGAATATTGAAAAGTACAGACCTATAGCCGCAGGACCATGAGGTAGATTTGTCTTCCCTACTTTCTTATTCAGATTCTTCACAAGCAACTATAGTGAACACATTGATCGGTTAGAATTAATACTAACTAGATGCATCATCAGTAGCCATTTGAGCTAATTGCGATATGTTGCATGGGAAATACCTCTTGTCTGGCTAAATGATCAAGGTCGTTAGAAGTGCATGGCCAAAGATCCATGTAACTGTACCGAGAAACAACATCTTGAAGTGAACTCTCTAGAGGAGAAGATCCCTCTTCCCCTTTTCCAGAAAGTGCTTCTTTCATTCTCTGCTCAACCTAAAACAAGGTAGTCATAGTAAATTCTATGAGCAAAAACTAGGAAGATAAGCAGACTACTCCATCAAACAGCCACACTTGATACTGGGTGTATCGTGGATCTAATTTCAGTAAATTTCATAGTTGATCTAATGTCTCTTTTATGAGGTGCGAGCCTGACATAATCTATTCTAGCAATAAGTTGAAAGTGTCAGCATTTTTAGATCTTCCATGCAACCAAAAACCAGTAAGATGGAATATACATAAATGTTGGGCCCCTTCAACAAACTTATCATCATACCGAAGTCAACCGAAAAATAACTACAAAAAATGCTGACAAAACACAGGAAGCTAATAATATTTGCTTTCCTAGTATACGTTGACAACACTCAAATGAGTCAAATTACCTTTAGAATACTAGCAAGATCTCCATATGTTTGCTCAAACTGAATGAATCTTTTCCAGACCTGCAAAACATGGAGCAAGAAAAAAGTTAATCCTAGAAAACAATTAGCATTAGGGTGTAATCTATTGACACCAGTTGTCTTCTTTATTGTATTAGCATTTTAAACAGTATTACATGTGAACGACAATAATATTGGACTCTTTCATTTCAGTTTTAAATGTCTACAATCCCCACAACTGTTAATAAGGCTCAGATGTGCATCAAGATTACACATCCAATTGCTAAAACATTATCATATTTAAGCATTCAGAAATGCTATAATCAAATTAGATGCTTGGTTATTTCATTAGCAGGTTGGTTATTCTCCTTGTTGTCTCTATTCATGCTTAAGAACAAAATTGCATACTCTAACGGCTTTGAGAAACGATACATCACTATCAGCGTACCTCAGCAGAGTCTTCAGCTGGTAATGTGCTTAATGCCCGCTCAAATAGAGCTCTGATATTTCTATCATCATTCAATCTAGTCAAGAAATCTGCATACCTAGATTGCAAAGCAAAACCAGATGGGTTAACATTCTGTTTTAGGAAAGTTTGAGGATATTTTATCTGAGAAGGTCTTAAAGTCTAATTATTTTCTTCAACAAAGAAGAGTTTCAAGTATATCATAAGAAAATGGAACTCTTAGTAAAGCTGCAGTGACCCTTACTCAAGGATGTAAACAGGTTCACTCATATAGAGTTTCAACCCCTCCTCAAAGATATTATGTGCAACCTGTATAAAAATACAAACATAAGGATTTTTATTGTGAAACTGAATAGAAATTAAAGTCAGAAGCTTTACATTAGTATATTTGTCTTGCAAGAACGTGTTAATTTTTCGGTTAAAGAAACGAACAAATAAAGACAAAGAGGAATGTGCATGGCATAAAAGTAAGGTACGTGTACTTTGCAATCAAATGAAGAGTTTAAGTGCATAAATAGCCAAAACACCCCAATACTCAAATCATTTTGACTTCATTATCACAAAAGTCTCCTGGGTCCTGGCTTACTTTAACTATAAGAAAAATAAGACGAGTAGGTTCTGAACTTGACTGAACGACCACTACCTCCTTCACAATCAATTTATTCATATACCAACAAGACCAAACAAAAGCAGTTCTAAATAGTACATAGACCACATAGTGGGTAAGAAAACCCACCTTTGGTTCCTTGTCAATACAAAAGGCCATGGTAGCAAAAGCAATATACACATGATATGTGCAGCTAGGAGATTTTCTAGCATCTAAAAAGTACTTGCGAGCAGCTTCAACACCCTCAGCCCTCCGGAGAAAACGAAGGAACTGCGAAAGAATATATAGAAGTATATCATATGAGAATATTTCCAGAGAAAAATTTAAAAGTGAACGATATGCTGTTTATGCAATCTTAGCAGTCCTTAAGTTCTGAAACTTGAGCGTACTTACTTGTATATGTGCCAAAGAGTTTGTGCTAACCCCCAAAATGCTTTCATATAATTTCTTTGCTGACTGCAAAATCATACAACTATAAGCAACGAGTATGAAGACAACTTATAAAGCTAGATAAAGAGAAGCAAGCAGCAAGTATAAGAACCTGAATTGCTCCACGAGATTCCTCCATCTCAGCATAAGCATATTTCAACATTTCCGAATCTGACATACGAGAGTGGGCAATGTAGACACTTAGTGAAATATAAAAGAGGCGCAGAATGCAGATAAGTGAGAAAATAGAATGCTTAAGAGTAGATAGAAGATAAGATTAAAACTGTAAGCCAGCGAGTAAGCAAAGACTAATAGTCGAACCTTCATAAAGCAACTAGTTCATAGACATAAAGAAAAAGGATAGATAAGATTTACCAGGAATGGCCTTGAGAGCTCGCTGAAATACTTTGATTGCAGCATCCGTGGTACCAGATTTTACGTGCCACTCAGCATAGTCATACCATACATCGGGATAGTGATATAAACACATCAGACACTGTAAAACCAGAGTAATAATCAGTCAATTAAGAAAGAAACACATTTCGGAGATTAGTACCCCTAAATTTCAGCAAGAGCATCTCACTGACTCTTCGCGTACCTGTTCATAGGCATATATAATCCGCTTAGTTGACGAGGCCGTGTCAATCCTTTGAGGGTTTCCTCTGAAAGTTACAATGGTATTAGATATAGAAATTTGTTTTATTTAGAAGGACTTGTTAAAGAATACTATGCATAAGACCTAATCATCAATTGTTAGATATAATTGGATAGTAATTTATTCCAGCTTTCTAGTTAAAATCATCAATAAATCTTAATAGCCAAAGTAAGAGACGGACAAGATATAAAAGTCTCATCACTAGGCATCAACCGAAAAAAATCTACCGAGGGACCGATATATTGAAATCTAGCCTTTGTAAAAAAAAAATGGCTAAGCAGCTACGTAAAACACGTATCATCACTGAATGAAGTAAATTAAAATTAAAAAAATAAGATAAGGTTTTAGGGGTTTACTTTTCAAAGGACAAAAACTTTTTCCAAGCCACCCATTGGGTTTCTTCCTGTATAAAATCATAAGACATTGTAAAGTACCAGGGTGAGCAAATGATGCTCCATATGTATTTCCTATCTTAACAACCTGATCTCATGACGTGAATTATGCTCATAATGTCTTTTAGCCAATTTAAAAGTCAATCTATCCAATATTATTCAAAATGATAAAGAAAAGAATTGTACATTCAGCAGCTCCAAAAAGAAGCAATCGATGAGATATTCTTTACCTTGGAAGATCCTGTTGGTGGGACAGCAAGCATGTTCCAATCAATTTCTTCAATGTACTTCTTGCGCTCCCTATATACAGCCCTGGCGCTGTTAAATTTTGGTTGATACTCATTTACAAGTCCTTTTGCCTGCTCACAGGATTAGATTAGATCATCCATCAACAAAACAAAGAGAATGAATTTCGTACCTACTTGTGATACACTAAATATTCATGAAAATAAGAAACCACACAATTTTCTATTTCTAAGAAGTTTACCAATTGACGATTAACAGAATTTTCGAAGTTCTCATAATCTTTCCAAAGTTGTTCAACGTGGTGGGTCGGAGTTAATATAGCTCTATGATACACTTTTCGGAGAGCAGTCTTCCGATGCAAATCTTCGTTGAGGTTCAGAGCCTGCACGAGAATCTATTAGTCTCTGAGCAATAACAAGTTATTAGTATCAAGGACAAAGTTAGAATGATATAACGAACCGGAAGAGATTTTAGAAAGGTAATGTACTCGGTCCATATAGGCCCAGATGCTATGTCTGTCCCTGGAGATTCATACATCGAAATAAACAACCATCAGTAAGACCCAAGTTATGTTATGTGTTGGCATGATAAAGAGAAACTAGAGCTCTAAAGATGCAAAACGTAAGTATGTGCTTGCTATTGCTGATGGATAGTAACTTGCAACAATATTAAGCATAAAATTGATCAAAATCATACTGTTTTACTACACATAACTCTATCCATTTCTCATAAGCGAAAAATTCCCTCTATGTATGAGACAAGATTAAAATAAAAAACAAACAAAATAGAACCAAACTGCGGAAGAGAAACGATACCAATATAGTTAAGCATAAACTCAAAAGCCTTTGTGGTCTCCTCTTGACCCTCTGCTCCCTTCTTGTCGTAGACCTTTCTGATGAACCGAATGTAACATTGCCTAAGTGAATAAGATGTTATAGTTAGATTCAAGGAGAAGGAAAGACTTGCATTGTAGCTAAGCAAAGATCTTAAATTGACTCTTATCAACGAATAAAAAAGGAAAACATGGCATTACCAAAGAGGAACTTGAAGGCAGGTCAACAAACAACGACTAAATATCTGTTTGGTAGCATCATCATTGTTTACAGCCATGTGTGCCTCCACATATTGCTTCCAATATCTCGCCTACAGAGTTAGAGAGGAGATCACAATTAACCCCCAAACCCCAAAATACGTGGAAGCAAAGTCATGGGAAACTTACAGAAGTGGGATAAATTGACAAAAGCTGCTCGTAGATCGGAGTCGCCTGTGCAATTGGTAAATGCTGAAGAAAGGACACAATTTTACGAAACCCAACAATTAAAAATCCGAAACTTTTTTAAAAGTAGGAGAAAGCAGACAAGTATATAGCTCTGGGGAAAGAGTTGTACCAAAGCTCTCTTGGCCAAAGCCTCTGCTTCCTCAACGTTGTACTTATCAGCCATGAATTTCACCTTCGGATGAACAGTCTTTCAAATATTCCACGCAATGGTGATGTAAGTAGACCCTAATCTGAGATTCAATCAGTGTAACAATCTTCCGACAAGTCTAGCTACAGCTTCTGCTGCTTCAACGCCAAAAAAAAATTCCCCAAAAGGACCTCAGATCAGTAAAACAGACCTTCAGAAATTTACCATAGAAGTAAACCCTAATCTGAGATTCAACAATTTAACACTCCTCCGACGGGTCTGGCCGAAACACGGTGGTCGGTGACGGTGATACCCTATTGTCGAACGGAGAAACTCAAAGCAACCGGTCCGTCTTTAGGAAACGAATATTTTCCGCGGTTCAACTGTCCCACGAGGATTCTACTAAACTTATATTGAAAATATTACTATTTAGCAAAATACGGGTATTTTACGGGCCTAGGTTTTTGGCCCATTTAAGGGAAGTTGGGCCCATTACATATACTAAAAACGTTAAGCCGTTAAGGTAGGTTCAAGAGAGTTGGTGGATTCGAATTTTAAGTCTGATAGATTTTTGGCGGGTTTGAAATCTATTTGGTACATCCGCCTAAGTTCTTTGGAAACTAAACTAATGAACCAATGAACTAAACTAATGCTTAATTGCTTATATATATGCACTTTGGGTAAGCATTTGTACTCGTGAATTCACTTTTAACACTTAATTATAAAGATACATGTAATATAAGAAATTAATCATAAGAAGATATATTCCAATGGAAATGATAATATACAGCAGTTGATTGTTTACGTTGGTGATTAAAAATTTTGTATGTAGCCGTATCTCATAGATGAGATAGGGTTGGAATATGGAAAATAAAAGATTGTGTGGTTTATATTAACTATGATCATGTTTTTATCAGATCTATTATTTCAGTTGAATCATTTTTGCTTTAACCTAGTGCATCGTAAGAGGATGAAGAGCCATTCATTCATGTTAGAAGAAAATAACCATTTTTTGTAGAATGTTAAGTTCAATCATTTTGTTGCAAATTATTCGTTTTCTTTATCAAAGTTTATATTCGTAAAATTCATTGTGCGCAGTTCGACCTTGCCAGACATAAAAATAGCAAATATAAGAGACTAGAATATCAAAGTTTATCTCTGGTTAATCTGCTTTACTTCATCGATTTCCAAAATCAAATCAATTAAGTTTCTAACTCAATACAAATCATTAGATATATGAGCTTAATACTATATACTCAACGCTAAAAGATTGTTATGGAAATGAACATCATGTTACATATCATACAATATATGTATCTAAAATTAGTTTAAACGGCAAAGAAATTTCATTTGAATGTTATAGTTGTTATATATAGTATAGGTAATCTATTCTAGTTTGAATCCTAACTAATATATTTGTTATATATGTATGTAAAGTATGCATGGGTATAGTTTTTAATTTGGTAATACAATTTTTTTTATACGTGCGCATGACAATTTGTAGCGCACGTGTTTGCTTTTATCGTTTTCGACAAATTATAGATCATGTCTTTTTCCTATTAAGTATTGCCTCTTAGCATAATAGATTGATATTTTGGGGTTTTTCTTGTTTCATAATGATTGATGATTTGTTTCAACATCATTATTACTTTCATTTGTTATCCATATAAAAAAACATAACTAATATTATTAAACTAACAAAAACATCGTAAATATATAATTTTTTTTTTATAATTTGTGTGAAAAAAACTAAAACATCTTTATATTAGGAACAAAGGTAATTTCTCTTTTATCGTATACTAAATACATTTCTTCTAAATTAGTAATCATGCTTATTTCACCCATCCCGATAAATTTTGACAACATCGTTGTTGCCCTAACTTAAAATAATATTTTGGTTTTTGACATGCATGCTAATATTGTAGCTCACGTGTTTTGTTGCAAAGAAAGAAAAAAAAAAGAATATATGGTGAAGAGAGTTGTTTGGGTTGTATATTACTATACCAGAAAATTGTTGTCACTTCTAAGCAAAAATTACTTTTGAAATTGTTCGTTATTGAAATCTCATTTAATGTACTTTTATATTTTATTTCTATGTTATGAACCATCAATAAAAAAATGTTCATATGAATCAAACATTATCCTTTTCTTATGCATTAAAAAACTTTAAAATATCAATGCCGTTAGAAATTTAAAGTAGTTATCGCTTCAAAATAACCTTGTGACTCTTTTTCTGATAAAGATTATCCACAAAACTTCCCTAAATCATGTTATATTTCATTAAGTACTTTGCAAATAAAATCTGTTTACTTGCAAGTATGCATAGCAATATTAGTTTATATTGACATTTGCATTACTCTAAGTGTGTTGCATACTATAACCTAAGGTCAAAACAAATAGTTTTTAAGTAAGCATATTATCAAGTATCAACTCTAGTCATTTTCTTAGGAAAATATTATGCTACACCTACTATTACAGTGGAACAAAATCTATCTATTAAGAAAATCAAAATTCATTCTCGATCCATTTGATATCTCTTTTGTGCTCTTCTAAAAAAAGTACATTATCGTATGTCCATCTTTTTGTATGAAACATCTTTTTGTCTCACTATATGTGACCTGGCTTTCCACTTAAATATCTTCAGTTTTGTTGTAGCAAATATCAATATCCATTAAAAGACTTCATCATATATATTTCAAGTCAAATTGGTCTTTATGTGTTAGCACAAGTCCCATGACTATAGGGAAGAAACTGTAACAAGAGCTTTGTATTCACAGATCATGTACAATAACCTATTGTAGTGGTGTCACATAATTAATTGAATCAGTTGAATTCTCTAGCTTTATATGAGGCCCGTTCAACTTTTGGATAACTCTTATTCAAAGTTAATAATAAAATTCTCATATATATATATATATATATTATATATATATATATATATTTGTTTCTTAAAATGACAAACTTCTGAAGTCATATTCAAAATATAATTATAGGGTATAATACTTAATACTTTTGGATGTACATGTGTCAAAATTAAACTTTTTAAAGAAAGTTTGAATAAACTACTTATATGTAGAAAATATTATTAAAAATAGGTAAGTAAAGATATTTTACATTTATTTTTATTATTTTTTCCAAGGCAAAAGTGTTATAACATTAATGGGTAGTCTAAGATACATTGAATAAATAGAAAAAAATCTAGGACTTTTAAATGACTCAAAATTGGACGGTAGAGATCAATCTAACGGCCATTATTCTTCTTGTAAACAACGACACATATCCTAATTGCCTTTAAATAGAAGATTATCTTTACTTTATTCTTCACTCTCAAATATCACATAAACCATTCTAGTTTGCTACTTCAACCATCTCCCGTTCGTAATTTCATCTAAATTCTCCATATCTTTCTTGTTCCTTGTGTTCACTACCTTGTAGAACTCTTGATCTCATTTCTCAGCTTGAAGGTACATGCTACTTTGATTTTTTGTTTTACTATTTTATTGTTTTATGTACACTTCGTATTGAGGTATATATATCTATGCATTTTCATGTTCAAGATGTAATTTTTTTTTGTTCAAATTGCTTGATTAATGTGTCTGGTATGGATAATTTGTTTTTATTAATTTATTCCTTGTCTATTTATTTGCTAATTTTTTGCACTTTAATTTTGAAGATTCCAATTTGATTAAGAGTTTTTTTCTTAGTCCAGTGGTATCATCACTATATATTTCAGATCTGAACATATTGCTATGCAATTTTATAATAATATGCGGTTTATATACTGTCACAAAATAGTTTTAAAACATCTCTCATCTTCTCTTCTTTTTCTTTTTCTTTCTAAAAACCTAATTATCATTTCATGTCTTTCTTTTTTGTGTCTTGACAAAAATGATTTCAAGTCTCAGAATCGAGTCTCTCATGAAATGCTTTATACCATTTATGATAAAATTTGAGAAATGTTGTTTTATGTTTTTGCAATGTTCGCAATCTTTTAATTAATAATGTTCACAACCATATTTCGTAAACCTCCTCGCTATATCATATATATCTACTTGTTTAATTATGTTGATCTCTGACTTCTTATCTTTGTAATGATAGGATTTTTTTGCAATGGATAAGTCGATTCCAATCGAGGCAATACCGCTCGCAAGTTTCATACCGGATTTGGTAGATGAGCACACCAGAAACACATCAACGATTCCTACAATGGTGTCATCGCTTCATACAAACATTATGCCATCTGAAGATGTTGATGAAGAAACCTACAATACATTTGCAACATCTCCTCCTAGAATGGTCTCACCTCTGCGAACCATCTGGCCAACCAACAAGGACTGGTATGATGGAGATGCTGGTCCTAGTACTGGTCCATTCAAACGCGAACCGTTCGATGATGTTGATGATGAAATGCAACACACATCCGCACCCCCTCCTCAAATGGCGATTCCATTGAACTCCATTAGGCCAACTGATGACTCTAACAACAATTCTTATGATGCGGGTGTTGGTCCTAGTACTGGTCCAGCAAAACGAGGACGTGGCCGACCAAAAGGTTCAAAAAACTCAACGTCGACCAAGCCGAAGAAGACAAAAGTTTATGATCCCAACAGCTTAAGGGTTACATCTGATCTTCTTGGGAATTTTGATTCAGAGATAACCGACGCAGAGAGAGAAAATGGAAACCAAGAGTTAGTTGATGCAGTTATGATGCGGTTTGATGCGGTTAGACGCCGATTATGCCAACTAAACCCTGATGAAGACCTCCTTGTAACGGCGAATACGAATTGCACGAAATTTGGGGTCAAGACAAATACGAGAAGGAGAATTGGTCCAGTTCCTGGAGTACAAGTAGGAGATATATTCTATTTCTGGGGTGAAATGTGCTTAGTGGGGCTTCACAGACAAATGGTCGGCGGCATTGATTCTTTCACGGCTGCAGAGAGTGCAGTGGAAGGTCATGCTGCTACGAGTGTGGTAACAGCAGGACTATACGATGATGAAACCGATGGGCTTGAATCGTTGATCTATTGCGGACAGGGCGGATCGGACAAGTCCGGTCGTTGTTTTGATCAAGAGCTGAAAGGGGGAAATCTTGCACTAAAAGCAAGTGTAAGCAGAGGGAATGACATTAGAGTCGTGAGAGGAGTGATGCATCCTTTCGACAACAATCAGAAGGTATATATATATGATGGGATTTATCTGGTTACAGAGTGCTGGACAGTGACAGGAAAATCCGGCTTCATAGAGTTCAGATTCAAATTGGTAAGGAAACCAAACCAACCTCCTGGTTATGCAATCTGGAAATTAGTTGAAAATTTGAGGGAGCATGACTCGATTGATTCAAGGCCAGGTTTTATACTTAGAGATCTTTCTTTTGGAGCTGAGCTTTTACGAGTTCCACTTGTTAATGAAGTCGATGAAGACGACAAAACGATTCCCGAAGATTTTGACTACATCACATCTCAGTGTCAATCTGGTATGACGCTTGATCTTCATGTTGATCGTCAATTACTTGGAGGCCAGAATTTTCAACATCAGTCATGCATTGATCAAAACAGCACCTGCAAGCAGAGAAACGGTGGCCTACTACCGTACCATAACAACATTTTGGTTTGTCGTAAACCATTGATTTACGAGTGCGGTGGTTCTTGTCCATGCCCTAACGATTGCCCAACCCGGTTGGTTCAAACCGGCTTGAAACTCCAGTTGGAAGTGTTCAAGACAAGAAACTGTGGTTGGGGTTTACGTTCTTGGGATCCAATCCGAGCTGGAACTTTTATCTGCGAGTTTGCCGGTGTGAGAAAGACGAAAGAAGAAGTAGAAGAGGATGATGATTACTTGTTCGACACGTCTAAGATTTATCCGAGGTTTAAATGGAATTACGAACCTGAGCTTTTGCTTGGAGATTGTTGGGAACAAGTCTCTGAATTTATCAATCTTCCAACACAAGTCTTGATAAGCGCCAAGGAAAAAGGAAATGTTGGTCGGTTCATGAACCACAGCTGTTCACCGAATGTTTTCTGGCAGCCTATAGAGTATGAAAACAACGATGATACATATGTTCTTATTGGACTTTTTGCTATGAAGCATATTCCTCCAATGACAGAGTTAACATATGACTATGGAGTTTCTCGTGTGGAGAGGACCGGAGAAGATGAAAAGGTTTATATAGGCAAGAAGAATTGTCTCTGTGGTTCAGTCAAATGTCGTGGCACTTTTACCTGATTTGGACTTTATATCATTTGAATGTATTGTTTTTTTTAGTTTCTTTGTTTCTTTTGCATTTGTTGTTGATATTTTCCTTTTTAAAAAACATTAATAAAAGTAATGAATTATGAATCATATTTGTTTTTGTCTAAATCGATTCATTTTCAGTTGGGCTTACGCTATATGAGGCCCAAATCAGAACTATCCAATTAGTTTTTTTATTTCTTAAATGATAAGAAAAATAAGAACCTTGTTTTTTTTTTTAATTAACTAACGAAAGAAAAATCAAAAAGACTGGTTTATATATTTTCTGGTTCGTTCTTTGTCAAGTCGACTTCTTCGGGTCTCTCTCTTTCCTTTTGTTTGATTTTCATCTATATCTGTTTTCAATTTGGGTATTAGGGTTTTCTTGCCTGCCCTTACCTTTCCTCGTCCCTCTGGCCATCTTCCTCGGAAATTCACTTTCATTTCATGTAATTCGATTATCGTAAGAGTGTTTGTTTTTGTGATGCCCTCGTGTTTTGATCACAAAATTGGTAGAATATCTCTGGTCTTTCGTAGAACCAAAGATTCTTTCTTCTTGAATAGGTTTTGAACATCATGTCTGATAAAGTATCTCGCTTTCGAAGTTGGGAGCTTTCTTTTTTACTTTATATGGAAAAGCTTCCCTGTTATCATTTGTGTTTAGAATCATCGATGATGATCTTGTTTGTTTCACAAAAGTATTTACTAAGTTTTTTGTACTTATTTTCAGTAGTATTGTCGTTGTTGTGTGAGCTATGAGTAGAGATTCTAAAGGAAGACCATGGTATGATAAATTCTACCGTAAACGGGACAGTTTGGCTTCTCAGGTACTTTTGCTAGTTCCTAAGTCTCTTGAGTCTTTGATGGTTTAAAAAGATGTAGAGTAGAAGGAATTGAAGTCTCTTGGTTCTTATGTTGGACAGGATAAGGTTTCTTTAGAATCAAGTGATTCTTCAGGATTGGATTCTGTTAAGGATGAACCAGAGAAACTTACAGAGAAACAAATGGAGGGAGAGGGTTTTAAGGAGAAGTTATCAGACTCTGTTTTGATTGATGAGAAGCTTGAAGAGTACAGTGATTGTGATCAGACAGCAACCACTTCCCCTTGCCCCAAAGATCCAATATCTTCTCAATCTACTCACCGCTCCCCGGAAAGCTTTGTGACTGCAATAACATGTAATGATGATACTTTTGTATCTGTCTCTGGGATTTCTAGGGGTGTTTCAAATCTAATCCCATTCGCTACAGAGACTCAAGCTTCACCTGTTCAAGACAAAGTGGCAAACACTAGATCCTTTAGCAGCAACTCTATGAAAGGTTTGTGTGTGTTTCTCATCTATTCCAAAAACAAGTTTTGGAATTGGTCTCTGTGCAGTTTTGTTAGTTTCATCATGTTCAACTCTTATTGTGTAGTTAATAATCTAGATGAGTTCTTCATTGAAGACTTCGATGTTGGTCCAATGGATACCATTGATTTGTATGACATGACATTTCGAGAAGACCCCTCAGATTTTGACGACAATCTGCTATATGCAACGCGTGACAGGACTAAGCAACTCAGATCATTCAAGGTCCTCTTTCATGATGTATCTGTCATGTAATTGAATACTGCTCTCCCTGTATCTTCATTCCTAATATGTTTCTTCTTCATCATAATCATCAGAGAAAGATAATGGATGCTATAACTTCGAAAAGAAGAAGAGAGAAGGAATATGAGCAGCTTTCTATATGGTTCGGAGACGCAGACATGGGTTGTGATCTGGTAAACACTAAGGAACATGCTACAACATCTCTAGACTCCAAAAGCTCACAGTCAAATGTGCCATTTGTATCACAAGATTCTGAGTGGGAGCTTTTGTAAGATATAAATGTGTTCTATTTTGGTGAGACTCATGTGATACCAATATTTAGTTTGTAACTAATATGGAAAAATTAATTTCTTCTTTCTGTCCCTTCTAGTTTCGTTTACTGCTTTTAAACAATCAATTGTTCCAATCAAGAAGCAAGGAACAAGCATGTTGATTAAATCCAAAACAGGAGAAGAAAACATTAAAAAAAATTAAAAATGGTTTCATTTTTCTGTACAGTAAAAAATCGCAATACAGAAACCAATCCTTTTGGGAAGAGTTATCGACTTAGTAATCAATCTAACTGTGCTATTGAAAGAGATCAAACAGCATGACAGTTCTGACTCTAAAGCTAAAGACTTTCGACTTGTTGGCCTAATTACCATTATCTGATCCACGTCCTGAGGAGCTGTCACTGTCAGAATCTGCAGATCAGAAGAAAAGTTAGGTGAGTTGTGATGCTGATAGCCTGATATGGTAAAAGAGCTTAACAAAAAGTTTCAACATTTACCACTAGAGCAAGATCCTGAGTCACTACTAGAACTGTTAGAACTACTTGATCCACTTGCATTGTTTTCTTGCCGACCAGGAGATGATGTGCGAATTGCTTTTCCTAGTTTTTTACATGTCAAAACAAATTTATGGAAGAATCATTATTCCCCTGGTTTTTCTTTGTGTAGATAAACAAATACAGTTACATCCGAATTTGGTATGATTATTGTGAACTTAAATGCTTACCTGATTCAGTAACTCTCGATGTTTTGGTGCCAGTTACTAGAGTGGTCTGTGAACCAAAAGAAGAAACAATGATATTAGGCAAATACAGTAAGAGCAGAACACCTGAATAAACAATTAGCTATGGAAAGCTTACTGGTTCTTGAATACTATTGTGAACAGATTCAGCATCTCTTTCTGAACCAAATCCCTGGGCCTCGTTTGTCTTGCTCAAGCTCTCCTTATACCCAGTCACAAATCTATAAAGCTCCCAAAGCGTATTGATATCAAGACTATCGATATCCAGCTCAATCTCATCATCTTGTTGAGAGAGCTCTGGATTGCTCTTCTTTATGATCTGAACAACAGTCTCTAGTTTGTCATAAGGCAAGTCCTGAAGCTCTTCACTGAGTCTCCGTTTCTCTTCCAAGGTGAGGTCCCTGTTGTTAACAGGTGCTTCTTCCTCTTCTTCAGCTTTCTCGGGAGCAGTAGTTACAGCTTCAGGTTCCACTGGGATTGTCATAGATTCTTCTCTCTCCCAAGTCCTATTTTCAAGTACCGGAGGTTGTGGTGCTGGTGGTGGTGGTGGTGGAGGAGACGGGGAAGGTGAAGGAACCGCAGGTAATGGCTCTACGATAGGAGCAATGGTTGAAGCAGGAGCAGGGAACTCAATATCACGAGTTGGTTTGAACTTCCTATGAAGATTATCATACTGCATTTCAATGGATACCCATTTATCTTCAAACATTTTCAACAAAAGCTCAGCAAAACGATGCACATCATGCCCAACCGGATTATACAAAATCGCATTGTTAAAAGTAAGTCTAACATCTTCAGCGAAATCCAATGGCGACTTATACAAACTTTTCCCCAACTTAGTCTTCACTGTACCCAAATCCATAGGCTCTTTAATAATATTGTGATAATCATGTAAGCCAAGTCCTTCAGCATCCACTGGGACATTGAATACCCAAGCACACTTATGCTTCATCAATTTCGTAAGCAAACTGTTACAGTTCTTGAAAATCTGAATCGTACCTTTATAAGCTCCATGCCCACTTTTCTTACCTCCTCCATTCCCTGTTTTCAGCTTCTTGTTTCTCCCTACAACACCAGTTTTAGCCATTGACCCAATATTTCCACCAAGATTACCTTCGGGATCGAACCGTTTGATCAAGCTCCTAACCTCATCTAGCTCAGATTTTAGTTTCCGCTTCAAGTTCATAACCTCAAGCTTCGAAATCGAGCTCAGACTTATCTTTAACATGTGATGATCGTCCTCCGAGTTCGAAGGAGATACCAGAGGAAGCGATCGCTCGTTTCTAGAAACCACCATTGGTTTAGGTCGGTTCTGGCTTGAGCTCCACTTATGCTTCTTCGTCTTCGAAGCTCCACCACCTGAAATATGGTCGGAAGACATTCCCCTGACAACCAAATTTAGGGTTTCTCTAGGGGTTTTGAGCTCGGAGGTGCCAAGATTGATGAATTCAAACACGAAATCGAAGGTCGGTGAGATCGAAAGAGAAGAAAATTAGGGTTCAATGGTTAACTTCAAAAATGATCGCTCTGGATTTTGCAAAGCTGAAAAAAACCCTAAAGGGAAACAATGGTGAGAGCCGCGAGAATAGCGTAAGCTCACGCGCTTGAACTCACGCGCTTGAACTCACACGCGCTTTAGAACCCGAGAAATTTGGGATAACAAACACATGTGTGTAAGGGAAAGTAAAGTAATCTCAGGTGTCCCCCAACATTATACCAAACCGGTACAAACCGAAAAGTACCAATTAAATGTTCCTTTTACGTGACGTCTAACTGCAAACCAATTGCGTAATCCTTTCTCTATCTAGTTTTTTTCTTTTCAAAAAATACAATACAAGGTACTACATAATATGAAAATCATTAATACTTCAACGCAATAATTTTCAATATTTATATTTCTTCCATAACCACAAGCTAGCATCTGTCTGTCTCCTCAATACAAAAGAAAATCTATGAATTTATCGAATTTGTATCTATTTCTGGCAACTGATAAAAACAGTCTACATATATAAAGTTTTAATTAGTTCACCAAATTAAAACCATGCACCCATTGACCAAAAATCTCTTGCATGGAAATGTATTGATCCTTTTCAAATTCAAGAACAGTCTATATAGAAAGGATATTATCACTCAGGTGTTGAATAATTCACAAAACTAATTAAAACCTTTAACCTATTGACCCAAATGGCTCAATCATCTGGACACGTTTCTTATGTGGCGGCTTACGGTTCCAATAGCTATTGTCATGACAGTGTTGTGCTTGTTTCTAACCAACGCAGTGACCTATGCCCGGAGACCGACCACCTACATTGTGGGAGGCGACGACGGTTAGGACCCGGTTGTTCCGATGGACACTTGGGCACGAGGCAAAACCTTTTATGCTGGTGATATCCTCGGTATGTATATCAATGATCTTAAAAATATTCATAGTACGGTAGTGTGAATGTGTGATTGATAAAACATATATATTCATAGTTTAATATTGGCTTAACTTTATTCTGCTTAGACAATAGATTTATATTGGTATATTCATGGTGATGCATTGCAGAATTCAAATACGATGATCAGAGATTTAATTTGATTGTGGTAAACCGAACTGGTTATGAAACTTGTGAAGCGAACGTTGGAGCGATAGAGTTTTCGTCCGGAGACGATAAGATCCAACTTTATTATGGTTATAATTATTTCATCGGAACATATACCCCCGAGGATTGTTCCACCGGTTTAAAGATGGCCATCAAAGCATTGGCTCCAAAATAAATTAAATGAAGCAACTAACTATACTAAAGTGGTATGATTAGTGTTTAATTTCGTAGTGAATTGGAGTTATTAGTAACAGTTTATGCGTTTTAAATGTTAGATTAATAAATATCTTATTAAATTTCATTTGCGTTTTAGTAGCTTTTCACTTTATAAATAATCTAATGATATAGAATCTAGTTTATGTGTTCAGAACGTAAATAATATTATTCTTAAATTATTTTCTGTTTTAGTAGCGTTCGTACTCTAAAATAAAATCTAATGATGTAGCTAGAATCTCGTTCTTTGTAATCAACAAAAGTGAAATTATATTTAAAACAAGTTCTTAGATTGAATCTGTTTTAAATTATCAAACTAAAGCAAGTGTTAATCTCTTTTTTTTGTTTTTTTCCCATAATCTTCGTTCTTACCAAAAACTTGTACTGTCTCACATGAAAAGACAAAATAAATGACGAGGAAAACAGAAACCGGATCAAGATTCAGAGAATTGTGACTTGATCCACTTGGCACACATGCATAGATATATAGTCACAACATGGATAATATACATACACATTTACACAGTAGCATTGTTATGTATATATTGAATCTTAATAAAGGAACTGTCCAGATTGAATGATCAGGTAAGATCGAGGAATGGATAGACACGAACAGGATCCACGTGTTCAGCTTTAGACACTCTCATGTCACATCTGTCTCCTAATTGCTTCCACTTTGCTTCTTTTAAGCTCTCTCTCTTCAAGTCTTCTTCTCTTGCCTTTTCTTCCTTCTTCTTTATCCATTAATAAGGTTTGATCCTCTCACTTAAATTAGGGTTATAAATGGCTACATCTGCTAGAAGAGCATATGGATTCGGGAGAGCTGACGAGGCGACTCACCCGGACTCCATTAGAGCCACTTTGGCTGAGTTTCTTTCCACGTTCGTCTTCGTCTTTGCTGGAGAAGGCTCAATCCTCGCTCTAGGTTCGTAGTTTATACATACATAGGAAATATCCCCCCAGAAAAAAAACATTTTCAGCCATATATTAATTGTTACCATCTTTACTTGAGAGAGAGTCTTAATCAGAACTAACACTAGTATTGCTCCTTTACAAACTTATTTATATAAACAGTTTTAGATTTATCCGTTTGAATCAGGATTTTTGTTTTAATAAGGAATGAATATATAAGACTTCCTTTGACTTTAGTTATAGTGAATGTTATCGTTGGAACTATGCATCATCCATGCATGCATGTGTGATATGAACTATGTTATATGTGTTGTTGGACAGACAAGTTGTATTGGGACACGGCGGCTCACACGGGGACAAACACACCGGGAGGGTTAGTTCTGGTGGCGTTAGCTCATGCATTGGCCTTGTTCGCGGCTGTTTCTGCGGCCATCAATGTCTCCGGTGGCCACGTGAACCCCGCTGTCACTTTTGCTGCTCTAATCGGAGGCAGGATCTCGGTGATCCGAGCTATCTACTATTGGATTGCTCAGCTTCTTGGTGCCATCATCGCTTGTCTCTTGTTGAGGCTTGCCACTAATGGCTTGGTATAGTACCTCTCATCAATTTCTATCTTACTATTATGTATATGATCGTCTAGTCAGGTTTTCAGTTTGGAATGTCTTTTTGGTACGGTTTTGTGTTGAAGCAAGAACTTTGTAAAAATATATGCTCATGACTGAATGTGATTCTATGTGATGCAGAGACCAATAGGTTTCCATGTAGCATCAGGAGTTAGTGAGCTTCATGGGCTAGTGATGGAGATCATACTTACATTTGCTTTGGTTTATGTTTTCTACTCGACCGCAATCGATCCAAAGAGAGGGAGTATTGGGATCATAGCGCCGCTAGCCATCGGGCTCATAGTTGGGGCAAACACTTTGGTGGGAGGACCCTTCGATGGGGCCTCTATGAATCCGGCTAGAGCCTTTGGTCCAGCATTAGTGGGATGGAGATGGAGTAACCATTGGATCTATTGGGTTGGACCGTTCATTGGTGGTGCACTCGCCGCTCTTATCTATGAGTACATGATCATCCCCAGCGTGAACGAACCTCCTCACCACAGTACCCACCAACCATTGGCTCCGGAAGATTACTAGACCGGAGCACATATAGAGGGTTCTCTCTTTGTATAAATAGTCTCTGTGTTTGCTTGTGTTGTTTGTCTCTTTGTATTTTCCTTTTCCTGCCATTCCCTATGTATAATTGAGTCCACACCAAAACCTGCTTTCTTGTATTGTATCTTACAGAATAATAACGGTTTTCAATGATCGGATAAAAATGGAGATATCTATGGCTTTCTCTCAAAGCGCTGTACATGTATGTGACAATGCCTAACTTCCCCTGTTTCTATAAATCAGTTTTTGTATCTGATACCTGCAAAAGCTTCTTCCTTCTCATTTCAAGAAGGTCCTCTCATCTTTTCAACAATCTGTCTACTCTTCTCCTCCATGTGACGCCTCTTCTCCTCCAGCTTCTCCCCCATTTTCTTCCCAAGATCTAACATCCTTGCTCGTCTTCCCTGTTTCTTTCCCCTTGAATCATCTTCTTCGCTTGAAAATACAGACCTAGATGGTGATTGTACAGCAGAAACCTCTCTGCTACTCCCTCTTGAGTTCGTCTCCTGCTTTTCACTGCTGCTGGGTAGCAGTAGTGGAGTTTTCAGTTCTTCCAAGGATTTATCATTCTCTATTGTTACAGTTGTGGAATTTGACAATGGCGTAGACATAATAGCCTCTGCTTCAGTATTCGGTTTCTGGAAAGCAGTGGCCGCTTTCTGCACTTGCTCAGACTGAGCACAGGAGGAAGAAGCCAGTGTCCCTATTTCAGAAATAATCTTCTGGGTGGCGTTTGCAGTTCTCTGCATTTGCTCAGCCTGAACACATGAGGACGAAGTAGGTGGCTTGTCAGATTTAGATCTCGCTTCTGTTGCATGGGAGCTATTGTGATCGTTTTCTTGATTGAGCCACATGAATGGAGCGGCTTTGCGTTGAACCCAATCATCTTTTTCAGCAATCATCCAAGGAATCGTTAGGCTTTCACAGTTGGGAAGAACCACCGCTTCTCGTATTGCTGTCTGCAGAATCACAATGTTATCTCATTCTGCCAGCTCAAAGTTCACTAGAGACCAAACAGAAGAGAACCCAAAGGACAAAGAAAGTGTACCTTAAACCGGTTGATCAAGAACATTGCAACATGGCTGTTGGTGATTTTGTGTTCCCCAACAGAAGATGCGAGATCGAATTCGATATCTGGCATGCTCGTGAATCCAAACCATAATTGATCAGAAGGAGGCGGCTTCATGTGTACCCGCAGTGTCCCTCGAAGAGAAGACACCCGTATTGACAAAGAGATAGGCACCTGCATTTGAGAAACATAGATTTCTAAAAACACATATTGAAACATGAAGGACTGGAAAAAAAACATAAAAACCCAATCAAAGGTTATCAGGAGAACTGAGGATAGGTTATATCAAGCCAACAAGCAAAAAAAAGAATAGTCTTGTAGATATTTGGAAAAACGAGAATCTACCTGGGAAACTTGTTCTGCAATTGTTTTAAGAATAGACTTCCACCTGGATACACCATTTGGAGCTGCCTTCGTACCTTTCGAGCTCTTGGATTCATCTGCAACCAACAAAAAGATGGTAAAAAATTTCAGTCACATTTATCATCCTGAGAAATACTTTTGAACAGAAGTGTAGCTTGCATGAACAGAAGACTGCCTCAATCCATATTCAGAAAACATTGAACTAGCCTGCTTTAATGGCTCCACCATTTTTCACTTCTCCTGCATCAACAGTTTCCACAGGAATGACTAATTGCTTTTCAAAATCTTCAACACCTTCAGCGAAATTTGATGGCATTTCCCCTGACGAACTTGACTGCAACCTTGTATCGGTTATGCCTTTTTGCAGATCCACCTCACGGATGTCAACCCGTGTTTCAACATCAATTACCATGTCACCAGAGTATTCAATATCTAGTTCAAATGCCCACACACCACTCATCTCCATTGGAAGAACCCGTGTAGCATGTATATGAGGTGGGAGATTCCCAGTGTCAACATCGGAGCAGATTAGTTCGCCTATGTAGCTCGGAGTCCTCATGTTAGATAACAACCGCTGTTTAAAACCAAAATATTACATCTTTGTTTGGTTATAGAAATCATATCATCTCAAATTTCTAAGTTCATGAAAGGTTTCAGAAACATGAAAAGTGCAGACCTGGATTCGTGCTTGCACTGAATTCTTCACTCCTGTCTTCCGTTTGAGATCGAAAAATAGCCTAGAAATGAGCAAGTTCAACGCTAATGTTCCTTCATCCATGTCAACCTTGTCTTCAGAATCTCCATCTGAAACCCCAGAAACATGACTGACCCCAGAAATATGACTGCTATGGCTCACAGAACGTGACAAAATAGGCACATCAGTTTCATCTATGATATGATCTCCCATCTTCTTTCCTGGAAAGCACTTCCCTGAACTACTTCCATGTTGTGAATAGGTTTTCCTGTCTTCACGATTTGATCGCTTTCTAGAAAATTTCTTCAAGAACAAGCGAACCTTTGAGGATGAACCATCCGTTCTGTTACCTCTGTCAAGTGTCTCAAAACTAAACCCAAGAGATGGTTTCATAAATGAAGGATATGCAACATTAAGAGAAGTCACATAATTACGGAAATCTTCTTTCAATTTGGTGGAGTACCAAATAAACCTTTCCTGATTTTCGCAAGCAGCAAGACGAAGTGCTTTACACCATGATTCCTTTTCCCAAGAAGTCTCGAGATAGATGTAAAACACTTGGTTTCCCTTGTATAAGGCTGGAGAAATCTTGCTTTCAACTTTTATTGGAAACCTTTTGGCCCTAAGAAACAAAAGAAAAATCAAACTTCATGATCATAAGAAGCTCCGGAACTTAATAGGATCAAAATAAGGAAGTAAAACTATGGATGATACTTAAGTCAAGGACCAGATTCGACCAAAATTTCAGAATTCCCATCATTAAAAAAAGGGTCATAAACAAAGAGAGGGGGTACCATTTTCTTGTAGGGAGATCAGACCCCGAAACAGCCTCAATACTGCAACCTTTTAAAGAAACTGTAGTCTGACCCTGAATGCCATCAGCATCTGACAAGATGAGCTTGTGATCTTTGATTCGAGCGAACTTTCGAAGTGGATGAATCTCCAACAAGTCTCTCTTCCTCTTCTGCTCTTTAGGTAACTTTTCCTTCATCCAGTTCTTTAGACCTTCATCCAACTCCAAAATCCATACCACTCCCTGGGAAATAAATACAAAACTTCATTACAGATATTCAAATTTGAGAAGCAATTCGAAATGCCAGAAACAGAGTTTGTCTGGCCCTAACTTCGACTACAATTCAAACGGTCTCAATGAAAGTTGGTGACTTTAATAACCAATCAACCCTAAGAGCCACTACATATATGAATATACTTACAATATCAATCGAAATTTCCAATGAAACGAAGTCAATTCTCATAATGGAAGCAACATGCACACATTTCAGAATTAGACCCAGAATTCGAATTTTCTAAAAGATAAGCTCTTTGGAAATGGAACATTCTTCTCCCTATCTCTCTCAGAAACAAAACCCTTCTCAAAAAGAGGAATTAAGATCGATCACCTGTTTGTTGATACCGAAATCGATGGATTCGCGAGGATCAAAATCCTTGGTAGATGGATCAGAGACGGGTTTTGACTCATTCCGATCTCTCTTCCGATTCAATCGCTTCAAGAGATACATCAATCCCGCTGCTTCAGCGGCTAAGACGGCGAGAATTCCCAGGAAAAATCCAGATAAGAACACCACGAAACCCACCAACGAAAACATCTCCGGGAAGCTCTGAATTTGTCCTCTGGTGCAGAGGAAATGTGGAGAGGGTATCTTGAGAAGGAATCAAGAGGAGGAGAAAGATTCGAGGCGTTGAAGTTGATCATGTCAGTGTAGAAGAAGGACAAGGCGGAAAAATAAGAGAAGGAGAAAGTGTGGGATTAGCCATCATTCATCTCTGGAACCGCAATTTCAACTTCCAACCAAATATTATTTTGTCCTAAGATAAACATATTAAACCATTACTATTGGTTACATTTAAACTCGATTACAAACAGAAATTATAAATCAAATTTCGAAAAATAATTTTTTTTCTTAATAGGATACGGGAAAAAATTCTAGTGGATACAAATTATTAATATCAATACAAATTCTAGTGGATCGTCATAAATTGTTAAACTTTATTAGCTGTTCTAATCATCTATAGTCTACACATTAGGACATAGAAGGGGGGAAAATGGATTTACACGTCATATGATTAGCTAATTCGGTTATCATTTAAAACGTTATAGAACTAGTATTCTCTCATAAACTATTAAGTTTTTTGGCATGAGTATCACAAGAGATAGGGGCCGATTGGTAACGGCTGTAAGTTTTGGCTTTAGAAGCTTTGACTTTAAAAATTTGAGCTGTAGAGAATTTGGCTGTAAAGACTTTCGCTGTAGAAACTTTGGCTGTTAAAATATGATTGGTAGCACAAAGCTGTAGAAGCTGTGACTGTTATTTATTATTATTATTATTATATATTAATAATAAATATAAATTAGGTTAGAAATAAATTCATATGCAAAAATAAATTAATAAATAAATTGATAAATAAATGAATAAATAAATAGATAAATATTTTCTAGAAAGAAAATAATATATATTATTCATTCATTTTTTAATAACCAGACATTGCAATAAGAAAAAAAAAACTTAAAATCTATTTTTTTTTTTTTAAGAACTGAAAATCCATTACTAAAATTAAATATTTATTAAAAGAAATGACAAAAGTTTAGAAATAAATATTTTAAATACACACATTTATTTATATTTATTATTTGATGCCAAAAATTTAATACCAACATATTAGTAAGAAGTGGGATAAACTTAAAAAACTTATATGATTTTTGGAAAAATACTAATTCTATATACTTTTTAAAACTAATATTAATGGTGATGATGAAAATAAAATTATTATTAGTGAAATGGATCTTAAAAGAAAGATAGAAAAATGATAATAATTAATTTATAAAAAAGAAATTGTGAAAAAATATATGTAAATGTGTAGAGAGGTTTTAGTTATTATGGGGATAAGAAAAAGAAGTTTTTAATTATTTATTTGTTTGATAAATGTCTCTAGAAATCTAAAGCCGTGTTTTTGAGACTTTAAAAAAAGAAGGAAAACAAAGAAGGAAAAAAAAAAGGAGATTTTGAGAACTTTAAAAAAAAATAAAGTCAAAAAAGCCTAATTGGCAAAAAAAAAACTGTGAAGACTTTAGAATAGTCTTAAGGTCTCTAAAGCCTTGTGCCAATCACCCCCATAATCGTGTAATCGTGTAAGTGGCCAATTTGATCCCCATACGTGTAATCGTGTAGACCGCTCGAAATCATGGCGAAACCACTCAACTATATGATCTCTGGTTCTTTTTTTTCTCTAACATTTTTGGTAAACAATAAACCAGAGAAAAGTTAGTAATTTTGTTTATGTTTAGCAAATGTTGACCCTTTCTTCGGCTGTAACGAAGGAAAACATCTGACAGATCTGTTCAGACAACAAAGTTATCTGGTCAGAAATCCATACAAACTTAAAACTTATCCTAGAAAAGGAAAATAAAAACATGAGACAAAACTCACAAGTTTCATTTCCATAATCTCTCATATAACAAAGATAATTAAAAAAAAAAAACTTTCTTCTCATAACTACAGTAGAAAGCCAAAAACAAGCCTAAATCTCTTTATTTTCCATGGGTTCAACAGAAGGAAACAAAACCTCTACAATGACGAGTTGCTATATACCTAAGAAAACAGCTAAAAACAGAGCGAAAAACAGAGTCTTAGCTCTTGTTTTGGATCTACAAGCTCATGTTCATCGAGAAGAAGCTATAGTCTTGGTGATCATGAACATTAAGCTGTTTCAGCCACGAATCAGCTACTGTGGAGATAAACTAGACGTTCTTGGTCACATGGTTCTTGATTACTCCACAAATCTCCTTGCAATTTGTAACTAACTAAACCAAAAGGAGCCAAAGGAAGTCTCTTGTTCACTTGTTCATCATCAAAACACAATGTTTCTTCTTCCTTGGTTTCGTTAATTTCATCCCCTCCCTCTATCAAGTTACCTAAGAAGTCGAACATCAAAAAGCTAGATGTTTCAAAGTTTGTACCAAGATATGGTCTAAAGCTGAGAGATTCTATAACTATAACAATCTAAGAATCACACCTTTCAAGTTTTATGCAAGAACATAAGTTTATACATATACCTTGAAAAGCCGAAGATAGCGTATGATAACTCAAGAAACACGTCGATAAGTCTTTATCCATCTTCCGAGAGGGAATGTGGTAAATTGGATACCTAAACCGTAATAAAAGCTCAAGACTTTACCATCGATCATCGAGGCCGGAAACCAAATGCAGAGAATTTCTATACTTACCAAGCAATGGCCATCCAACTTGCTGGAGACAAATCAACACTCCTTAGAGTCACCAGTCCGGGATACTTCTCAGCCAACTCATTTACCTAAAACAAACCAAAGGAAGAGGAAAACAAATCCTAAGCTAGTTAGGTTCTTTACGCAAGATAAAGAGAATGAGGCCACAAAAATTGAAATGAATGAGAACCTTAGCGGTAAGAGGAACCCGCAAGTGCGGTTTAGCGGACTCAAAATACTGAAAATCAATGGAACCGAGCTTATCTCGCATCAACGAAGAAACACCATCGATCTCATTACCCGAATCATCAGAAACAGAATCCCATATTCTGCTAGAACCACTGCTCAATGACCTTGACAACTTCTCAATTTCACTATCATCACTCCAACATTCACTCTCACAATCAACCACATCACTCTGGTTCCTGCAAAAAGCAATGACTCACTCCTCAAGTTCCTTGACACTGACACATATATAGAACACTCTTTATATGTAATAGATCGTACCTGGAAATAGCTGAAGATTTGTTAGTATAAATTTGAATGGCGGATAGATACGGGGCATAGTACTGCATAACGGATTCACCATTGTTTAAATCGACCTTTGATCCGAGTCCATACGCGCTTGGCTCATCAAAACAGTCCCAAAGATCACTAAGCCTGAAATATTCAATCTCATCTTTGTCCTCATGGATCCACAAACTGTTCAAATCATTCTTGCAGCTCTGCAAATTAACATCAAACTTTAAGTAACAATTAATTAAAGCCCATGTGTTTAGTGCTAATTATTAGAACCACTTATTAAAAGCATTGTAATTAATTCAACACTGTTAATAAATACACCACATGCAGTTAATCGCACATTTAATTACAATAATTGCTGAAAGAGACAGTCATCTAATGGTTCCAAGATGAAGAAGACACATTCACACAGGATATACCTTAGTAACCTATTTTTATAATTAATTTTGATTTTTCTATGCCATTTTCGATACATAAATTGCTGTCGTAAGGTTCCACGTGGAGAAAGAAAACGTCACGAAATGGACATAAAAATATAAAATGCTAAATTTTCTTTGTCCTTATTTCAAAATTTCAACAAACTATAATATAATAATAATTGTATTGTCGATATGTATGTAACTAATTAAGAACATGAGATTTTGGAGGAATTTTTTTTACTAAAATGATTAGTTGAAAAACTGCGATGCGAATATGCTTTGACGCGGATTCTCGTAAGGGGAAAAAAAAATTCACACCAATAGAAGAAAATTAAAAACAGTTAGTTTTGATTTATTTATTAAAGGTTAAAAAAAGAATTACCTGTGATAAAGAGAAAGAAGGAGGCTTTGGAGTGATTCCTCTAAGAAATCTCTCGAGGTTTGATCGGAGTTTCGTCGACGATGATGACCACCACCACATTCTCTCTCTCTCCATCTCTCTAAATACTAAGATTACTATATTAAACAGCTTATTAGGCTCTCTCTAAGAAAATTAAAGAAAAACAAGACCTCGTAGATGAGTTTACTGAATTTTAGATGAAATCTATTGAGAATCTTTGTGGAAAAAAAAAAAGTGGTAGCAGAGTTTGATTGAAGGTTTTTGGAGTATGATTTGCTTCTATTTATTATTGCAAGAAAGAAAAAGGAAAAAAAACGAACACGACCAAAACCTTCTCTCTCTCTCCTCTGGCTCTTTCTCTCTTTTTCACTCTTATCGTAATCTTTTTTTTTTTTTTCGTCTAAAGGATTTCATTGATAGAATGCGATTTTGAGTTATACAAAGCCGAAAAGGAACGAAAGCCTTTCGGAGACAAAGCCGGCGGGTACATAAAAACCCCCAGAGACATAAGGTCAAAAGAGGCAGACAAACATATCAAGCCTTAGAAAGTAAGATACAAAGATTACATTACAACTAAAGGAGTGACAACTCTTATCGTAATCTATTTTATTTTGTCAGGTAATTAATTTAGCAATTGACCATATCTCTCCTTTCTCTCTTTCCCTCTTTAAGATCTTTTTATCGTTAATCTTTTTTACTTTTGTTAGTTAACTAATTTTCCATTATTTCAAAGTGAGCATGTTTTAAAAACAAACTCTAATATTACCAAGTTTGGGGTTTTTTGTTTAAGCCTTGTTAAAGATAAAACTCTTGATTCAAAGAAGAATCGGCAAAGCTATATATATGATTTTTATTTTTGTCGCCAAGATATACATAATTTTGTTTCGTGAAATGATGTTAAAAATTTATATCCAAAGCAAAATGGCTAAACATATTTTTTTTGTCAGTTTTAAATAGAAAATTTCCATTTACATTTTTTAAATTTATCATTTCACATAATTCAATCATCATGTTTTAATATTTATAAACATATAAGATATATAATTGAACTTTGACGTTCGGAATTTAACAGGCCACAAGACATCAGTCCACATAAAGTTTGTAGAGCGGCAATCTCAGCTCACCTCTCCCACAAACCTTTGATAGGCAAGATATGTATCATCTTTCCATATTTGGGGTTCCATGAGTCTTAGCTCCCAAACTCTTTATCCTATTTATGAAATTAGTCAAGAGCATGCATGACATCTTCTACATATAGAGCCAAATGATTTTCCCATTATTCAAGAAGATAAAAGTTAGTTATTATATTATTTCAAAAACAAAAATATATTTCAGCAAAAACAACAAAATCTAGAGCAATTTTATTTTGTCAAAAACTATAACATAGAGCTAAAAAATATAAGTGGAGTAAATTAACTAATGGTCTTTTATTTCCGGCAAAATAACAGTCTTCTAGAAACAGTCAAAATCGTTCGTGCAATGTGAACATCATTTTATAATATAGTATTTAATATATTAAAATATTTTTTTCTGTTTGATAAAGAATTTTGAAATAATCGATGAGTGAAAAATATACCAGAGACTGAAACTGTGTGCAAGAGAGTGATGGGTTAACTGGTCTCCACATGTCGTCGAAGCTGCGTCGATCTCTCGCGTTTTACGTCTCTCTTCTATATTGTTTTCTTCCTTATCTTGTCTTTTCTTTTCTTTACTTCACCCGACAATAAATCAAATTTCTCGATATTATTTACTCATCACCATTTACTCTCATCTAATTATATAACTTTAAATCCGATGGTTTGTAAAATAAACTCTTCCAAAAAGAAACTTTACGATCACAAATTAGAAGAAACACTACAATTTTGTTTAATAAGAGAAAAATTATTAGTAATATACTTTTATTGAAGTCTCTACCGAGATATCAGATATGGTTTCTTTAGATTGAGTCACGTGTTTTGGTTTCTTCTTGTCGTTTTCCTCGTTTCTTAGAATATTATTTTTATAATAAATCATTTTTGTTCCCCAAGTTATTTTCGGACCGTACGATGCAACGATTACAGTAACTTATCACTTCAATTTTATTTTCTTTGCGGTGGTTTAACTTTTGTTTGTGCGATGATTAATCTATAATAATATTATAATATTGAATTCTTTTCTTATTAAAAAAAAACAAAAAAAGGTAAGTAAAAGCTATTTTGTCACTAAATGCATGTGTGTATTCGTTTCTTTTTCCTCAGTGTCAATTGTTCAAAGAAAAAGAAAACACGGATTCAATTATTGAGCCTAATTGGTTAAAGGCCCATTATCACCGAAATTATGTTCCATGTTGTTTTTGGGCTTTGATTCTTTTATCACACATGCGTTGACCTAGTAGAATTTAATAAACATTTTAGCCCAATATAACTTTCTTTCGGCATCTTGGTTCTGTATGATAAAAAATCGCCATGAATCTTTGGAAATCAACAAAGGGACAGAACTTATAAGAATATTTGTTTTGATTACTATAAATGCCTATGCCTGTATTATGCTGTCAAAAAATATGCATGTATTGTCTATATCATCAAAGTATGAATATCTATCTAATACTGTTAAATATTTATTTGTCAAAACTACTACTTATCCACATATACACATAAATACCTCTGAGTGTAATATTTTATACTATAATTTTTTTTGGATGAACTACTATAATTTTATTAGTTGAAACAATTATAGAAATAAAAGGAATATTTGGCCATAAATTAAATAAAGCAAAGTGCATTTTCCCCCGAGGCCTGAGTAGCATTGCTCAATCATATATCAGTGAAATCCAAAAGAATACATACAAATTTTTTGAAAGAAATTCGTTAGAAATCTGTATTTTTAGATAACTTAACTAACAAAATCGAAAGTCTTATGATCAATCAAAAAAATATTTATTAGTTTCCAATATTTCCTAATTATTTTGTTGAATTAATCATTAATGACAAATGGACCTACATAGAATGCCATCAAGGGTCCTTATTAAGAAGTACCAACAAATCAACAATAGGGCTCGTACTCTTTTCTAATTTTTCGGCACTTTTCTGTCAACAATATTTCAGCATTTATATACATGTTTTATAATTAAAAGACAAATTATTATTTGTATCATATGTCTCCTACTAAACCGAAATTTACCCAAAAGAAAAAAAAAAACTATAACGAATATCTCAAAAGACAAAAACAAAAATAAAAAGTACTACAAATACTTCAATTTCAAAGTAGTAATTTTCACTCAAGCATATAATTTTCTGTAAGATGCTTCATAATAACCTTTTTAATCCTTTTCATTACCATTAAGCAGAAGGTATAAAATCCATAATTCATATACACATGTAACAATCTTCGATCAAATATCTTTCATTATGAAAGTAAATAACTAAATATATTTTAAAAAAAGAGGCCAGATTTGGAGGTGGTCTATTTTCATACTAAATGCAACCTTCTATCGACTACCAGACTACATTAAATGCAACAAGTAACAACAACCAAAAAAAAGATGAAAATTCACCACATCAACATTATTGGACCCCACTTTCTTCTTAATTTTTTCATTCAATTCTTCTCCCAACCATCTCTTTGCTGTCTTCATAACTATCTCATTTCTTGTTCGAATCAAGAAATTTTTTTCATTTTTGAAAACAAATAAATAAAGAAAAATCTCATTATCTTGTAGAGATAAAAGAGAAACAACCAAAAAGAAACAAGGAGAAGTGTTTGTTCTGTTTCAGTCATCCAAGTTCATGAGAATAAAAACGAGTCCAAGTTTGTTGTTCATGCAAAATTCTCATGACTCTGTTACTCTCCTGAATTTCTTCTACTTAAATTTCATTCAATAACTTTATTTTTCTATCAGTTCAACGTTCACACTTTTTCCATTTCCTCGACAAACTCCTTTTTTTTTTCTCTTTCAAGAAAAACAAAAATCCTCTGTTTCGGTTTAAGAGATGGAGATAGAAGCAAGCAGACAGCAAACCACCGTACCGGTTTCAGTCGGCGGAGGGAATTTTCCGGTTGGTGGGTTAAGTCCGTTGAGTGAAGCTATATGGAGAGAGAAAGCTCCAACGGAGTTCGTGGGAGACGTGTCAGCGAGGCTCACGTGGCAAGATCTGACGGTGATGGTCACTATGGGAGATGGTGAGACACAAAATGTTCTTGAAGGTCTTACCGGTTACGCTGAACCGGGATCTCTCACGGCTCTCATGGGCCCTTCCGGCTCCGGAAAATCAACTATGCTCGACGCTCTCGCTAGCCGCCTCGCCGCTAACGCTTTTCTCTCCGGCACCGTTCTTCTTAACGGCCGCAAAACCAAACTCTCCTTTGGAACAGCTGTTAGTATTTTATACACAACCCTTTAAGCTATAATCTTTCAACTTTTTTTTGATAAAAAACAATTTTCAACTTTATAAAAAGGTTACAATCTTTCAAACGTACAAAGCTTTTGCTTAGGTTTCAGTTATAGCTTGGTATGACATACAAGAATGTTCTTGGATTTTGGATCTTAGCCATTCATAGTGTGTTGGAAAAGAGAAAAAAAAAAACTAAGGAATCTTGGCTTTTTTTTTAATATATTTGACTCATGTTTAATGAATTTGGTTTATTATACAGGCATATGTGACACAAGACGATAACTTGATTGGGACGTTAACTGTGAGAGAGACGATTTGGTATTCAGCGAGAGTTCGTCTTCCGGACAAGATGTTACGGTCGGAGAAGCGTGCTCTTGTGGAGAGGACAATAATAGAGATGGGTCTTCAGGATTGTGCAGATACTGTTATAGGAAATTGGCATTTGCGTGGAATTAGTGGTGGAGAGAAGAGAAGAGTCAGTATTGCTCTTGAGATTCTAATGAGACCTCGTTTACTGTTTCTCGATGAGCCAACAAGTGGTCTCGATAGGTAAAGTGTTTCAGAAAGAAAGCTTTTCTTCAATTTTCCGTTTCTGTTAACTAGTTAATGCCTGATGCTTGTTTCGATTTTTGTCTGTGCAGTGCTTCTGCTTTCTTTGTGACTCAGACATTGCGTGCGCTATCACGAGATGGAAGGACGGTGATTGCATCGATCCATCAACCGAGTAGTGAGGTTTTCGAGTTGTTTGATCGGTTGTATCTGCTTTCTGGAGGCAAAACTGTTTACTTTGGTCAAGCTTCAGATGCATATGAGGCAAGAAACTAGACCAAAAGAAAACATCAATCTCTGAAGAAATCTTGGAAAACTAATCTGTGTTTTTACTTTCGAATGCAGTTCTTTGCACAAGCTGGGTTTCCATGTCCTGCGTTAAGGAACCCTTCTGATCATTTCCTGAGATGCATAAACTCAGACTTTGACAAAGTTAGAGCCACTTTGAAAGGTTCTATGAAGCTAAGGGTACTGAAAAACCTTCCCTTTTAACTGATATTAGTTCTCTGCAAGTTTCACTTTACTGATGGACTTGTTATTCTACTTCCCAGTTTGAAGCAAGCGATGATCCGTTGGAGAAGATTACCACAGCTGAAGCTATTAGAGTCTTGGTTGACTATTACCACACTTCTGATTATTACTACACAGCAAAGGCTAAGGTTGAGGAGATATCCCAATTTGTAAGTCCTCTTTGTTCCTTTATAGAGCTTTTGTTTGATGTTAGGACGAGTCTCTTGCCTCTTTTAACCCGTTTCCGCGCTTCTCTGTTGACAGAAAGGGACTATTCTTGACTCTGGAGGCAGCCAGGCTAGTTTCCTTCTGCAGACCTACACTTTAACAAAGCGATCCTTCATCAACATGTCAAGGGACTTTGGATATTACTGGCTCAGACTGTTAATTTACATCTTGGTCACAGTCTGCATCGGAACCATCTATCTGAACGTTGGGACTAGCTACAGCGCCATTCTGGTATTTGCTAATATCATTTATTGGACAGCAACTCACACTCCAACTTGAACTGAAGTTTTTTATCTTATCTCTCACCATGTCCGTCCGTTTTCTGTTTGTGAAATCAGGCACGAGGCTCATGTGCGTCTTTCGTCTTTGGCTTTGTAACATTCATGTCAATTGGTGGATTTCCTTCTTTTGTTGAAGACATGAAGGTTAGTTATCCTCTCCTGCAGTTTTCTTGCGCAAACCGATGAAACAAACGGTTTTATTAAACTGAAAATGATTGCAGGTCTTCCAAAGAGAGAGACTAAACGGGCACTATGGAGTAGCTGCGTTTGTGATAGCCAACACTTTATCTGCAACGCCATTCCTTATCATGATAACTTTTATCTCCGGGACAATCTGTTACTTCATGGTGGGTCTGCATCCAGGATTCACTCACTACCTCTTCTTTGTTCTCTGCCTCTATGCAAGTGTCACCGTTGTAGAGAGCTTAATGATGGCGATAGCTAGTATTGTTCCCAACTTCCTCATGGGTATCATCATCGGAGCTGGAATCCAGGTAATTTCTCCGACAACTTCCTTTTCGTTCTTTTCAACTTTTCAAAAGCAGAAGAGAAGCTCTTTCTAAATCTGTTTCTCTGTACTTTTGTTTCAGGGGATCTTCATGCTGGTTTCTGGATTCTTCAGGCTTCCAAATGACATCCCAAAACCTTTCTGGCGTTATCCAATGTCATACATCAGCTTCCACTTCTGGGCTCTACAAGTAAATATTGTTGAAACAAGAAAAAGTTTCATATCAGCTCATCATCATCATGTGATCATAATAGCAAAGAGCTAATATTTTTTTTGTTTTGCTTGTTCTCCAGGGTCAGTACCAGAATGATCTGAGAGGCTTGATGTTTGACAGTCAGGGGAGTGCTTTCAAGATTCCCGGTGAATATGTTCTGGAGAACGTCTTCCAGATCGACTTGCACCGATCAAAATGGATTAACCTCAGTGTGATTCTTAGCATGATTATCATCTACCGCATCATCTTCTTCATCATGATTAAGACCAACGAGGATGTTACTCCTTGGGTCAGAGGTTACATAGCACGCAGAAGGATGAAGCAGAAGAATGGAACTCAGAACACCACAGTTGCACCAGACGGTCTTACCCAGTCTCCTTCTCTGAGAAATTACATTGCTACACGAACAGACGGAGCTCGCAGATGGTAGAGTTTGAGCTTGTCCAGTGTTTGAAGACACTTCAAGAAAGTTGATTAAAGCAAAGCCACCATATTTCACTAGGCCTGCAATATCAAATCTCCATGTAATGTGACAGCTGAGAAACTTCAAGTGTGTTAGTTATAGAAATATTAAAACCACGGATTTGTCTAAAATAATCACTACTACATTTATTTTTCTACTTTGATAGTAACAAGCACTATCTTGTTGCATTACAGTTTGCATTGTGCCGCAATTACAGCAGATAGATTAAGTTGTGAATTGTTACAAGCTTTGTTTGTACATGTTGAAATGAAAAATTGAGTTCTGAGTTCTGACAAGTGTCACACCCGAAGAACCTCTAAGAATGACTAGTAGTTGTTCTTCCTGGAAAAGGCTTCTGATTAACTTCATTAGCTTCTTCTTCAGCACTCTTCTGCTTTTGCTGTGTGCTGTTTCTCATCTGATCACTTGCCCATGATAGGCCAAACAAAACACTGTAAACAATAACATGGGGAATGCAGTGAACATAATATAAAGTCACAAGGCATGAACTGTCTTCATAACTAGCCTCTAAAATCTCTCAGCCGTGATCAAACCAATGGCGCAGTTTGCACTTCAGAATCACGATATACATGCCATTTTTCATATCTCTTTACTCCATGCAAGACAGGTCTAAGTCGGGGAGCAGTAATGCAGTTTGAACAGCAACATCCCTTCAAGTCGACAACACATTCTGCACAGCATCTGAACCAAAGATAGAGCTAAGTTTAGGGAAAACAATGGAAATTATCAGTCATCGTCCATCAAAATTAAACTTTACTAAGTCATACACTATTTGTTAATAGACATAAGAAGATGAAACAAAAACGATAATGCAACTCACAAGAAAAGCCGATTGCAGTCAAGGTTAGCACAGTTCCGATGTCTTAGTTCCTGAACTTGTGAATCACAAATATAGCATTTTGCAAAACTTGTATCCACGGGCGTTTGTGGAGTTCTTCCGGCTTTATCCACGGCGTTGTCACTTCCGGGTTTATCCACGGCCTTGTCACTGTAGGCAGCTGGTGGGAGAGAGAGACGAGAGTCAAACACAAACAGATTTCCAACCCATTCAGCTGTGCCTTCTTCTTCCAGATAATGGGAAACTCCACCCTTCAGTGTATACAGGTTCTTGAAACCCCGCTGTCTGAAAAGAAATTTGACTTCTCACAAGAAAGTTATTTGGGAAAACTTCTTTTGAGGAGATATTAGTAAGAAAATGAAGTAGTAGAAGCCACAGTGCTACCTTAAAACTGTCGAATATACATCACAGCGTATACCTCCAGTACAGTACATCAGTATATCTGTCTTTTCCTTGTCAACATTTATCAAAGGGTCTGAAGGAGCTTCCTATAGTGTAAAAGCATAGTCAAAATTAAGTGTCAGTTACCTTAACCTTCAGTATTTCATAGTAATGTAACCTATAGAAGAGAATCGAGTGATCACTTTATTATAATCTACAGGTTATATGAACTTTTCAGCTGCCATGGTTTAGGATGAGTTGTACCTTTTCATCAGATAGTCCAAAAGAAGTGTTCCGAAAGCAATCAACTTCAGGTCTACGTGCCCCACGAAAATGACCAACATCCCACTCATAACCTGTTCATATACCAGTATACCAGTAAATTCAACTAGAGTAATATGTGACGCCCTTTAAGAATCACAAACAAATTACAGGGGAGCACAACTGAAAATAAAGCGGAGAACCACAACATTACTATCAGAAAATAATGATCAGTCATGTAAATACAGATAATCAAGACAAATTAGTAACTGTAGATAAACTGAAAGAAAATAAAGTACCGTTTCTGACATCCAATAATATGCAGCTTCTGCCACTACTTGATGAAGGTGATGCTTCATCATCATCCGTTAAGTCTTTCAGTTTTCTTTTCCATTCAGATGGTTCTAAGGGTTTTGCTCGCATCGGTGGATCAAGCAGGGGAAGGTGTGAAATTCCTCCCTCATACTATAGGAAAAAAGAAACGCAACTAATGCTAAGTAATCTTACTCCATATTTCAAGGCATTGCACTATAAGTTAAAAAAATTCATAGATTTAAAGTGGTGTCATGGGTAGTAGCTTGCCTGAACTAAGGAGGGTTTATTCTGTAGCTTCAACTTAGGGAATGCATGCCCATTAATAGCAGGAGACATCTGGACAAGCAAATCCGAGAATCTTTCATCTCCTTTCAACCATTCAACATACGCAAGAGCATCTTTAGATGGTCCACTGTACTGCAGAAAACAAGACTTACAACAAGTAAACACACAAGATTTGTCCTAGCTTGATATGCAGGCATCCTCAGATTGTTTGATAAAAGAATAATCCAAAGCTAACGTGTGATTGCAAAATGATAACAGTACCTGCGCATTAATTCCTTGTTCATTGAGATATATTCGACCTCGTATATTCAAATCCTGGAAGGCCAAAAAACCATAGAAAAAAGCTTGAACCAAAGAGAATGCTCACGAGTTCATGACATTCTGAAGAAATTTATGAATTTGAGTTTTTCGAACAACTTGACAATTCAAATTCTGGAAAAGCGGACCTTTAAGAAAGAGAAGTGCTTCTCAATCTCAGCCTCAGGATCTCCGATTGATACAAACCGATAGAAGTTTACCACAATGAAATCTTCTCCTTCGTCATCGAATTTCGCGTAACCATTTCTTCCCCTGTTTCGGCATTTGCAGGAGAAAGTCCATCTTCTGCTGGGTTTCTCTGAGACGAGACGTCCTGGTCGCGAGAAAATCTGATTATTCAAAAGATATTGTTTGAATCGAAAATGGTCGCCGGAGAAACGAGCTTTGGTTGACGCAATAGGTAGTGGAATAGTTAAAGAGACTGAGAGTGTTGCCGCCGGCGAAACTCTCATTATCTTCTCGCGGGTGGAGAAGAGACCGTATCTTTCTTTACGGTAAATATTAAGTTAATAAACGATCTTGTGTTAATCTTAGGCCTAAGCCCAATTCAAGCCCATTTATACTAATCTATATTTTAAGATTTAAATTTTGGTCGGTCTTAAGACGTTATCTAATTTACATTTTGACAGTATCCAGTTATATCATCCATTAGTCAATGAAAAGGAGATTTCGTCAGGGGTGATCGAATTATGACGTCGTCAAGCTTTGACCATGTAGATAAAAACATATCAACACGTCAACGAAGTTATCATATGCTGAAATGCTCGACCACAAACTAAATAATACACCGCGCATTTAACCAAAATCAGATGTACTTTGTCTTTTGACAATTTTATATACATCCGATCCGGCTTATAAATAGAAATCTCTTTTCTCATCTCTTTTCAATTCATTTAATAAAAAGTTTCCATAAAAAGAAAACTTCCTACAATGTCCTCACCTCTCTATATCTTCCTCCTGTTCGCCGTCTTCATCAGCCACCGTGGAGCCACCACTGAAGCTGCCGTCGAACCAGTTAAGGACATCAATGGAAAACCTCTCCTAGCAGGGTACAACTACTACATCTTGCCTGTAGTTCGCGGCCGCGGAGGCGGATTAACCATGTCCAACTTCAAAAACGAAACCTGTCCGAGAAGTGTGATCCAAGACCAGTTCGAAGTCTCTCAAGGCTTACCGGTTAAATTCTCACCATATGACAAATCAAGAATCGTCCGTGTCTCAACTGATCAAAACATCAAATTCTCTCCAACCTCGATATGGGAATTAGCCAATTTCGACGAGAGGACGAGTCAATGGTTCATTTCAACTTGTGGCGTTGAAGGGAATCCGGGTCAGAAAACGGTTGGTAACTGGTTCAAGATCGACGAATTTGAAAAAGATTACAAGATCAGGTTTTGTCCTACTGTCTGCAATTTCTGCAAAGTCATCTGTAGAGACGTTGGAGTGTTTGTGCAAGATGGAAAGAGAAGACTTGCTTTAAGTGAGGTTCCATTAAAGGTTATGTTCAAAAAAGCATACTAGATACAACCAATTCCACAATAATTTACAAATGCTTTTGTAACACCAATAATAATAAATAAGAACAATGCTTGTTTCTGCACTTAATCTACATCTTTAGAAATCATCACCACGGAAGAAAGGTCCATTGAAGAATGAAGTGGAGAAAGTACCTCCACTGTTAGGAAATAGAGTGAGGAAGCAAATGAGTCCAAGGACTATACCCCAAGCGAACCTATCGTCGCCTAGAGGGGTGATTTCGTCTTTTGCGGGTGTTTCTTCACCACCGCGGAAGAAGGTTGCGAATAGCCCCCAAGCTAAACATAAGACACTTCCGCTGAGACCTCCAATACCGAGAAGGAGAGATGTGGTAAATGAGAGAATTGCAGCTGTGCTTCTTCCAAACATGGCTTGAGAGATTCGACCTCCTTCCAGTCTTCCACATGGTAATAAGTTTAATGAAGTCACTACCATACCTGAAAAGAGTTTAAATGCGGTTTAAAAAATGATAAGAAACCAATAATATAAACCAACAAAAGTTATGAAGTTTACCCAAAAGACCAGCAAAAGCAAGCGGATCAACTGGAACACCAACTCCTTCAACCGCGTTAGGCAATACATTACCAAGATCATCCGCATAAGGACCAACAACGAATTGGACAAACGAAAGCAACGGATTATTATCGAAGAACTGTGGTCTTATATACCTATATAGAATGTTGAAAAACCAATCAGAGACAAAAAAAAACTGTGTAGCTACAGTAACAAAAAAAAAGAGAGAGTCGTTTAATGAAATACTTACAAAGCATTGTCTCCTCCATTGAAACTACCATCAGATATAAACGCAGCTGCTGCAAGCAGAAGCGAGGTCAGGTACGCGCTAGCTGTACGGGCTACTGGGATATCGAATAGCGCCTTTTTATTAGGAAGCAATGATTCGTAATTGTTCATAACTCCTAAGCAACCAGTCCAATTCGATGGCACCAGAAACGACGGGCTTAATCTGACACCGTGTCGCGCAGCGGTTACTCTGGTTGCAATCTGAAACAAACAACTAACAGGTTTAGTTACATGTATACAACACAGCAATTTGGAGCTAGTTCTCTTGATGTGGTTCGGTTTACCTCTGAGACACCTAAGATGGAAAGGAACCCGCCAAAAAGAGGAACTACATTAGCAATGTAGTCATCAAAAGTGGCGTCAGGTTTAAGGAAAAACCCACTCATAAGAGCTATGGTTCCAAAGGTTGTAACACATAAAGCAATTGCACTAACATATCCCCAAGGAGTGCTTAATCTAGTCGATTCAAATTGTAGATCGATTTCCGCCTTCGGTTGCACCATACACACCTTTACAAGCACAAAGAACAAACAATCCACAATTTTTAGCCTTAATCCTGAAATCAATAACATCAAAGTTCAGAGAATTTAAAGGCCTTGTTCTACCTGTTTTGTGATCTCATTGGACCTTTCTTCCATAAACCACACAACAACATCACGCCCTGCTGCTTCAGATAGCTTAGCTTCAAGCTTAGGTGTGACCTCATCAATGGGTTTTCTGAGATTCCCAATGAAGATTCCTCCATCTCCAAACCGACGAACGTCCGTAGCGAAAAACGTATCGAACCCAAAACAGCTCTTCAACTGTCCATCATCACAAAACACTTTCAAAAAACGATGCAATCAAATCAAAACAAAGAGGAATCATATCGTAATGCATTTTTACCTTGTTGAGATCAAGAGCCTTGGAAGTCTCTTGTGCTTTCTCAAGCCTTTCCTTCTCTCTGGTCAAAGTATCACGAGCCAAGCTGTTCAAAATTCCGATGATCGGATTCTGACTGTTGCTTTCCTTGTTCAGCTCCTTGAGCTTACGATCAGTTCTCGTCTTCTCAAGCTTTATAGCAGCTTCGATTGATGGATTTCCCATAAACTTCTTGAACTCCTCGTCCGTTTTCCAGTCCATCTCTTGCTGCTTTGATTTCTTTTCCTCCTCCTCTTCACTGCTTTCTGGAGAAGGTGACACATTTTCATCCGCGTGGTTCTCCTTTTGCTCCTCCGCTATCGCCACCGGAGACGAAGCTTCGTTCACAGGTTCACGAACTCGATCATCTTCAGCTGAACATCTCAAAAGATTTCTGCTTCTCCTTGTCTGATTCACATAAGCTTTTCCAAATTTCTGAAATATGGAACTGTCAAAGCGACGAAGACGCAAATTGTGACAGGATTTGAGAGTCAAGGAAGATGAAGGAGTAGAAACAAAGAGAGAAGCCATGGTTTACGAGAACTCAGAAAGATTGAGATTTGACGAAGAAGAGACATGTCTCTGAGATAGAATTTGTAGAGAGAATAATGAAATGTCTGGAAAGTTTGAGAAGAAACTCAAACAGTACAGGTGGAATGGTTTTTATGCAACAAGACAATGTGTCACATCAAAATCTTCTAATCCACATAGTGAAGAAGAAGACGAGAGAACCTGATTCGCTGTCAAAGAATCGATAAGACATCAAATAATTGGATAAAACCTTAAGTCATTAGATGGAAAACAAGATTCTGGTCGGAAACTACAAAAAGGATCGAGCGAACAAACATATTATAAAGATATGTAAAAATCAAAGTGCGGTTTTTTTTTTTGATGTGGTCTCGCTCTTTTCTCTCTAAGAAGAAGCAGCAGCAGCTGGTACTTTCTCTTCAGCAGCAGCTTCGAATGTCTCTCCAACTAGCTCTGGGACATCGTCATCATCTTCCTCTTGTATGGTTGCTGAGGCCTTACCTTCACCAGGAGACTGTTTCTGGAACTGCTCTGCTAGCTTCTTCAGGTTGTCCATGTTGTCTGGTCCTGAAAGAGGTCAAAGTGACATAAAGTTAAGGATCTTAGGATCGGGGAAGACCATGTAAGAGTTGTACAGTAAACTACGTGGTACATACCAAGTTGGCTGATAATCTGAGGAAGGATATCTTGCAATTCTGCAGGAAGCAACAGGTTTTACATCAATCAGTGAAGATGCAATGAAGAAGACACAAGAAAATAGAGAATCAAAAAGATGATCAGATGCATACTTTTGGTCTGAGGAGAACCGCTAACAACCCATGTGTTTGCAGCAATTGAAGCTTGAACTGTAGTAACATTCAAAAGATGAACAATGATCAGTAACATGAAAAATTGGTTCTGATGTATGAATAAAAATGGTTAAAAAAGACTTACCCTTAGGGTTGATGAATTGGATAACAACATCATCCTTAAAGATGTTAACTTCTTCAATTGCTGGAATGGAGTTAACTCCAATTCTCTTAAGAGTGCTCTGGAGCCTCTTGTCATCAGTTGTATTGGTCTTGTGCACCGCCTTCTTCTTTCTGCAAGTAAAAATCCAAATGGTTTCATAACACAAATCAAAGTAAAATGCAAAGTATTGAACAATGAAATTGGTAGAGAAAAACTCTATACCTTCTGACGGTACCCTTCCCGCCAGTGCGGACGGTGTTAGCCATCTTCATCAACTTTTCCCTATTCATCTGTGTATAATAAAGTATAATAAGAAGCAACATCCATCAATACCCAAATCACATCCAAAAGATTCAATGGAACTCATTAACTGCTAATAATACATTCATAAACTCTTCTTTTTAAGTAGTAAATCTTCAGACACCGATGATGTTACTATTAGTTTTAACCTAAGTTTCATCTTTTTCAATCGATTATGTACACCAAATCCCCCCCAATCAAACACACAGAGAAGTTGAAAACCCAGTAAATATAGTCTACGAAATCCCAAACACCGACAAAACTAATCCTATCTCCAGAAAGAAGCGAAATGAATCAAGAAAGCAGTTTTGAGCTGAACCCATTTACAAAATCGGAAATTAGAGAAACCCTAAAACCTGAGAGATAAAAGCACTAAAAGAAAGGGAAATTACAGTGATGGATTTACCTTGAGATTAGGGTTCTTCCTTGTTCGAAGAGTGGAGATAAGAAAAAGAAAAAAAAGAAGAAACAGAGAAGAGAGACGCGGGCGGCGCAGGGTTTTGCCCTTTAACTATATGCTATTCGGAGCCAAGCTCGTCTCTTCATCTAACGGTTGATATCAGTTATTCCATAAACAAGTCTCGGTCTCTACCGTTGGATGCTCGATGAGAATCTTGGCCCATTAGGCCCAAACTAAACTGGGCCACTAAATATTTACTGTGCTCTTCTATGCCATAATCAATCACCAATATTAGCGCGTACCGAACCATAATCTTTTGGCTTATCAGCTAACCAGAATTTCAAAATCCACTAATTTATCAAATCAATTACCGCGTGAGTTTATCAATGAACGGAAATGTTCAGTTGACCAAAATTTGAAGAAGAAGCTATTCGATTATTGATAATCTCAACAACAATGTTACATTTATTACAAAATAAGTTTGCATAACTTGCACGGTATGAAATCCATGAATACAAAAAGTACATTAAAGAGATAGAGATCTGTATAGAACCAAAATTCAAACGCATAAACATTCACGTGTGAAGAGAATGAATTGCGTTGAGTTTGGACCTTGTTTTTTACTGCTTCTTCTGCACAACATTCTCCAAATACCATTCATACGTTTGGGAGAGACCATCTTTTAGTGAAATCTTCGGTGTCCATCCCAAAGACGCGAGCTTCGAGTTATCCATCAGTTTCCGTGGTGTCCCGTCTGGTTTTGTGCAATCCCAAACTAGCTTTCCTTTAAACCCAACAACTTCTTTCACCAACTCAGCCAATTCTTTGATTGTCACTTCAACACCACTTCCTACATTCACATGCTCAAATCCGCTGTACTGATCCATCAAGAAAACACAAGCATCAGCCAAATCATCGACATGTAAAAACTCCCTCAACGGGCTTCCGCTTCCCCAAACCACAACTTCGTCTGCATTGTTGGCTTTGGCTTCATGAAACCTCCTCATGAGAGCAGGAAGCACATGAGAATTCTCCGGGTGGAAATTATCATTTTGACCGTACAGATTCGTGGGCATACCGGAGATGGCATCCCATTGATGCTGAAGCCGGTAAGCTTGACACATCTTAATCCCAGCAATCTTGGCGATCGCATACCATTCGTTAGTCGGTTCAAGCGGACCAGTAAGAAGTGCAGATTCGGGAATCGGTTGAGGAGCGAATTTGGGGTAGATGCAAGAGGAACCAAGGAAGAGGAGTTTCTTCACACCATGTTTATAAGCAGAGTGGATCACATTGGTCTGGATTTGGAGATTGACACCAATGAAATCAGCTGGGTATGTGTTGTTAGCATGAATCCCACCAACCTTAGCAGCAGCAAGGATGACATAAACTGGTTTCTCTGTAGCAAAGAAGGATTCAACATCTGATTGGCTAGTGAGATCAAGCTCGGAATGGGTTCGAAGAACCAGATGTGTGAAACCCTGATCATGAAGCTTGCGGACAATGGCTGATCCAACCAATCCCCTATGTCCAGCGACAAAGATCTTGGCCGATTTCTCTGACATAAACGAACCTGATTTCATCTCTGCACAGAAGAATTACGAGGAATTAAAAGACCTAGGGTTCCAAAATTCCAAGAGATTCTAAAATCAATTCCACAAAATTTCGTATATACACATGAAACATTATATTTAGATAAAACAGAGAGATGAAATTTAAAGATTGACGTACCGGATCCTGTGGTGTCCGCCATTGTCGAGTCAATTAGTTCAAAAAAAAAGTTTCAACAAGACGATGAGAGATTGAAAAAGGGGATTTTGACTTATAAGCTATCAGTTTTCGAAGTCAACGAACAGAAGCTTAGATTTGTAGGTAAAGGTTAAATGCCTCGGAGAAAGTAAGGTGGAGGAGATCTGAATATCCGCCGGCGATCTGAATCGGTGTCGGCCATTTTGTTTATTCAGTTTATCGATTCTGGCCCATGGGCCTAAATAAAATAGTTACCTCAGTCTCAGCCCAATTCGCTTACATTTCCATCGTTACGTTATTGTACTGTTAACTGGACCGAATTCCGGTTTGCAGCTGTGAGTTACCAAATTAGCTCCATTAACCAGGTGTCCGTAGCTTCAAAATCACGGATCCAAATAAACATTAGCCTAGTGGTTTGGGGAAGACTGTAAAAAACCTTTAGAAGACTCAAATAAACATTAGCATATTGGATTTGCGATAAAAGAAACATATTCTTTGATATCATGGATGATTGGATGATTTTCAAACACAAGCAAGTAGTGGTAGTTGCAAATGATGGTGACCGTAGACTCAAATATATTATAATGTTCTTAGACATGTTCGTTACACACAATAAGAAGATAAAAAATCAATTTATGTATAGAAAATTTTCGCTCATAGAGACCTTTTGAGAAAGGAATTGGGCAAAGGAAATAGTACTTAATCGGTACCTTTTGAGAACTACTTGGTTAAATATGATGAATTTTAAATTTGATTGGCTTCAACTTTGAGCTGTAGTAAGTAAAAAAAAAAAGGATGGTGGGCGTTGACTTAAGATGTTTTGAGCTATCAGATATTCGTCACTGTTTGATTCCTTCTAAGGCCATAACCGTTTCCGACATAATAAACAAGTAGCATTGTACCAGAACTGGTCTAGAGAAACAATTAACATAACCTTCTCTATATAAGTATCCGTCTCAGCCGTGCATACTTGTTTAACAAGAAACATTCAACATCATGAGGGGAAACAATAATTACTCCTTTCTGATTCTCCTCTATTTTCTAATTCTACACATCCTTCGTTCTAGCTCTTGTATAGACAAATGTGGAGATATCAAGATCCCATTCCCCTTTGGAATCGGAAATGGTTGCTATCTCGACGAGTGGTACGAAATCGTCTGTAAAAAAAATGCTAGCTCCGGGAAGGAATTTCCGTTTCTTTTCAAGATCAAGATGGAGGTTGTGAATATTTCCCTTCCGATAAATTATGATGGTTATGCTAATTTCCGGCTGTTCTCTTCAATTCGTGTCAAAAGCCCGATCTCATCCGTGGGATGTTCTAGCGATGGAGCAGAATCCGGATCACCTTTGAATTTGACGGATTCACCTTTTTTCTTTGGGGACGGAAACAGCCTTGTAGCTGTTGGTTGCAACAACAAGGCATCGCTGACAAATGTAGAAACAAGGATGGTGGGATGCCAGTCAACTTGCACTACAAGCAACAATTCGCAGAGCATTCCATTTTTTGAAACATTTGGATGCTCCAGCAGATACCAAGGCATGTTGCCTACCAACTACATACCAGTTTGCAATACAACCAAAAAACGGGAAGAGACAATCTGCAACGGGAATGGATGCTGCCAGGCAAGTGCACCTGCTGGTGGTCAACAAGTCATTGGTGTCACAATAGCTAACATTAATGATGGAAACTTGACGACAGGAGGAGAATGCAAAGTCGCGTTCTTAACAGATGAAGTCTACACTTTAGCGAATGCAACCAAACCAGAACTGTTTCTTTCTGAGGGACATGCTACTGTTAGCCTAGGATGGTTCATCCAAACAAAGAATCTTTCGTTTCGAGAATTGTTGGGCTGCCAAAACAAAGACGAGTTCGATAATACACAATTAAAGAGACGCACAGCAAAATGCACATGCGACAATCATACAATTTCGAGGACCAGTTATGCAAGTTGTGCATGTCTTAAGGGTTACCGGGGTAATCCATACCTTCGGGACGACTGCAAAGGTAAATAACTGTTTCCGTAAGTTCATTTTTCTGTGTCTAACATTATGCGAGCTTTGCATAGCATCTATGGCGGTAGACAAACAATCTATATAATAGTAATAATCTTAGAAAATGTTTCTAAAGGTTGCGTTTCTTTTGTCATAACTTTTGTTCTGATAATTGTTTTCCGAAACATTTTCTAAGATTATGTCATTTGAATGTTATGACATAAGAAACGCAACCTTTAGAAAGTAATGAAATTCATGCTTGACCACATGACTCTTTAGGCGTATTATATAGAGTATGAGTGTCTGACCTTAAACAACGGGTGGTATTTTTTTTTTTTTTCATCAACAACGGGTGGTATTTATCTCCTATATATGCTACATGTTCACATTGGGTTGGTTAGGCGTGTTATATAATACTTAAGAGTACATAAAGTATATACTGTCTTTTTTTTTTTTTGACAAAAAAAGTATATACTGTCTAAATATTGTAATTTGGTCAAAAATTCAAAATAGTACATAGGCATGTCAATCGGGCTAGCCCGGCCCGAAGCCCGCAAAACCCGTACATATTTGAGCCCGGCCCAGCCCGCCCCGTAAAAATTCCGAGCCTATATTTTAAAGCCCGGCCCGGCCCTAACAGGGCTACAGGGCTTTTCCGGGCTTTTTTGGGCTTTTCTTCTGACAATAAAAAACAAACTTATAATTTATATTATCTCTTAAAAAAAGAATCTATATATGAAACGTGTCAATCAAAATTTAAATAACCACTAACGCTAATTTAGTTTTTTAAAAAGATAGTTAAAATAAAAAAAATAATCCAAATAAATTGTTTAAACTTATACTAGATAAAATATAAAATAAAAATAATTCAAATTAGGTAGTAGAGCTAATATTTGCTTTTTAGATTTATAGTAATACACAATTAAAAAACTAAGTTTAGGATTTTCAACTCTATCAAAAACTTTTTTTACAACAAATCTTACAATTAAACGAAAATATTAACAAAAAAAAAAATTTAAAGGGCTTTTCGGGCTAGTCCGAGCCCGGCCGGGCTAAGCCCAAAAAACCCTTTAGCGCAAACGGGCTTAGCCCGAAAAGCCCGATTTTTTCTGGACATATATTTTGAAGCCCGAGCCCGCTGTTTTTTAGGGCTGGGCCGGGCTAGCCCGCGGGCTTTGGCCCTAATTGACATGTCTAATAGTACAGTATCTAAAAGTTATGTATTCATATGGACTATGGAGTATTATTTTGTAAAAATCTTCATGCGATTTCGTTGGGGCTTGAGTCCTAGTACCTATAAAAGCATGTCATCCATAATTTTGAGTACCATTTCATGACTTCCCTTTGAGTCATGTCATGACTTTTCGTATGCAGAGATTAATGAGTGTGTCGAATATGACAAACCCTGTGGGGATGAGGCAAATACTTTTTTTTCATGGCAAGACTTGTAAGAATACGCCAGGAAGTCATGAATGCGTGAGCCACCACGTTCCAGAAATAATGACAGGTAAGTCACTGAATTTGTAAATATATCCAAATTCAAGCAGAAATTTTTTCAGCTATTTGGAAAACGGTAATGATGAATATCTAGTTTTTCTTGTGCGGGGTTCGCAGGATTAGGTGCAGGTTTATTTGTCCTAATCGTAGGCGGTGGTATATGGTGGTTAAGAAAGCTTCTTAAAGAAAAAAGGATGACAAAGCGCAAGAGGAAATTCTTCAAACGTAATGGAGGACTATTGTTGCAGCAACAGTTAAATACAACTCAAGGCAGAGTTGAAAACACAAAAATATTCAGCTCAAGAGAGCTGGAGAAAGCTACTGATAACTTCAACGGAAATAGGGTTATTGGACAAGGCGGCCAAGGAACTGTGTACAAAGGTATGCTTGTAGATGGTAGATCCGTTGCAGTCAAGAAATCCAATGTTGTAGATGAAGACAAACTACAAGAGTTCATTAACGAAGTCATTATTCTCTCCCAGATCAACCATAGACACGTCGTGAAGCTTTTGGGATGTTGTCTTGAGACAGAGGTTCCTGTTCTGGTGTACGAGTTTATTACCAATGGAAACCTCTTTCAACATCTCCATGAAGAATTTGATGACTACACAGCGTTATGGGGTGTACGTATGCGCATCGCTGTAGATATCGCGGGAGCTTTTTCGTATCTACACACTGCTGCATGTTCTCCAATTTATCACAGAGATATCAAGTCAACAAACATATTACTAGATGAGAAATACCGAGCCAGAGTTTCTGATTTTGGAACTTCAAGATCAGTTACCATAGATCATACTCACTGGACAACGGTAATATCGGGTACAGTCGGGTATGTGGATCCAGAATACTACGGGTCGAGCCATTTTACTGAAAAAAGTGATGTTTATAGTTTCGGGGTTGTCCTAGTTGAGCTTATCACTGGAGAGAAGCCTGTTATAACCCTTCCAGACACTCAAGAAATAGCAGGGTTGGCAGATTATTTCAGACTTGCAATGAAAGAGAACAGATTATTTGAGATCATCGATGCTCGAATAAAAAATGATTGCAAGCTGGAACAGGTAATTGCAGTGGCAAATCTAGCATTGAGGTGTCTGAAGAAAACAGGGAAGACTCGGCCAGATATGAGAGAAGTTTCTACAGCTTTGGAGAGGATTTGTTCATCTCCAGAGGATTTTCAAGTGCAAATTCAAATTGATGGAGAAGAGGAAACCATGAAGTTATTTAGAGGCTATTCTGGAAGCACTGCGAGTGGAAGAACAATGTGAGCTAATGGAGAGTAATTGGATAGTCTTCTCGAAGTTTGTGAAATAATGTTTGTCAATACGATTGAACTCATTTGATATATTGAGTGTGGTTCTGATTCTCAAAAAAAAAACAACTTATCAAAACTTCTCAGTTCCATTACTTGTCCTAAGATCTCCACCCATACTATCACATTAATGTCTCAGCTTATGCTGATGGACAGATTATAAACTATAATTCAATGGCAATAGAGAGATTAATGGCCATAGATAAACTATGGAATAAACAAAACCAAGAAAAAATAGTAACTTGGTAATTGTAATTAGACAAAAAGACGTAAATAAACAAACAAACAGAAGTCAATGCCCGAACCATACAAAAAAACATTTGTGCATGGTGCGTTCTTGACTCCCACTTTCCCACTAAGCTTAAAAAAGAAAGAGACTTAAAAAACAAACCCAAAAAAAAAGAACAAGAAAGAGAGAGAGAGAGTGATACCCAGAAGAATAATGATTTCTTACACTCTTTGCAGGCATTGAAGACAAGATACTATTAATGACTTTCACTTCTCTGCTCATTGAAGACCCTTCTCAGAAATCAGATGGGGAAATGGCTTTTAATGGTGTCGTCAAGCAGTTGAAGGACAATTCAAGGTCGTTTTAATTTGGTGGACAGTGGTATTGATGAGATTATTTACTGTCTCCATTGACTCCATGTTCAGTTTTGCCGGTTGCAAACCACTCACCATTATCTGAAACCCAACCGTTATCAATGATCCTCCTCCTTTGCTGCTTCCGTCTGGTGAAATCGAGAAACCCGAGGGTAATATCGGAATATAAGATGTATCTTGACCACTCATTGCCATGTTCAATGCTGGTAAATCCACTGGAGTGTAGATCACAAGCGCTGCGCTTGATGAGTCTATGCAGCTTTCTTGTAGAATCAACATATTGTTTTGTGATGATGATGCATTGAATCCCTGATGAAAACAGAGGAACCAAATTATCAATAAGTAGAATCAAGAATCCAAAAATCTGTATAGTTTCAAATGAGGAAGCTTACACGAAGAACTGATATGCAGTTTCCAGGATTTGATCCGTTTGTGATATGAGCAACTTCTTGGACAGAGTTTCCATTTGAAAGAACGTCCCACTATAAAACCAAAACAGAGAAAAACATAAGAAAATGTCACTCGATTAATCAGTTCATAAACACCAAATGATTCTTGTTTCTATGGTAATGTGTAGTACCTGAGGCCGAGTTCTTTCATCTTTGAGGAAATTGAAAACGTTTTGTGGAGAAATCGGGAGCCAGAAACTGGTGGCTGCACACAGAACCATTCCATTGGGTTCATGACGGCTCTTATGCGAAGTCACACGGATTCCAAATTCATCCAGTCCCGAGACAACCGTTGAGCGAGTGTTGTTAGATGTGCCAACACTCAAGCAGAAGTTGTTTACCATTCTGTGAGCAAGTCTCATTATACTTTTCTTCCCTTCTGACGATGGAATCACTAAATTGATTTCAAATCGGTTACTTATGTTTTAATTAGATGATCAATTAAAGATATCTAAAAACTGTCTTTGATTACCTCCTCCAAGATCAAGAGATGATGTTGCGGGTTCCAATAGATTTGTGAATCGCTCACACATTCTTTGGAGAGTAGCAATCCAACGTTCAGCCCCAAAAGCTAATCCTTTATGAACAAGATCTTTAAACATCTCATGGATCAGTTCTTGCTCCTCGAATTCACCATGTTCGACCCAAGTAACCTGTTGTTGTACATTCAAAAGATACAATCAAATGGTTCGAGATGCTAAAAGAATGAAACAAACAGGAGAATTACACACCTTTGAATAGCCATTGGACATATCTTGGATCAAGCAACCAGAAGGAAATCTATATGACCGAGATTGAGATGTAAACTGAGGAAACTCATAGGAGACATTTACAATTGCCCAAGTTCCATGTTCCATCTGCTGACAATATCTTAGCACACAGAACTCACGCGTAGCTACCAATGGCGAAAGCACTTGAAGCTCTTCAATCATCTAACACAAGCCAAAGCGAAGTTATTCAAAAGCTTCAAACAAAAAAAGATAATCTAATTTAATAGTTAGTGGTTGTTTTTACCAAATGCAATGCATCTCCATGGTTTCCACGCAATCCCGATGAAATCACTGCAAGGGTTTTAGATGATGCAACGATTGAGGGAAAAAGCTCTGCTGATTTGACCTGCAAATTAATGAAAAGCCACATGAGAAACACCAACTGTTAAAACAAAAACTTTGATTTGGTTATTGCTTACAGAGTCCATGAGCATGTCCACAAGTGTAATAGCATTAGTGAAAACAACACCAGAAGATCTAGATGCTTCCATTCGAAGGTTATTCTTCTTTCCACCACTACTACTTGATCTTGGAAATGTATTCTCATAGCTTTCGATATTGAGAACATCTCTGCATCCATCAGTTTTGAACCATAGAGGCTCATTAGTTTGAAGAAGCCTAAGCAATTCTTCCATAGCGGTCACAGCAATGTTGGTCATAAGAGACTTATCCATCTCTGATAAAACCAAGTTTGGCTGAGATGGTAAACTAGGAACAGCCATTGAAGAACAACTTCCTGGAAGAAGATCAAAATCAAGAGAAGGACCGGTGTGGAATAACTCCAATGGCGAAACATGCATCGGATTTAGTAACGGTGGAAGATGAGAGATTGGTCTCCCTATGAATTTAGCTGCAATACTCGAAACCCTTTCGAGCTGCAAACAAAAACATCAAATGTAAATGGAAATTTAACACTAAAGACAATCACAATGCAGCAAAAGGTCTTTACAAGAATCACAAACCTCATCTCTAAGCTGTGCATTTTCAATGCGAAGCTTTTGTTCATCAAAGTAAGAGTCTTCATTAACAGGAGAATCACCACAGTTGGGGCAAATGGCATGTTTAATAGCCTCTCTAATCGCAATGTTTTCGCAACGAATCTTATCATTCTCTTCTTTCAATGCACAATTATCAGCTCTCTCGTGCTGTGCCTGCAACAAAACAAACAGAGAAGCAAAATTTAGAGATTTTTATGGAGACAAAACAACAAAGAGTGAAACTGTTTTAAAAAAGGAACCTTCTTTTGTGTTCTTCTGTTTTGAAACCAGAACTTGATCTGTCTTGGAGCTAAACCCAATTCTCTACTAAGTTGGTTCCTCTGTTTCTCATCTGGATGTTGACACTCATTGAAAGTTCTACAAACAAAAACCAAAATCATCAGAGAACATAAAACAAAAACAGAGAAAACAGTGAGAGAAAAAGGGTTATTTACGATTCAAGCCGTTGGATCTGGTGAGGTGTGTGGCGGTGAAATCGCTTCTTCTTCTTATTCTTCTTCTCCGTTTCAGAACTGTCGTGATTTTGACTGTCGCCGAGAAACTCCATCTTCACCAAAGTAATGTGTAGACACTAGACGAACAAAACAGTAACAAACCCTTTTTTCCTCTGTCCTTTTAACCAAACCAGTAAGTAAAACTTGCTAACTCTGGACCATCACACAACTGTCGCCATTAACACAACCTAGTGGAACAAAAAAAAAGTTTCAAACTTTCTCTTCCCTTAATCAAAAGATCTCTAAGAGAGGGGGATAAAAAGAAGAGAGAAGAAAACGAAACGGAAGAGAATCAGAGAAAAGATACTAAGGGAGAAGAAAAGGCTAGATTTGGAAAACGATAATCTCCAGGTTTTTAACCAAAGAAGAAGAAGAATCTCATAAAAAACCCAAATTCAAAACCCGTAATTATGGTTTCTACAGAGAGAGAGAGAGAAACAAGAGTAATTGATGAATCGACCTTTCGTCTCGAGCCTATCATAAGCCGCCATTAGTGCATTCGTTTCTCCCACCTTTCGCTCCTTTTACATTCATTACAGATTCCAAAAAATCTCTCTCTCTCTTCTTACCTGTCTGCCTTGAGAAATTGCGTAACTGATACTGATGGGTTTTTAATGGCGTTTGACAGAAGGAGAAGAGAGAGAGGTTATGGGTTTTTAATTCTCTTGCTCCTTTCTCCATTACTGCCAAGTACTACTACTACTCTCTCTCACCTTCTTCGAGGGTAGTGACTAGTGAGACAGATGCTCCTTAATCCAACCCTTCACTTAAATGTGGGTTCCGTTGAGATTATGGTTAACTTAATGTCCCGGTAAGTCGCCGGCGAGTTTTAAATCAACGGAGGTTTTATAAAAACGGAGACTTTACTTGCTCCGAGTGATTTTCTCAACGTCATGTAATGACAAAATTTAACTTTTCTTTGGGGGTTTAGCTGACTTCAGCAGCTTCTCTTCTTTTTTTTCTTCCTGTACTTTTTTTTTTTTCACTCTCTCAACTTTGTTTTTCCCTTGTGAGCAAAAAATTGGAATGTTCTTTAATGCAATCAAATGAACTTGTATAGTTTTAGGCAAAGTTATACAGTTGTGGTCGTCATTCTAGGGAAATTATACAACTTGTTGAACATAATAAGGTAGTAGATAGATGATAAGAGAGAAAGAACATTTTGTTTGCTGTGAAATTATACCTATCCTTTTTAATGTAAATGGTGGTTATGGTACTATGAAAATACCATAATTATCACATCTCGTTCTTTAGGAACATCAAACACACATTATGTGTTGTTACTTTCTCCAATTAATCAGTGTATTTTAAATACACTCTGATTAGAACACCAACTTATAAAAAAAAAGTTCAGACATGATAATTAACGTTTGACAGTATCCGTATCTTCTCATCTAATGCTCTTGTTGAGCTGGAACGAAATTAATTGCACATTGATTTCTCAAAAATTTGCAGCTGCCATGTAAATCTGTCTGTAGTTAAAAACTTCAAAACCTCTCTTGAATTTATTTACCCATCATCACTTAAGATACCAAACCAAGATCTCTACTTCTAAAGTCAAACAATTAGCAGAGTATATGAATGCTTGTTAAAGCATTAACTCAAGTGATGATGGGACTTACATTTTCTTTCTCTAAGTAAATGCCTGAAGCTAACTGATGGGCCACAAAATACAAGGATCTTCTTTTTTCATTCGCTCCAATCCGTTTGTTGTTCCTCTCTCCGTTTTCGTTTATTAGTTGTTGATGCCTCATACCAATCTCCTACTCTCAAGGCATTGGACATAGACATCACTGCTTCTTCAATTGCTTCTCTCTCCTCTGGATGTAGATCCTCTAATGATAAAGTTGAGGCCACCTCGTCAAATTGTAGTATAGCAGCTTGCTACAAAAGAAACAACAATGGAAATAAGAAGTAATTCCGAGATGCTTACGCATAATTAAATAACCAAGAATAAGTTCCATTTACCACGTTCATTATATCAGCTTCGAGACTTGTATCTCTGTGAAGCTTTGGGACTGTGATGCTATTGAACCACTGCATATATTCACTTTCATCACCGATACCTCCTTCATTCTCCACGATGTTTTCCCTTCGTCTCATCCATTCCTCATCTGCTGTGTTCATGTCTTCCAGTAAGTCTTCATCATGGTTTTTCTCGTTTTTCCTGGGAGGAACTTCTCCGGGGATAACTTGGCACAGCCCAAACTGCTTCATGCATCGATCTGGGAAGTGCCATTCTACTACTTTTGGACCAATCAGTTTTGTTCTGGACCTTCCAAGTAGTAGATTATCTTTAAAACTTTGTGGCACAATGTCGAGGTCTCCTTCAAAGGGGCACCAACTAACCTAAAAGAGAATTCAGGGGTAACAAAAATTCAAAAGAGATTCAAAACAAAGAAATGTATAAGATAACAATGATTTAATTCTTACATTTGATGGATCTAGATCGTCAAGTGCTTTGCGATACTTGAACAAATCATTCTTTGATCGACTCTGTTGCCTTCCTTTCCACAAAAGAGCTAGTGGAAATTGGCGAGTGGTTCTCTTTGGCCTGTCAATATTGAGGTGGAAGTAACTCCAGCACTGAAGATGGTAAAACAACTGGTTAAGAACTTCTTGGGGAAAAAGAAAAAACAGAGAAGATGATGCTCTTAAAGATACACAGAGCTTAAAATAAACGAAAACAAACCTGTAAGAGTGTCAAGCAACCACCAATGATACTCTGAGACCGTTGAGAGGCATTACCAATTTGTCTATACAAGAAAGCTAGTGCGGCAGCACCCCAAGCATATTCTCCAGCTTTCTCAAAATTCTCAAAGAGAATAAGGTAATCAACAGAGATCTTACTGGGATCTGTAGTTGCAAATATCGTGCTCCCAACAATGTATATAAGATACGCACGAGTGTGATACTCAATCTCTTTCATTGTAGCTCCCTTTGGACACTCTGCAAAACTCTCCTTCAACCATTTCGCAGTCACTCGATTACCGCTCAACTCACCTTTCGGTAGCTTCCCCAAAAGTCTCAGACATACTTGAGAAGGGTCTTCATCTTTTTCCTTAACACCAACCACAGGTTTCCCATCAACAGCAAGACCGAGAATCAACGATACCTCATCGAGAGTAATTGTCATCTCGCCACAGGGGAAGTGAAACGTGTTGGTTTCTCTACGCCACCTCTCGACAAGCGCAGAGATAAGCGAATTGTTCAAACTAATTGATCCTATTAGCCTAAACCAACCAAAACCTGCTTTCTCCACCAATTCTATCTGCTCCTTTGTAAGCTTCCAGTGATGAAGCAATGACGTTCGTTCCTGACATCTAAGCACACCTCTCTCCTGCAAAAACAAACAAACATTATCCAAAGTTGTTCGATTTAAGACAGATATAAACCAGATTGATATTGATAGAAACTATGATTACTACTTACCTGTCCGGTCAGAATAGCAGAGGAGACGTGCTTATCTTGCTCGTAAAGGACGGGCATGGTCATCAATGCGTGGTTTATCTGATAATGGCACTCGAAATTAGGGTTTATGTGTAAAAACGCGATCAATTCGACACAATGATTGTTCCGTTTATATGAACATTACAATAACTATCTGGTTCCTGAACCTAAGACTTTACGAGTACATCGCGATTAATCTAGGTGACATTTCAACGAGCGGTGCATTACGATAGAAAGAGGAACAATTTAGGGTTCATCAATCTCTTAACATTGAAATTGGCACATACCAGAACTACCAGTGGCAAGAAGAACATATGTAATCAACAAAACGAAAGCTTACGATTTAGGGCGAAACCAGACGAGGAAGATCGAACAAGGTTGCTTCCAAGAAGAAATTTGAGACAGTGCTGAGATCGCTGCGCAGAGTGAAGAATCTGGTTTGGGTAAAAAATTAAACTCTTTTTTACTAAAATTCTTAAATTCGTCATTTTATTTTCACATTGTTTATACATTAAATTATTAATAATCGTTAAATATACTTTCTCATTAGTTTGATATTAATTTTAAATTTAAAAATATATAGAAAATTTGATAATTAGGTGTTTATTTATGAAATTTCGCATTACAATTTCTATAAAATGACATTTTAAATCTCTTACTAATAAAATGTGTTATTTGAGACTCCTAAAGCTAGCCACATCAGCTTAAATCAAGTTTCTTATAAGTTTGCCACGTGTCATGGGCTAATACTGCTTTACTCTTCTTTGAGAAATCGTGATACCAAATCTCCAATCAAAAGATGCCACATGATCACACATCATCGCTTCGTTTTTCAAGAAGCCATGTCAGCCATTTGATTTCTCCGTTTTGTCACGTAAGAAAATCAGGCTTAGGGTTTGAGACGTCACCAATAAGTCCTCCCTCGACGTTTCCCTTCCTCCGTTTAACGCTCTTGGCCAGGGCACTTGAAACGCCATCTATTTAGCTTATAAAAGAGTGCTAGGTCTTCATTCTGTCTCGACTCTCGATAGATCGATAACTTTCTCATTCCTTCCAACGATTATCTGCTATTCCGATTTTATACTATGGCTACGACTTAGTATACAGAGAAGCCACGTCCCGATGTCTCTTAATTAATGCTAGATTAGTCTTGATTAAGCTAGTCTAGATCATAGGAAGTTTCATGCCCGGAAGGTGTTCGATGAAATTTCCGAAAGAACTTAGTGAGTGCTTAGAATTCCTAGCCAATGGAAATTGATGATTAGGGTGCTAGGTGGTTAGTTAGGCTTGGAATTAATGCATATTAGTCTTGTGATTACGGATGGAAGTCTTTGTTAATCGCATGATTAGTGTAGGATTAGTACCATGGAAGTGGACTAATTGACATTAGTGTTCTAAGACTAAAGGATTAGCATTGTTAGATTGATAGAGCATTATGGATTGATTAGTGATCACCCGAATCAATAATCTAAACCTAAAGACTCGCTTTTTATCTATTGCTTACAACCGTTAGTTGATTTCTCGCTTTGTTTATTTTTAAATCTTGTTAGTCTTTTAAATAGCTTTGTTACAAATCAAAACCAAACTTATTATGCTTAGATTTAATGGTAACTTGCATTCTTAGTGTGTTAATGCTTACTCTTTGAGGTTCGATAAATTAATTGGGTGTAATTCACACATTATTACTACATCACTAACCAAGATAAAACGTTTCCAAAAGTCCCATCTTCTCCTTCTCTCTTACTTTTTTTTTTTTTCATTATTTTAATTTGTGAACTCCAAAGTTCCTCAATGGAGTGCAATGGTGGTGTTGATATGAAGAGAGTGCAATGGTGGTGGTGTAAATGACATGGCAATTATGTGGCAAGTTTAGTGTTGAAAATTATCAACGGAGTTGATTAATTTTGAGTGGCCACATGGAACACTCTAATTGGTTGCTTAGATTGTTGTTCTTTTTCTTTTCACCTCTATTATTTAACATAAATTATTTTTTAATAATAATATTATATATATATATATATAATTTATACCAAAATTCATCATTTTCATACTCTATGCATAGAGACTCGTTTCATTTGATTTGGACACAGAAACTTTTTGTACTATATTTTTTTTTCTAATTACTTTTCAATAATTTAGTTTTAAACATCGTTTTAATAAATGGATTCAAATGAATAAGAAGTGAGAAGAAAAGAAAAGTGTAAAAATAAATATTTTTCCTGATTGGTAGTAACGTTTTAGCAGAAAGGAGAGGAAATTACTGTAACTTTTTACATTATGTTTCTGCCAACATGTATAACCAATCACACCCTATAATCCTCAAAAAAAAGTATTGATGATTTTGTGGACCTCGATGTGATGAGGTTTAGCGGACTCTCTAAGGGGCCTTGATGTAATTGTTCCAAAAAAAAAAAAAATCCTCAAAAAAGTATATTTACCCCAAAAAAGAATATTCTTTGAGGGCTGTAAACCTAGAAACTTCTACTATATACCCAAAGTTGTACAATTGTCATATCCCATCTTGCTCTTAATCTCGCAGCGCAGTGACGGAGACGACTCGAGACATGGACAAGGTAAAGCCGAGAACTCCTCCACTCTCTTTAGTTAATCGTTTCTGATGTTGAATCTTTCCCTTATCTGTTTAATCATTTTCTTTGCTTGATTTTCTCGATTATGATTAAACATGGACTCTGGCTTTTCTTTGTTTAATCGTTTCTTTGCCATCTTGTTTACTTTAATAATAAATAGTTATTAAAAATAAGCTTGAGATACTCAAAGATCGAAATAGAATCTGGAGATCCCGAGATCTCTAGCAAGAATACGGCGGATGAGGACCTTAATGAGGGATTTGTTCTTTGGTGAAACCCTATTGAAAAAAACGCTTCTTCTTAGGAGAAGCCTTAACTTATTCGTTATGTTCTTTTTCCTTTACATGCCTGATAAAGAGCTTAGATTAGTCCAGTTTTAATGATTTTGTACATTCTAATATGCTGTTTTCTGAAGCATTGCATCATTGAGTTTGATGGAGCTTCGAAAGGAAACCCAGGAAGAGCTGGTTCAGGAGCTGTTCTGCGTGATTCAGATGGAACTGTCATCGCCTCCTACCGTGAAGGATTAGGCACTGCAACAAGCAACCAGGCGGAATATCGAGGTCTGAACCGTGGTTTGGAGGCTGCTCGCGAAAAAGGGTATACACACGTGAAGGCCTATGGGGACTCTGAGCTTGTCGTTAAGCAGGTCAGTTGACTTACAACTATCTCTCTTCTGTTTACTCTCTCGAAGACCTTCTGATAGCTATCTTGAAACAGACGCGGGGTGAATGGCAAGTCAGACACCCGAGAATGGCAGAGCAGTGGAAGCAGACGAACGAGCTTAAGAACCAATTCAAGTCATTCGATATCACCCATGTTCCCAGGGTATTATTGCACAGATCCTTTCATGTTTTGAAACCGCTTGTCTAATTTCCAAACTATATATGGTCTGCAGGAATACAACTCTGAAGCTGATAGCCATGCAAACAGCGGCACCTATCTCCAAGGTGACTGATTTTTCGCTTGCAATCTGAATTCAATTATATTTCCCAGGGGAATTTAGTTAAGTTTGATCTTGTTTCTGCTCCTCTTTGATGCCTTGTTAGATGGCCAGGTCCAAGAGATTCCAGGCAAGAAGAGCTACTACTGAAGTAGAGATCTTCATCTTCCACATGCTTTGAATAACATGCTTTTCCTTTTCTTCTTCACTTCAGATAAACATGTTTTCAATCTCCCTTTAGAATTACAAAACAATGTATTTCAGTTTTTTTTTTTTGTTTTTGAAATTATTAGCTAAAATTTACTGCTTTTCTTGGTGGTCACTGGTCAAGCATTATATGATTCACACACACTACAAATTCAAGGAACAAAAGAAAGTAGTCAGAAAGAATTTAGATTCTTGAATCCAAACCCACAAGTGAAATTAGAATATTATGAACAGTGCTTTCTCCTGGTCTTTGGTCCTGTATGACACACATTTTGAGAATGTTATGAACTAATATTAGTAACTGGTAATTTATTTGGTAAGAATTACAAAATTTACAGCCTCTTATTTGACTTTTCCTTGAGTGAAAGAGTTTGACTTCATATAACTTCTTTGAAACGAAGCTCTGTCTAAAAGCAGAGAACCGGTGCTGAATCTCACGATCCTGTTGTTGTCTGAAAGAAATCTTCAACATCTTCTCTAGATTCTGCTTGTATTCTAAAACTTTTGTACAACTTTCTCTGATTCTTCAAGCTCCAAACTAAACCTTCTCTTACCTATCTCCAGCAACCTCATCCACCAAGAACATATATACACTCTATCAGTCTCAGAGCCCTACCATTTGCTTTTGCATATACTTTAGATACACTGTTGAAGTCTTATCAATATTGGAAATGGAAAAAAATAATGCTTTATTGAAGAAATTATCATTACATTAACATACAAAGATCTCTCTCATGTAAACTGATCCAAACCCAATTTGATAAGTCTTTTTTCTCACACAATATTGATCAGATCATAGACTCATGTCGGGTAAATTCTCTAGCCATACCATAATTTGCAGGCAGCCATTGGAAACCACTGAACTTTTGGCTCTACAAGGTTTACACATCTCTATCTTTGATTGCTCGTACACTTGGTTTGAAGCGCTTTGAGCATCTTCAGACTACTAAGCTTCGACGAGAGGAAGTTGATACTCATCTGGTTTCAATGCTAAAGCGAAATCAGGAAGTGTTGGTGCTGTCTCCATGATTCTGTTAATCAGAAAGTATTAACAGATTAATATTTAAAAAAAAGAGCTTTATATGTTATTGCAAAAGAAAGAAAGACAGATTAAACTCACTTTTCATAAGAGTATAGATCACGGTTTATCCTGACTTTACTCGAAGTATCTTTCGGGATTTTCTCAGTTAGATACTTCATTGTTCCAAATAACGGCGGTGTCCTGCAGGAAAAAATAAAACAGATCTTCGAAACAACTGCTAATTTGTGACCAAATGAGCTCAAAATAAAACCGATTAAACGAGAAAGAAATTACCTTGAAGTAGGTGAAGAGGCGTTAAATGCTTCAGATGCTTTCTTACTCTCTTTAAAACATTCATCTGCAGCTTGTAAAGCTGCAACTGCCATGCCATGTGACTTCTCTGTGTTTCCTTCATCAAGAATCAAACCATGATAGTAGTAAGCCGCAGCCTGATCCAAAAGATTCCAGAAGATGAAACAAGACATTAGACAAATGGACCTTAATCGCCTATAGCATTTAAGCTCCACATTGAGAGATAGACTCTCTTAAAAGCCTCCGTGGTTCTCAAAGCATAATGATAGGGATCATATAATCAAAAACGAAATTTGTGTCTTATAGAGACAGACTTTACAAGAAAGGGCCATAGCTCAAGATTATAACTGAAAAGGAACAGAAAAATTTAGCTATGAAAGGAGTAAGAGAGTAAGAGAGAAAGATCAAACAGTACCTTAGCTTCAACATACTTCCACTTAACAAAGAGTCCATGTTTTTCTCCCCAACCATTTGCTAACGGAAGATTCATTAAATTATCTTGTGCCTGTTTCAGCGCACACCGACATGGAAAAGGAAGCATTAACAAAGAATTTCAGATGTTTCCAAGAGAAGTAGGGGGCAGTTAATATATAGACGAAGTCTCAATAAGAAACAAATTGGATAAGAGTTACCTGCTGCCAATATTTCACCATTTCACATGAAAGTCTTCGTTTTACTGCAAGAGTGGCCTTTGAGCTATCAATCGCCATGCCAAGTTGGATATCAACACCCTAAATTTTCAGCAACTTGAAAGATGTTAGATACTAAATGAGAGAAAGAAACTACATGAGGTACAGTTAGATGCCATGGGATAGCTTAACCATATCCATCAAAAGAGAGGTACTACCTGGCCAAGTGCTTGCAAGCAAAGAGCTCGTAGAACTCCTTCCGCTAAGTCAACCGGCAAACTTCTCCTGCAGAAAAATGAAAACAAAGACAAGGATTGTGCCATTAGGCTCAATTGATAATAGTCAAGAAGTAGAGTGAATGACTTTAGAAACTTTGTCATCTACAAACCTTTGCTCAGCAGAAAACTGAGGGAGAACATGCTTAACGGCACAGTCAAGATATCCAGCTGCTTTTAAGAAGATATCAATCGAAGTTCGTCTGTTTTCTACAATGAACAAAAAACAAACAGACTGTTAAGTCCAAGAGACCTTACCCTTTGTTCAAGAAAAAAACTCATCGAATAAAAAAAGGTCTAGACACTGTATGAGAATTCTCATAACAGAATGTATGAGAAGATAGATGAGAAAGTTTCTCAGAGAAGGCTAACCTTCGGATACTTTCGGATGGTTGTGACCATCACTAGAACCTCTAGGAAGAAGCAGTAAATTGGCTTGAGACATTTGTAGCATTGCCATTAGATGCAAAACAGATAAAACTTCATACCAAACGTTTGACATCTCTGTTTCCTGGTTAGAAGTAAACATGTAAGAGTCTCTACATTATGATGACACTTGAAAACAAACTGCTTTAATAAATTATCACACCTCTTCCTCGTCCTCCTGATTTACCCAATTAAATTGTACTTTAAACTGTAGATGGCTACCTGAAAAACATTACAAATACACTGTAGGGTCAGAATAAATCTCTGAAACCAAATACAGTAGATCATTTTCTAAGAAACACATAATAGTATATACCATCTTTAGTTAATCCCAAGACAACAGGTAGATAATCTAGCAAAGCTTGATGTAGATCCAAGAGCGTTGAACCTCCTGCCAGAGAACAATAGTCATTCAGAGTTCCAAACCATATAAGCAGACGGAGATAGAAAACACACAAAGATCTTGACAGATATATATACCATGTTGTGTCTTTCTCCTCGTTCTCGTAATTGTAGGTCCTTCTTGATTAGCCATCACTACGATACGCGTTCTTAAAGCTGTCAAGCGTTCCACTAGAGTCTTGGGTAATTGATCACCAAGTGACTGCAAAAAATCCACCGCTCTAGGTATCCTTAAACCAGGTACATATACTGAAACCTCACCGATGCTTGTTGGCTTTCTTCTGTTCCCACCAGAGTCTTTCGGTGTTGATGCAAAGCATCCCATTTTCAACAGAGCTTAAGAAATCTACAAACCCAAAAGACAACAAATCTACACTATAAGTGCCAAATCTTGATAAAAGGTTTCACATAGAATCTTGTGAGAACAATTTGTGACTATAAAATGATCAAGCTACAAGAAAGAGAGGGGAATGATTCCACATCTAAAAATGCAATAAGAAGAGTTGATAAAAAATTAATGTCCAACCGAAAAAACAGCTCAAGTCCTTCCTCCTCCACTAGATTCATAGGGATAAAGTAAAACCCAGCTCACGAGTTATCTGCCATTACTATACCATCTTCACAATTCAACGTGACTAATCTACACGAATCTTAACAATAATCTTACTTTAAGACCAAGTTCCAAGCAGAAACAAACAAGCAAATTACAACGTTCGATAAACAAGCAAGAGGTTGTTGATTTTATCACCTTGATTGGCTATAAGCTATCAAAATCAATCGAGTTCTGCAAGAAAAGTAAAGAAAAAAATACTAACTTGATCAGCCCAAAAAAAGAAAGGCATGTGAGTTCACGGAGAAAGCATGAAACTTTGAAGTTCGTATAACATTTTCTCCACTATGAAACGTTATACCGAAAATAGGAAAAACAAACCCATAAAAAAAACGAGGAATTTCAAAGGCTGCAAAGCAACTTGACTTAAAAAGGGAAGATTTTGAGTAAAGACTCACCAATAATTATGCTCAAATGTAAGAAAGAGTAATGGAAAGTGATGCTTTATCGAGCTCAACCCAAAAAAAAATAAAGAATTCAAAAATCCGCTGCAAAAAAGAAAAACCTTAAGCAACATTTTCCCCAGAGAGGAATGAAGAAAACAGTAGACTACCAAATCTGGACGAGCCAGGATTTCTGATTTTGGAATTCGAAATTAAACCACCAACTAGATAGCTTAAACCTCTATTTCAGCATTGAATCGCTCAAAAATTGAATCGGATAAAAACGGAAAACGAACTCAATTGAGAATGAATCTGAAAAAAAAGAGATTCTTACCTAAGATATTTAAAAACCGCTCCTTTATATTGCTAAATTGGAAGGAGAGATACAGAGAGAATGGTTCTTTAAAATGATTGATACAGAGAAGAATTATGAAGAAGAAGAAGAAACAGAAGAGAGTTAAAAAACAATTACAAGGGATCGATTTCAACGCGAGGAGAAAATAATGCTTTGGCTACTACTTCACTAGTCAGCACTCAGCACAGCTAACTACCAAAAAAAAAAATTCAATGATTATTAATTTAGCTAAAACCCAATTTTGTATCTTTTTTATTTTTTTTATAAAGTTATGGTAACTAACATGAAAATTTTACAATCATTAGACCATCATAATGCAACAATATAATTTGTTTCCTTTGTAGCTGATTTTCCTAGGAGTTTAATATGATAATGACTATGTTTGGACTGTCATTAAGCTCAAATTAGACCATATCTTAAAGCAATTACTAAAATAAATACAGTTTACATATAAAATAGAATGTAAAATGATCTTATCCTCTATGAAAAATAGTGCCTAGTGGGTATGACTAGTGTTTTAATGATTTAAAATTTTGAACTTATTGGCACCATTAGCTGTCCATCGGCCTCATTCTAACAAGATCTTGTAAAATGATATAAATTTGCTCTCAAACACAGCTTTTATTCCATTTTTTACATTACAATATTACTCAAATACGATTCTCTTCGCATATTTCGAATATCACTATTCAGATATTTTAAGCTTACATTAATTCTATCGAAAATATACTACAGCTTAATGTCTCATGATCATAAAAAATGTTTAACAGAAGAAGAATCTTTTTAATAATATTTAAATTGTGGTTGATTTGGATATTTAATTATAGAATGAATATAATACATCAACCAGCATTTTCTTAGCATTCATTGCATTGTTGATTTTTTCAGCAATCATTCATTTAAACTTGCAATCTAACGTATAAACTTGATATTGTGAAATACCGGATTAGAATTTATAATGATGTGATGCTTATTGCAAGACCTAGTAAACTAAAAGATAATCGTCACAGAAAAAAATCTTATACATTTTTGTTGTTGTTCCAAATAGAATAATAATTAATGACGGACAAAATCCTCACCGGCCTAATTACGTTAAGGACTCCACGTCCGTTCACACTTGTTTGTCAATGTTCCCATAATTAGGCCCCATGGCTGGCTGCTCAAAGCTAATACAAGGAAAATGCCATCCACGTGGCAGCCTCGTTGGTCACGTGACGGTTACTATTTTGGGCGGGCTCACACATACTGCAAAAGTACTAAACAATTAAATGTGGGGACTTTTGGACAGGTGTCGAAAGGTTCGTGAGTCGTTCGCGGTTAGAAACGTCGCGGCTGTCTTTCACGGTCACCGTCCAATGGTCGGGAATGCTTTAATAAGGCTGGCAAGGTGGTTGGTGACGACACGTGTCCTCAATCATTCCGTTATGTTGAAGATATCTTCTGCTTTCTCTCTCTTTTTCGTCTTCGTTTAGGACTCTTTCCTTTTATAGAACAGTCTTCTTATTTTTTCTGTGATTTATTATATTTCCAACAAACATCATTAGAACTACATTAGTTTTATAATTACATACGTAATCATTTTGTAATTTGAAAAGCTTTTAAACATACTTTATTAAACATTTATGCGATGGTGGATTTTTATTTGTCAGAGATGAAAGGTAGGCATGTCAATCGGGCTAGCCCGGCCCGGCCCGGCCCGAAGCCCGCAAAACCCTTACATATTTGAGCCCGGCCCAGCCCGGCCCGTAAAAATTCCGAGCCTATATTTTAAAGCCCGGCCCGGCCCTAACAGGGCTACAAGGCTTTTCCGGGCTTTTTTGGGCTTTTCTTCTGACAATAAAAAACAAACTTATAATTTATAATATCTCTTAAAAAAAATATCTATATATGAAACGAGTCAATCAAAATTTAAATAACCACTAACGCTAATTTAGTTTTTTAAAAAGAGAGTTAAAATCAAAAAAATAATCCAAAGAAATTGTTTAAACTTATCCTAGATAAAATATAAAATAAAAATAATTCAAATTAGGTAGTAGAGCTAATATTTGCTTTTTAGATTTATAGTAATACACAATTAAAAAACTAAGTTTAGGATTTTCAACTCTATCAAAAACTTTTTTTACAACAAATCTTACAATTAAACGAAAATATTAACAAAAAAAAGTCAAAATATTTTTTAAAGGGCTTTTCGGGCTAGCCCGAGCCCGGCCGGGCTAAGCCCAAAAAACCCTTTAGCCCAAACGGGCTTAGCCTGGAAGGCCCGATTTTTTCTGGACATATATTTTGAAGCCCGATCCCGCTGTTTTTAGGGCTGGGCCGGGCTAGCCCGCGGGTTTTGGCCCTAATTGACATGTCTAATGAAAGGTGAACAAACAAAAAGCTTTTATCAAAACAAAAAATCCAAAAAAAAATAAAATGAAACCGAACGTTGTTTGGATGAAAAGCTCAAAAAAATAGTATATGACGTCGCTTAGGTGAAAGCTATGAATTTTACAGTTTAAACCAAGATGACGTTTCGATGACACGATGTCGTTTCATAAAAAAATTAAAGATGCTATATGTCGTCGTTTAGTTTCCCAAGCATATCCGTGTTCGGTTAAAGTTAGTACTTGCGGATTTTTCCTCTAGGGGTTCCAAAATTTAAGGAAATTTGTTGGAACTTTGGTTTGAGTGATATCTGAATTTTGTTGATGAGATGGCTGATCTGTTTCGTTGGCTCTAGCAAGACTAGCATCTTTCTGGATTCGTCGTCAATTCCACCACCAAATAGTCCGAGTTATTGTTCAATCTTAATAGAAAGGGTTCTCATCATTATGGGACATTGTAATGTGTTTGATGGTATTGATGAAATATTGATTGAGTTCTTAAAAATTTACTAAGGTAATGACTAATGAGCTTTGTTTTCTGCATACATTGAGATGATTGATATACTGTCTACCACCAAAGTAGTTTAGGAATCATGAAATACTTTCTTTCATCAAGAGCAAGAATAAGACCACTATTTCTAAATGCGTGTTGATCAAGAACAGAGTTTGGACACACTTAGTTAGTAGTCGATGGATCTGATTGTAGAGATGATCCCAGATTGGTCATTTGATGTGAGTGCAGTGATGCTACTACATATTAGATAGATATACCCACTCGTGAAACCAGCAAGCTCATTATCTCCCTGATTAATAGCCATCATTGCTTTGCCTTTTGCTTTTTGATTAACCAATTTGTTGATAGACCTAGACCGGTTTAATGTAATCAGGATCCAGTTTGCTTATATGGAGTATTTGAAGAATTTCTTTTTTTTGTTGTGAAATATTGTATTTGACTTCCTTCCCAACTAACTCTGCCTATTTTCCTACTAAACTTCACCGGTAATTAAGTTTGGCTTTGTTCCTACACACGTGCAAGTGAGTTCTAAAACAGTTTGGTTATAGCTTACCTAGTATTGAATTGATTAGTTGATTGGAATATAAGCTATATCTCCAATCAATCCTTAAAAAGATTCTATAAACTGTTTTGCAAGCAATCCCAAGGAAAATTTGAAGTACAATATATCACTTTTCAGGTTTTCAACTTTATTCCTGTCATTTTTTTCAATCTTTTATATATATATTTCTAATGTTCTTAAGTATTTAGGCTATGTTATTATATCTGAATGTATGTAAAAAATAGAAGCCGGTAACTAATGCCAAATTATTTTTGTTAATTTAAATTTGTTAGAGGACTGAGAGTACAAAAAGCCAACCGTCGTAGACAAGACAAGAGGGAAAGTTGGTGATGTGCTTGGAGACCAAATGTTTGAGCAAATAAGATGTCAAATTCATTTTTATAAAGTACAAAGCCACTGATATATCAATCAGTTAACCAATTAAATAATTAAGACACACAGTCGTTTTAGGGTTTCCAAGTTGGTCCGATTTAAGGAAAAGAAGCATTTGGTTAGGTCTGAAAGGTTTAACAAAACATATCCAACGATATTTAATTATTTAATTCTACTTATACGTGACCTGCAATTAAATCACAGGTCCACAACATCTATACCAAACTCTCTCCTTCCCCTCTAGTTTTTGTTCATTTTTTAACAATGTAGTATTGATATTTTTCGAAGCTACAAAACCATTTAATAGCTTGAAATGATAGTCCATTAGTTATACCAAAAAGCAATACGGTTGAAATTTAGTCATCAAGTTCGATCCACAAATCCTGGAATAATAACTGTTACATTCTCCCCTATTTTGGACGTATAGTTCTCCTTAGTTATTTTTTTTATTGTTGATTTAGTATGCCATAATGTAAAATTTCATAAAATTTGAAAATATTGTCCACATGCAATATACATAGACTTTTAAGATTTTGATTGTTTGTAACATTGTTGTTTTATATAGTTAAACACTAACAAATTTAAGTTTCCTTTATCAAGAAAAAACAAATTAAAGTTTTTTTTATTTCAACGTAAAATCAAAATAATTTTATATAGTTGTGTTTACATTTTCACAAACATCATATAAATGCAACCAAAGTTTTTGCAATCTAAATATAATGTACATTAATTCTTTGAGCCATATATTGTAATCTCTCCCATCTTGAGTCATATTCTAGAAGTTGTCCATATATAAAAAGCTGAATAGCTGACTGTAAAATTGCATACATATAATAATATACATGTGTATATGTAGCTTGCATAAGATTATACGAACGTAGATGAAGTATTGGTGGCTGAAGTAGAGGGTTTAGGTTGGAAAAAAATATATTTAAGAGTAGACGTTGAAAGTTTAACGAAAACACCCCACCAAGCAATCTCTTCCCTCCTGTGTATAATATAATCTCCTTTTTCTCTTTTCATTATTCATGATAATTAATAAAATTCCCACATAAATGTAAAAAAATAATAAGAAATAGATGGGGAAAAAAGAAGAAGGTAGATTACTTAAAAGGAGTGTGTTTGGTTAGGGAAGACGTTGGCATCAATCGCCGGTGAAAACCTCCCTCCAAACTTTCTATCACTCTCTAACGAATCTTATAATATTCATTACTTTCAATTCTTTATATAATATCTAAATATATAAATATATGTATGTATGGTGCTGTTGCTCTTCAGCTTTCTTCTTGTTCCTACATACCCATCTTCCCTCACCTACATCAAACCTAGGGTTTCTTAACTATATCAACAACATATATAAATTTATATATAGGTTGTGATTTATAGAAGATCATAGTATAGAGATCACAAGGAGAGGAATTAGCTAGAAGAATGATGTGCAGTCGAGGCCATTGGAGACCTGCAGAAGATGAGAAGCTAAGAGAACTCGTCGAACAATTTGGTCCTCATAATTGGAACGCCATAGCTCAGAAGCTCTCTGGTCGATCTGGTAAAAACTGACTTTAAAAAGTCATTTCTATAAATTTAATTCTTAATAAGCCTAAACTAGGGTACGGTTGAATATATAAATAACTATATATGTAATATGTTGCTTTGGTTTGGATTTTTTGGTTTCAGGCAAGAGTTGTAGATTGAGATGGTTTAATCAATTGGATCCTAGGATTAACCGAAACCCTTTCACGGAGGAAGAAGAAGAAAGGCTTTTAGCGTCTCATCGGATTCATGGGAACAGATGGTCTGTGATCGCTAGATTTTTTCCGGGTCGAACCGATAACGCTGTTAAAAACCATTGGCACGTCATCATGGCTCGTCGTGGCCGAGAACGGTCCAAGCTCCGACCACGTGGCCATGGCCATGATGGCACTGTAGCTGCCACTGGGATGATGGGTAATTATAACGACTGCGATAAGGAGAGAAGATTGGTAACCACAACCGCTATCAATTTTCCGTATCAATTCTCTCATATTAATCATTTTCAAGTCCTCAAAGAATTCTTGACCGGAAAGATCGGGTTCCGGAATAGTACTACTCCAATACAAGAAGGTAATTAGATAAAATATGGCTTGAATTTGTGTGTTTATGTAGCTAATATAGCTGCACAAACATAAACAAGCGTAGCATACGTATACTTTATTTGGAGTGAATACATATATGCATATATAAATTATACAAACTCATAAGTCATAACCATTAGATAACATGTACATTCGTCTTATTAAATGTGCAAGTAATGGTGCATTAATTCGTATACAAATTAGATTGAAAAAACATTGAAATAAAAATTTGACATTGTATATGGGTTAGTTCATGGTTTTCTGTAAACACTAATTAATTTTTGATCCTAAAAATTGTAAAAATAGTTTGAAACGATCATGATTTTCATAGTTACATGCATGTATATGGATGTACACTTGCTTGTGGGTACGATTAAATAATTGTATAACTTCTAAAACTAGCTTTTGGACATGGATTATTTGGTCAGGAGCAATAGACCAAACTAAACGACCGATGGAGTTCTACAATTTTCTCCAAGTAAACACGGATTCGAAGAAACCCGTAGCGATAGACAATTCAAGAAAAGATGAAGAAGAAGAAGATGTCGATCAAAACAACCGTAACGAGAATTGTGTTCCCTTTTTCGACTTTTTGTCTGTTGGAAACTCTGCCTCTCAGGGTTTATGTTAATTAGTCCGTACCACATGTATAAGGTGGACCATATGTAGAAATTACTAATCAACTAGAGCTCTTGTTTGAGCCAAATGTGAAAATTAGTTAATTAAGACAGCCCAAACATTTCTTGTATAACAAATCAAAGGTTGTACTACTTTTATCAGGTCTAATTTCCTATATTTATTTTAAGGGTGTTTAATCAGACTTAAAAATAACTATTCGGCAAAAAAAAAAAATTAAAATAAAATTCAATCAGACCAATCGATAAAAAGTTTGAGCAGAAGCTTAATTAATTTTAAAACACATTCAAGTTTAAAGGTTTGTTGTGAAACAAAACTTAAACTGAAATTCTGAAGAAAACCAATAATTTATTCCAAACTGGCCTAGTTTCACTTTGTACTCATTTTGGCTCTGGACTTTGGTATTGTCTAAATTGCAAGATGTGTGTGTACTGATCAGACAATACTCTGTCCTGATCAACCTAAAAATTATCGTAATAGAAGGATTTAAGACCAAAAATTTATACAATATTGTGAAATTTGCAATCGTTGGATATAATTTTTGTGTTTGTTGCGGTCTTAAGTAAGATCAAATATTAAGAGGTTTAATTATTAACCGAAGAAAATATGTCATTGGTGCCTAAATCTATGCATCACCAAATGAACATCCTTAATACAGTTATAATTCATGCAGACTATTTTGACTCGTATAATATGCGATGATGTCATGATGAACCTATGTCAAAAAAGAAACTTTTTTAACTAATGGTTTTATGAGAGCCTTTTAACTTTAAAAATAAAGTTTAGTTTAGTTTCTTTAATAAATTGTGAAGAATAACAATAAGTTAATAACGGAAAGACGAAATCGAGGTTGGAGTATAGATATGATTAAGTTGGGAGTAGTTATCAGCCACCAAGAAATACAATCCAAAGTAGCAAATCTACCTTTGTCTAGCTTAAGAAAACACGAATAAAATAGTTCGTTTTATTTAGGTGGAGATGAAGAACACACATCTTGACACGACTTATAACCATACAATTCTCCTTTTTCGAAATAAATAAATTTATTTTGATTTAATCATCGAGTTTTCTTTTTCTTTTCAATTTGTTTATCTAAAACTGATGTCATTATGATTGCTAGGGTTTCCTAGTTGAGTTAGATATGTATGTCACCTTGATTATATTGTTGAAGACAATACGAAAGAACAACCCAAAAAGATAAGTAACTGTATTATATACATATATTTTATTATGGAAGATAATGAAACCAAACGTTGATCAATGTATATAGATGTTGAATTAATCAAATTTTGGATAAGATTAAGACACCCACTAGAACAAGAATGTATAAATTTCTGATTGGATGTGTATATAATTATCTCACACTTCCTATCAAAAATAATGAAGCGAATCGTTGAATATTTTTCAGTGGTGACTCGTTGATTAATTGTTCAAAATATTTGAAATTTATCATATATAGATATGATCAAAGATCAAAATAATGACAGACTTTACAGAGCATACGCAGTCAATAAAGTGCGGATAGATGCAAATTTAGAGAGGATTAAGACCTGGTTTTACTTACATCATCTTTCATTCAACTAAGTTTGTGACAAAAAGACTCATCCATCGGAAAATCCATTGATGAATTATAGGACAACATCTTTCGTTGGCTTTGAATTAAGCTTGAATTCAAAGAAAACATTGCGTCTTAATCCAAAAAAGTACTGTCCCAAAAGTCTATAGTTTATTTTGTTAATTGGTTAATTATATTTCAACAGTACCTTTTATTCCAAAATATGTCTTGGTACAACGAAAAAGACTATTATAAAAGAAATACATTCATCATCAACAGGAAAATGAATTTTTAACCCATATATAACATCGGATCTCAGAGAAAGTTGACTGTCTTGAACTTGAATTCATCCAGCAAACTGTCGATGCTCATCTCTGGCAAGTCTTTACGGCCTGCAGGGTCCTCTCTGAGCCGAACTGTCACCTGAAAATGTTTTCAGTCCCAACAAAACAAATTGATCAATCAATGTTTGAGAAATTCGATGGTCAAAGAGACATAGGAATCATGAGACAAAAGTGTGCCCTCTAACCTGTCCCGTTGTAGCCTCTTTGTGACCTACCACCAATATGTAGTTGTATGGTGCAGCCCGAGCATCTGCCACCTACACACACAACATAATCATCACCGCAAAATTACTATGCAAAATCTTTGTAATTCCTATACAGAGAAAACACGAATTTATATTATGAAGAAGACAACTAGCCTAAGGTATAAGATTTTGTCTTATAAAGTTGTGGTTGACACTAATTTCAGGTCACGAGGTTAAAATTTCTGGCCTTACTTAATAAATGGCACTTGTATAATATGCTCAAAGACCTTGTCATTTGGAAAGCTTGTAAATGTATTACCTTTTTACAGATGCTTCTGTCACTTTCATCAATATCAACATAGTACCTAGCTTCATGAATCTGTTTTTGTACCTGTTTGAATATACGTGCAAATCAAGGAAACAAAAAAAGCTTAGAGATTAGACACGGGAAGAATTGCAGGTGTGAGAGCTCATAAATAAAGAATGCAAGAAAACCTGTTTTGCATAGGAACTATAATCCTCTGAAAGAGAGCAAACTATGGCCTGGCGCGGACTAAGCCAGAAGGGCCAAATTCCTTTGTAATGCTCCAACAATATGGCAAACATACGCTCAACAGATCCCAACACTGCTCTATGAATCATCACAGGTCTCTCCTTTTCGTTTTTTTCAGTTATGTAGTCAAGTTTGAAGCGAGCCGGAAGTTGAAAATCAAGCTGATATAAAGCAAATTAAACAAAGGATCAAACTCTTATAGCAAGAGAGAGCAAAAAAGGAAAAAGATTTTGGGAGCCTCGCTAACCTGTAAAGTAGCACACTGGAATTTCCTTTTCATTGCATCAGAAACTGTTATGTCTATCTTTGGGCCGTAAAATGCACCGTCTCCTTTGTTTATCTGCAGAAAACGTCAAACTTAAGATTAATGGATGCATACTCTGCGAATAATAAAGGTTTGAGTACAAGTATCAGGAAGTAGTAACACATACAACCCATGGCTTTCCAAAATTATCTAGCGCTTTTTCAAGATCCTTTTCAGCTTTATCCCATGTTTCCAAATCTCCAATGTACTTCTTCTCTGGCCTCTGAAATTGAAAATAACATGCAAACAATGAGATACATGCATGATCATTATCGCACAAAGTGTTGTATCAGATTTGGTAAAAGAAATCTACAATATCCTACCGTTGAAAGCTTTAGCTCATAGGTAAAGCCAAATATTTTGTAAACATAGTCAATGAAATCCAACACACCCTTCACTTCTTCTCCAACCTGCAAATAGACAAGAATATACTAGCTCTAACAAGAAGCTGGGAGGATAAGGAGTTCCAACATTGCTGCATAGAAACAAATATCACAAACCTGATCCACTTTACAGAATATGTGTGCATCATCCTGAAAACAAGTATGCGCAATGTTATTTAAACTCTGAAAGCAACAAGTTTGCAACACACACACAAAAGCGTAAAAAGCGAATTGACAATCTAAGTAAAATAAAGGGGTGACTTCTTCACTTCAACATGGCAAATAGGCTCTAATGTTAGATCCTAAAGCAGTTTTACCTCATCATGATGTCATTTTTATGTCGCTAGTCTTTATGTAAGCAATCAATTTTAAGTTTAAACATTTTACTACAAGAAAAGTCCAGAACTATGCAAACATACCTGTACGAACCGTCGGGCACGGGTCATTCCACTAAGTGCTCCACTTTCCTCATTTCGATGTAACACTCGTCATGAGAAGGGGTGACTTCTTCACTTCAGCATGGCAAATAAGCTGTTTAACTACATCATGATATCATTTTAATGTCGCTAGTCTTTATATAAAGCAGTTATACATATTTTACCACAAGAAAAGTCCAGAAAGATGCAAACATGCATACCTGTACGAACCGTCGGACACGGGTCATTCCACTAAGTGCTCCACTTTCCTCATTTCGATGTAACACTCCAAAATCCGCTATTCTAATGGGTAATTCTACATTCCAAACCGCAAAACAAAAAGATGTTGTCAGCAAAAAGATATATTATGTATATTATTTTAATGAGATCAAACTTCACTGCAGGAACAGGAACAGAGCCCCAACCTTTATATGAGCGAACTTTGTCTTGGAAGACCAAGCAGTGACCCGGGCAATTCATAGGCTTGAGCCCGAATTCTTGTTCATCAATCTGCGCAAGGAAGAACACAAAAATTAGAAAATCATCTGTCAAAATGTACGTAGAGCTACAAATGGTAGCTTGGAAGCTAGCTAGGTACTGAAGTAACAAAGTCAAGAAGACTGTTGAGCTTTGCATGCACTCTTACATCTAACGTAAACATATTTTTCTTGTAGTTTTGAGCATGTCCTGATGTTTCCCAGAGTTTCATGTTGAACATATTTGGTGACATAACCTGCCAAATTCAAAGTTAATTCATCAGCAACCCCTCTCCTCCACACACACATTCATCAAGTATACTAACTAGTGAAATGAGAAGTAAGAAAAAACTCTTTGTAACCCCTTTTCTTATATTCTTTCTTAATTAATTTCATCAACTTGTTATATACGATAGCTCCATGTTCGTGGAAGAACCAACTGCCAGGGCTGCATTTCTTACACACATTATTAGTTTCGTGAAACACAAATAAAGAGGAAACTAGCAAAATATTATTAATTGTATATTAGCACTGAAAAGAACCTGAATTCGTGACAAAAGAATAGATCCTGCTGTTTGCCCAATAGTCGGTGGTCATATTTCTTTGCTTCTTCTATAGACTTAAGATAGTCCTGCAATGATTATAGAAAATTAGAAATCATGCCATATATAGTCATGATTAACATTTTAAAAATATTTTAACAAGTAATTAAAGCAGGATACCTTGAGTTGCTTGTTATCCGGATAAGATATCCCATAAACTCTCTGCAAGCTCTCGCGGTCGCTCTTACCTCTCCAGTAAGAGGCTGACGCCTGAGATTGAAAAAAAAAAAAAAAAACGATTAAATAATAGTAAACTTAGAAAGCATAAGAAAACAAACAAGAATTAGCTAGAAATAAGAGTTGAAATGTTCACCTTCAAACACTTGAAAGCTTTCACAAAAGAAGTATTTGGTATATGTGGTCCGGGACACAAATCAACCAAGGAGCCACATCTGTAGACTGTAATGCTCTCTTCTTCAGCCAAGTCGTCATTGACGATTTCAACCTATAAGATAATTAATCAACAGCAGAAGAATGAGTCCAAAAAAAAAGACAATTCAAAGGTTGAATGATTTGTATGTCACTTCTTCTCTAAAACCCCACCTTAAATTTATTATCAGAAAACATCTCGAGTGCCTGATCCTTGGTCACTTGAATCCTTTCGAATGGTTGTCTCTCCTGCGATGTACATATGAATAGAATTGGAACACTATATATTGGTTGACATATATCATTCAGCAAACATACTACAATATCTACTAGTACTACAAGGAAGAAGAAATACCCGAACAGCTTTCGCAACACCTGCTTCGATGTTTGGAAAATGATCGTCGTTTAAGCCCAGATTGCCATAATAAAAGGCATCGTAATAGAAACCCTGCAATAACAAGCCACTAGTAACATCAGAGAAATACCAAGAACCAAACAATATTGATTCCTCCTCTCTTCTTCTACTCTTAGCCAAAGAATCATAATTAAGGGAAAATGACTGCTCTTACCTCATCTGTGGTTTTGCAGGGTCCAATGCATAGCTTGCATCCATACTGCTGCTCGAGAGCCTGGCCTAGAATGTGAGCACTAGAATGCCAGAAAGTATCACGGCCTTGGTCGCTGTCAAATCCGAAAATCTCTAGCGAACAATCACCTTCCAGGGGCCTATTCATGTCCCACAGGACATGATCAACCGAAGAAACCAGTGCAGATTTGGCTAAACCCTTAGAAATCTGCACTGCAATATCCATTGGAGTTGTCTCCCATCTCTTCCCCTCTTTCACGATACCGTCTGGGAGAAGAGTAATCCTAAGCAGTCAAACATAAACCAGAAATTAACAAATTGCAAAAACCTTAGCTAGGCAAACAAATTAAAGCACCCTAGTGTATTATGAACAATTTATCAGAATCGTATTTACTTGATCGGATCGTGTGGCCGAGATTGAAGCTGCTCAAGTTGTTCGGCTTGGATTTCCTCGAAGAGCCTGATACGCTTGGGGATGACGGATGAGAGATAAGCCTCATCCTTGGGATGATGATTATTCGCCGCCATCGATGGAGGAGCAGAGAACGAAGACAAAGAGAAACTGTAGAGAGTTGAAAGAAATTGAAGAAGATGACGATGAGAGCAGAGGAGTAGATTACCCAAGGTCAACTTCCCTTTTTTTTTTTTTTTTGCTTAAACAGGTCAACTTCCCTTATAATCTTATATAGCTACAACACAAAAGTGACTTGCGGGTCAAGCTTTAGAGCTTTTCCTTTTTTTTGGTATAACAGGTGGCAGATGCACTTAATTTTACATAACTTCCTTATCTATTTAAGTAATTTTCTATAATTTTTTAGATTATTTCACATTTATCTCTGTTGCATTCTCTTTGTTTTATTATATCCTTTTCAACATTTTTTTTTTTTTTTGTCGTCTAGATTTATTATTAATTGCAAATTATGAGAACTGTTACATAGACGATTCTACAACTGACAATTCCTTCCGACCCTTACTAGATCCACGACAGACTACACTTCCTTCTTCATGATCTTGATGAATACCTTCAATGATCCACGACCTGGCCAAACTTCCTTCTCTGCGTAGAATCCTGGCGAACGGCTATAATTGTACATCGCTGGAGATCTCCTGCACACTTGCCTCCATTAATCTGCAAATTTGTTAATAAATCGCAATATCTGGAACTCGAACCCCAGACCTCTTAGTGTAGAAGCATTAATCAACCCTTAGTCAACCAATGGGCCAAGGGGCTTCCACCTTTTTCAACATTGTTTAGATAAAAAATTTAACCATATCTTACAATTATGTATATGAATAATATCCAGAGGACCATTAAGGCCTATTAATGTGGAAGCTAAAATCAGTTTCAAGTGGGCTTATTATGTATAGTTTTGGGCTCTCAAAAGGACAAGTAGGCCTATTAATGTCGAAGCTAGAATCAGTTTTCAAGTTGCAACTTTCACGTTTTATTGCGAAATAGATCTGACAAAAAGGAAAAAGTGACATGAGATGAGTGAGATGAGACCTTTCCTATTCTTACAAGCAAGCATCACTTTAAAATTTTGAAATCTGGAAATAAGCAAAATCATTGAAATAAATTGTCCAAAAGATCTAAAAACCCTGACAAGTTCTCAAATTAACCAACATATAAATCCACACTACGTATCTCTTTAATTAAATCATTATTAATAGTAATTTGGTAGTAATTTTATTTCAAATTTTTAAATTAACAAAACTTGGCATGTCACGTATATATATTTCATATTTGAAATTTCTCATAACGCATATAATATTCACAAGATATGCATGAGCTGATTTTGTTTGGAATCATATTAACGGTTGCATGTAAATACAAAAGCTATTTTTTTAAAAAATATATCTTTTAATAATATTATATACGAAAATTTATAATCATTATTAAAAAAAATTTATAATCATTATACAAAACCTGTATCATCATCATCAGCTTGAATCACTCTCTCTCATCTTCCCCGCGCGCTGTGTCTCTCTTCTCTCTCCCACATTTCCATTATCTCCTTTACTCTCTTTCTCTCTGAGAATGTCTTCGACAACAATCGGCGAGCACATCAGACTCCGACGAGCTAGAAACCAAACAATCCGTCATCTCCACGCCGCCGACGATGATCCACCGCTGAGCCACGTCGTTCTTCCGATTTCTCAACCTAATCGCTTCTGTAACTCCGCAATGTCTCCCTTCTTTCTCCTCCCGACTTCCTCCTCCAGGAAGAAACCGTACCAAACGTCGTCGTTTCGTGGTATGGGTTGCACTGCCGCAGCAGCAGCAGCTCAGGAGGTTTCTGTTCCCTCCGTGATTCGTTCCTCCGCTGATTGGGATGCCAGAATTAGAAAAGATAAGAAGAAGAAGCATAAGAAAAAGAAGAATAAAGGAAGCTACGAAGATGGTTCGATTAGGATCTTAAACGAAGCTAGAGACGTTGATGGTGGTGGTTGCGTCGCGATTCCTGATGTTTGGTGCGGACCTGGACTAGGGTTCTTGACGGATGCTGTAGTTGATCGATCGGTCGATCCTCCTCGGAGAAAGAATATTCCGTCGTCTCGTCGCAAAATTGATGTGGATAACAACACACAGGTAAATTTGATCTAAATTGCCAGTGAATTTTGATGAATTATAGTAATTAGGAGTGTTATTGATTTTGACTTTTGAGCAAATGTTATAGTTTAGGCACAACTATTTGGAGTGGTTGTAGTTAGCTCTGTACTATTGCTCTGGGCCATGTTGGTTTGGTTTATTAAATTTGTGTTTCTGGTTTGGATTCTCTTTTAGACAAATCACAAGGGTCTACTTTAGTTGTAGAGATTCTCTATTATTAGTTTTTGTTTCATGTGAGGATAATATACAATTATTACTTTGTTTGACGTGTGGGTGGTCCTTCTGGGTTTGATGATCAATTAACAAATCAGAATTGTGGTTTGGTTAGAGAATGGAATCTTAGCATGCTTTTTGTCTCGTTTGCGTAGAGGATGGAATCTTAGCATTGTTTAAGCTTATGGTTGGATTCAATTGGTTAGTTCTTGGATTTATTTTGATCATAGAAACTCATTGCTTCAGACCACTTGAAAATTAGGGAACCATCATCTTGTGTAAGTTTGAGAAATGATAACACAGTAATGCTACAAATGTTCTTCAGGGTTCTTCTGTTCTTCCCAGGCGATTTCTCAATCAAGAATCTCATTCTCATGCTTTCTTCAAATCTGCTTCGACGTTTATGACATCTTCACGAGCTGAACCAACGGTGTTATCAAGTAGATCTCGTGGCCATCTTCGACGCTCTTACCCTGATGATCTTACTGAGGTAGAATGTTCTTTGCCAAATAGTTGCCTTATCTTTCTTGTATCTGGTAAATGTTATAGATTTGACTCCTAACTTCATTAACTGATCACATTCAACGCTGTTTTAAGGTTTGACTTGTTACTTGGCTTCATATCAACTTAAGTGGTTATTCTAGATTGCCCCTTTGTCTCTAACATATTCCAGTGACTGATAGAGTGGAAGACAAATAATGTACTCGTTCTCTTCGGCTAAATTGTAAAACTGTTTTGGATGGTTAATAGCAAGTGAGCAAGTTAAAGAAGTAAACCATGCAGCATGTTAAAAAGATCCTGCTGTTGACTGCAGATGATGATGCTCCAGAATGGTTTTGTAATGGGAAGAATAACAGAATCCCGTGATCACTACCATGAATTGAGGCTCGATGTTGATAGCATGTCATACGAGGTAATGTTTCTCAAAATCTCATGAGAAAAACGCTTACAATCTCATCTTCTCAACTTTATCGAGCGTGTTTCCTTTGATATACACAGCAACTTCTTGAGCTTGGTGATAGGATTGGTTATGTGAATACTGGACTTAAAGAAAGCGAGATACATCGTTGTCTTGGGAAAATCACACCCTCCATATCACATACTCTTGGTGATAGAAAATGTAGCATTTGTCAGGTAAACTCCAGATTGAGACAAAGGCTTCTCGAAACTTCAGACAGTTTCATACTGCTATTCCTTATTGTTTGATGATGACAGGATGAGTATGAGAGTGAGGATGAGGTTGGGAAATTAAACTGTGGACACAGCTTTCATGTCCATTGCGTAAAACAATGGCTATCGAGGAAGAATGCTTGCCCGGTCTGTAAGAAGACAGCATACGTCAAGCCTTAAGAGAATTGTGTGTATCTCGTCTGGTTTCTGATAGCTCAAGATATTCCATTTAAGCCATCTTGCTGTATAGATCTGAATCATCTGATACTCAATTCATATTTGTTTGTTTTTGCATTTAGCAATCACAATTATATGTCTTTTGATTTTCTTCTGTTGGGTCTCTATTTATGTGACTGAAATCACTATTTTTACAACACTTGTAAGAACAAGAGTTTGCAATCTATGTATTATGTTGCCTTGGTAGATTTAAAACAGGTAGAGAGTAGTAAGTTAGCATATAGCAGACACGCACGCAACTAAGATTTAAGACGATGTTTTAACGTTGAATCTGCATTTCGGATTTCGGCAAAGATTAGAGATTAATCTAAAGTTGTTGATTTGAGGTAATCGGAAGTTGTCATAACCTTACATTTAAAAGATTTTCTTAAAGATGTTCTAATGACAATTGAATGTAGTATTTGTCAAATTAAAAGTTAGTATCAATTTTGGTGTACTTTTCAAATGATATTGGTAGGACATACATCATTCAACAAGTTTGTCATTTCGTAATGTTGCTATGCGTTTATTTATCTGTGAAGAGAACTCAAAATGCAGACTTTTGTTCAGGACAGAAAAAGTGTTTGGGATCCATAGACAAGAACACACTACTAATCTTATCCAAACGAGTTTTACATGAGATCAAAGTATTTAGGACTTGGAACATCTAAGAGAAGCATATAATATAAGACTTGTCTTTTACATAAAGTAACAAGAACCCCTCAACTTAACATCTCGAACTTCGGTAAGTGCTAAGATTCTTGACAATGTAGGGAAAAGCCATTATTACTTGCCATTAGTTTTGCCTAGAGACGTGAAGCTCAATCTGCGAATAATCAGACAAACAAAAAGCAAACAATCTTAGTCAATTTCCAAAAATGCATATTCAAACGTTACACATAGACACAAAACCACTTACTTGATTATCGGTTTTCGCTGTTGTACTGAAGGTCTATGTGCCGCATCGGGCTGTCGCATGGGAAGAACCTTTCAAAAAAAGAAAAATCAGACAGGAGGAACAAGATCAAGAGACCAGTTTATGTATCCAAAATTGATAAGAAAAATAAGAAACCTCAAGTTCTTCCACTGCTTCGTTAGGGAATGCAGAGCCATTTGAAGTAGCTTCGAATGGAGGTATAGTTGCAGTAGCAGTCAGGATTGCAACTTTATGAGATATCTGCTCAACCACTTGATTTCCAAAATCAAAACTTTCTTCAAGCTCCTCAGTTTCTTGACTAGGAGCTTGAGGAGTGGCTATCTTTTCTATCGGAAGACTCTCTGCTGGTTCCTTACTGAAAGCAACAACATTCTCTGGTGGATCCTTACTTATAGGCTCAGATTTACCGTTTGTACAATAATCTTTCATAGGACTTGAACAAATCGATCCAACAGATGGATTTGGACTCCCGCCTTCACAATTCTCTACAGGCACTGAAACAGCAATGTGTTTAGAGTTCCTTAGCTGATCGGTGAGTGTTTCATTATCTCCCCATTTTCTCTTCTTCCCATCAACTGGACTGTTAGAACCAGCTTTACTTTCAGAACTCATTTCAGTAGGGGTAGTAGTAGCAGCTAGTGCACTTGATGTAGAAGAATTTCTGTGCTCTGAACGGCGATTGCTGTCCCATGTTCCTTTAGAGGTATGTGAAGGTCTAACTCCACCAGGAAACACATAATTAGGTAAGCTTCTCCGTTTTATATGGCTGACACTAATCTCCATCCCGGGAATCCACAATGTGTAAGCGTTGACAGTGTGTTTAAACTCCTCAACGGTTCTTCTGATATCAAATTGCTCGCCTTCTGCTGCTGGAACTCCTTGTTTACGTTGCAGACCCATGAAGTAAGAGCAATGGAGTGGCCGGGATGCGTCTTGAAAATCATGGGGATGAGGGTGGCACTGAAGCATATCATAAGTATGTCTCTCGATCTAAGATTACAATGCAAACATCCAAGACAAGTCATTAGCAAAGCAAAATCAAGCGAAACTATTCATTCAAGTTAAAGGAAACAGGGCTTTTCACCTTCAGTGTGAGCTGGCGGAGGCGTGACTCAACCCAGCCTTTCCATTTTCTTAGATCATCGACATTTGCAGCGGAAATGTCTATCTGAAGATAGTTTTTATACGCTTCAAAGAATGCAAATGGCTCAAAAAGGGTATCCCAATCAGCTTTGTTTGCTTCCATAGCCTGCAAGACATCAAGCCGTTGTAATAAGTCCATGAATCTGCATAGAAGCCAACTATTTGGACTTATCGGAATCTTACCTCACATATTTCTTTTCCTCTCTGAAACTCTCCTGTCATAATCCGCAATGTACTTGCAGAGACATTGTAACTGGAGTTCATACAAGGATAAGCGGGAGTAATGATGGGCATTATATGCAACCGGTCCTTTGGGTTTCTTCTAGGATCCCAAACTTGAAGACCGAAGGATCCTTCATCCATAGAACAAAGAAGAACGGGATTCGGCCAACGCCATTGATTGTAGACCCTAAAGAACCGAGACGCTAACATGTTTGGGAGGGCGTTAGGATAAAGTTGACATATCCGAGCTACAAGCAATGCCCAGTTTATACCACCAAGAAATCCCGAGACCTAGCAATTGTCAGAAAGATACTTTTACTTAAGCAACATGATAATCACATAAAAGACATGGAATAAAGAGCACTAGAGAAGAATTCTCCATACATTAGAGTATACTCCACGTCGTTTGGCCCAAAATCGCATGCATCTTAATGTTGTCCTGAAATTCTGCTCAGAAACAAAAATCATGTACTCAGGTAAAGCAAATCATATGGATGAGTAATAAAATTTTAAAAGATAAAGAGATTTATCGTCAGTGAGCACAAAACCTGAATGTTTGGAACCAGACGCAAGATTTGGTCAGTAACTCTACAACCGTTGAGGCTTCGAACAGTTTGCTCATCAGCATTCTGTAGAATGGAGTCCTGTGATATATCTAAGTCCTGCACCATTAACATCAGGCAGGGAACACAATTAAGACTCCATAAGAGGAACAGATTCAGATTACCTATTTTCTACGAGATCCACTCATAATATTCATTTAAATTCATGAACATACTGTAAACTGTGTAATAAATAGCGTGAAACCAATTGACTGTAATCAGTAAGGATGAGTTTATTGAGGTTCAAATCGATAAGTTAAAACAAAATAATCTACAAATTTCCTAATCCCCATTAACAATCACCTCATTGTGGACCAGAAATTACCTCAGGTATAACCCAGAGTGGAAGTTGTGCATAAAGGAGATCTATCGAAACTCCATTAAGTTTGAATCCCATCAATGGAACATGAGCATCAGGCACGGGGTGCAGTTCGGTTACTTCAGGCATTTCTGACAGCATCCTTTGTAGCTCACCAAAGAAATCACCCTAATGGCAAATATACAGATGAATATTGAACACAATAAATCGACAGAATAAATATTCAGCCTACATATAGATGCAAGAGGTTATAGTACTTCTCTAGTTGCATGTCTAGGTCCCACACATAAAGTGTCTATATCAGCACCAGGTCCATGTACCTATTTGAAGAAGTAAAACGAACTGTTATAGGAACACTCAATATGCTAGAAATTGGTGAAAAGGAACTCTTTAGGACACTGAATTCTCTCCAAGAACCAATTGCAACAATAAATAACACCCTATTGTGTCCAAGATTTACCATTGATTAAAATGACTGAAAAGTTCATTTAGATATGATTAAAGTGACATATATAACATTGAGATCTCAATATGTTTAAATGAACGCAAAGAGCATATAAAGACAAGTGATTCCACTTCCACCCCAGGGACATCTCACAAGATAACAGAAACAAAACACAGCTTCCACCAATTCACATTGTTCCCTTTCCCTCTACACCAAAGTGCAATACAAGAAGAATGACTAAAACAAAGCTAAATCTTCTATAGATCTTAATCGTTACCCCTAGTCGATAAGAACCGAAAGTAAATATCTTCGCATTCGCCACATGAAGCAGCTCATCATTCAACCCTTTGGCGCGGCTGATTGTTTTAATCCATGTTTTTACAATCTGGACACATCAAAAACAAAGATCTATCAAGAGTTTGTTACAAAAATCGATGAAAAATACATAAGCACAAGTTCTTAGAATTCGAAAGTACTACAAAACCTGATCTAGTATCCCCAGAACCTCCTCCCTTCTAACAGCTTCCTCCTTACTCTCGTACAATCCAACATCTTGCAAGTGCTGAGCAACCAAATAAAACAAATGTAATATCAATCAGTATAAAACTAAGATAGAAGTATTTCATGAATAAAAAACTAAAACTCTAAGGCATAACAAGAAACAAGCTTTAAGATATCAGTAAAACCTTCTCGAGCTCTCTAGTCTTGATGACATCAAGCTCCGTTGGTCCTCCCAAAGAGATAGGTTCTGTAATGCCAAACCTTTGCCCATTTTGCTGGACACTAGCCATCGATCTTACTTACTTTGTTCTTTTCCTCTCTTTTTTTTTCTCTCTTTTTTTTCTTAATATTTCAATCAGATTCTACGAGTATAAAAAATTTCGATCTTTTTTTTTCTCAACGATTCTTTTGCCTGAATATTTTCCAATAATGTAAAGCTAAAAAACGAAAAACTCAGAGAAAATTACTATCGAGAAATTGTTGATCATACAGGATACAAAATCAAAGCCTTTTTGCTAAATTTAAAAGCAAAGCAACAAAAAACAACACAGGAATTCATACAAAAGTAGCCAAAGGAGTCGAGAGGCTCTTCTCGGGAACAACCCTTAAACCCTAATCCGATTGACTGGTAATACAACGAATGGAATCGCGCGAACAGTTGAAAGTCTCGGCCTTTGAACACCCGATTGATCGATGCGAACTGGGTCCGGTCTGTGGAGTCGATCTCCGGCGATACAAGACGAATAGATTCTCCGGCGAAGTGAAGAATTTTTTCCCCCAAATAGTCGTGAATAATCTGCGGAGATTCTAGGTTTGGGTCGCAACGAATTTCACCCTTCTCGCGAGGGATTGCGACAAAGAGCTCTCGGGCCACACATATATAAAATTTATGGATTTTTAGGAACCTATTGATATTCCCACGAGAAAGAAACCGTGTTCCTATACCTGACCCGATTATAGATCCGATTCCTTTAATTGGAAACCCGAACCGGAACTATTTATAGTTTTTATATAAATCGAAATTATTATTTCACAATTCACATACACTATTTCTTTCTACTAATAAAATTTCGATTTGATTTAGTTCTAGTTAGAAAAAAAAACAACTCGTAAATGAAAAGCATAAATTATAAATATAGTATGACTATATCAATTTTAAATATTTATAAAATAGAAAATTTTAATAAACTTTATTGGGTTATATTAAAGTTTGATTTGATTCTGTTACTATTTTGATATTTATAGATTTTAAAATAATTAAACGACATGTTTATTAACAAAGTTTGGTTCAATCTTGGTTTAACTATTTTAATTTATAGTTATTGACTCATCCAATATAAAAAGTATTAAGCATTATCTAGGTCTTTATTAATTGATTTTATAAAATAAAAAAGAGAATTTTAACCAATCTGCCCTTGTTTCGTGTTTTAATTTTACCCAATGACATTATGAAAACTTCGTTTCCGTAACAGGTCATATGGCCATTCCGTGGCACATGGTTAAGACGGATTAGCCCTCATGGACATTGGCGCGAGGATGTGATGATGTGTGACATGTCTGACGAAATTTGAATCTATGATAGCTATTTTTTTCCGCCAGGACGTAGGTCGTACACTCCATTTAATGGTGCATTAATTAAGGGCAATCGAGTGCCAAAAATTATTTAGTGGATAATAGATTGTTTGGATTACTTTGATATTTACACAGATCTTCGATAGTAGTTGTCTACAATTTCAACAAATGAACTCTCCTTCGTTTGAAGACTAACTGCGATTTTCGTATCTGGGAAATTATCGAAGGAAAATTCCTGTCCCTGGTCCACCAATTCTGTAAGATCTCGAAGATTATCAATGTCTTATGATTCGATAAAATTTGTAGACAATAAATTATTTTTAGCACTATCTTTTTCAGCATTTAATTCAGGTGTTTTGGGGAATAAATGTTATGTTTGTTCATCATTCCGTCAATAAATGCTGTTTTTTTCCAGGTGGTAGACAGCGGTGGACAATTGTTCGATGGACGAAACAGTACTCGCAATTTCCGGTGAATGGATATGCTTGGCTAGTGGTAAGTGGGAATTTCGGGTAGCCCCAAACCGTGAGGCCAAATGTGTATCTTTCACCGACGGAACAGTTTACGAAGAATTATTGGCCGAAGTGGTTCGAGCATATGGATTAAACACGAACGAGTACCGGCCAAGTCTTAGCTTTTGGTACTTTGGCGAGACCCAAGTCTTAACTCAAGGACATATGCCGCCGGTTTCGATAGGTTGCGAAGTGTCCCTGAGGAAATTTAAAAGTAAAAGAAGGGAGTGCAATGGTTTGAATATGTTCGTCTCTTTTGTGAAGGTAGATCGTACTGCTAACGACCGAGATGTGGTGGGTAGCCTAGATGATGACGAACTTCTTGCATGTTGTAAAGAAGTTGAAGATCTGTATCGTAAATCTGTTGTTCATAAAAATCTTGAAAATGGTGGTTTGCATAGACAACCTTTACCAGCTGTGGACCCCGTGGTGCAGAAGGCGAAAATCGTGGACAAAGAAATGGTTACAAGATTCGTTGCAGGTTTCTCTTTTCCTTCATCGCAAGTTGAATTAGTGACGTCCACACCTTCATCAGCATCGGTGGACTTCTCTTCGGCAGATATAATGGTTTTCTCCACCCTCTCTTCAAAACCAGAATTGTCTACAGTATGTTCTGTGTTTTCTGTGGACAATGGCTTGATGACTTCTGCGATTATGTCCACATCTTCCTTATCCTTCAGACCATCATCATAGCAGCAGACGGATTAGGTTATAGAGTTCACAAATAATTTATGGACAACATTTTTCCATAAATTATAAAGAAATACTACCTCTTTTTCTTCACCGGAAGTTGTTTTCATTTTGTCCACCGTTACTTCAGCACCAGATTTGTCTACAGTTTGTTCATCGTTTTCGATGAACACATGTGCGACATGTTCTGTGTTAATGTCCACAGAACCCTGCACCGGATTATTGTCATCCTCCTTTTCTTCTGAAACTCCATAGATTTCGTCCCCGTCCTCCCCATCAGTTTCATCGCCATCGGTTGAACCCGAAGTTCCTTTATCTTTTTCATCCACACCTTGGTTGTCTACATCGGCATCATCTGGCTTCTCCACCGCATCATCTTCGTCCATTTTCTCGCCTCCACACTTTCCTCCTTCATACTCCATCGCAGAGACCTTGTAATCATATCAGACAAATTACTCGAGGACATGGTTACACATGTAATTCATATAAATAAAAGTCCACAGTATAGTATCCAAACCTCTTTATAAAAGCTTCTATCATCTTGTAGCTCAGTCTCGTTTACAGTCTGAAATACATTTTCGACTCCAGCTTTAAGAATGGGCTCATCTTCATTCTGATGGTGGACAAATATTAGGGGCGTTATTTTAAAAAATTGTCTACTTGTTAAAACTTGTAGACTTTAATCTTACAATTACCTTATCTTCATCTGCGGCAACGGACGGTCCACCCTTATCGTCTTTCAGGTTTTCAAGTACCTGATTAACTCCAAAGTAGTCATCCACATCTACCTGACTATTGTCCTCGATAACCTCTTTCTTTTTCTTAAAACGAATTCCTTCTCGCTTTCGGGTGAGACACGCTTGGATCTTTTTACCCTCCGCTTTATCATACTTTTTACCGCCACACTTCTTAATTCCAACATTCCCAAACTGTCGTCCACCCCCCCTCTCTTGTTTTCCCAATATTTCAGCTTGCAAAGTAAGAATTTTTTGGTCCACAGTAGACAGGATCTCCTTCTTGTGGTCTTTCAGTTTCCTTTCCAGTATTGCAAGGAATTTGGCATCCAATCCGCCGGCCTTAGCTTCCTCTCCGACCACATCATCATCTCCGTTGTTGCAATCTTCCTCTTCGTCCTCTACTACCTCTTCTTTCCTCACACTCTTCTTAGGGATTTTAACCTTTTTATCTTTTTTCACGATTTTCGGAGCAGGGATGGACATTAGTGGTAGACTATCATGTCCACCATGCCAGACTTCTTTCCCAATCGTGACACCTTTCTCTATAAGGCTCATTACATATTCTACCCCCGGGTCTACGACTTCGTCTTCCCATGCGTATAGAGATTCATCAATAGGCTGTTCTGTCTCTAGGATGGCGTAGACTTCTAACTGGGAAACCAATTTTTTAAGATCAATACACATTAAAAATATAAATACGTTTAATTATGTTTTAATATGATTTTACCTCCGGATTGTTTTCGGCTTCCAAGATGTTAGAATTGTGGAATGATTTCAGTTTCGCCAGTTGGAATACAGACCGGTCGGTGAATGTTTGTTCATCGTCAGAGTCGGGAAGATAGGTCTCCAATAGTGGGATGCAATGGAGAATATGTAGTTGAAGCGCCAAAATGAACCCGTGGGTTGCAACGTGAGACTGTTTCATCTTCGCCACAAGTGATTCAACTGTTTCTACCCTCGACCCAACTTTAACCATACGCATGGTCAAATTGAAGGATTCTCTTCCCCACGGATACGAAAAACTAGAGTCGGCAACTTTATTATACAGTACGAAAGGTCGTTTCACTTTTCCCCTTTTCCAAAATAATTTAAAAAATTACTTCGGAAACCACAGCTTTTCAACCCGCTCTGACTGTAATTAATGCCCTCTCGAACCGTCACTTCGTCGTCTTTCACACGCAAGTTCAAGGGCAAATGCGTCATTCCGTCTCCCGAAAATGGCGTTGTCCACGATATGTTTTTTAAATGGCATTTTTTAAAACCAAAACTTAAATAAGGCTACTATTCCCAAAATTCCCAATAAAAAATCTACAGAATTAGTTTTTATTTTCTTTTGGTTGTAAGTGTCAACGTCAAAGAATTAGCTATTGTTTCTTCTAAAAATAATGACGTTTGACTTTTTTTTAGTTGAAATCCAAGAACGTAACAGATACATTCATTGTCATGTTCTTTTCGCTGTAATTATGACAGTTAGATATAGGACTAGATCATGAAACTAGTAGACAGCATCAATCTGTCTTGTTAGAAAATTAAGTTTAACTAATATTTTTAATAATCATTTCTTCCCATGAAAATGTCCGCTACTAAAGGAAGAATCGTAACAGACGGATCACAATCAAAGATCCATCCGTGCCCTGCTTTGAGTTTACGAGAAGGAAATTAAAATTCTCATCTTTCACCTTTACTTCCGATCATGAACGGCAATAACGAGGAAAAAATTCCGGTGGAGAATCACGGCGGAGGAGAAGATATTAAACCACCGGAAAATAAAAAATGGCGATTTAATTCTCCTTTTGTTCAAGTGAGCTTAATGGGATTCGTCTGTTTCTGTTGTCCAGGAATGTTCAACGCTCTCTCCGGCATGGGAGGCGGTGGTCAAGTAGATCCCACCGCCGCTAACAACGCTAACACCGCCGTTTACTCCGCTTTCACCGTTTTCGGCCTTTTAGGCGGCGGGTTTTACAACGTCCTCGGTCCACGCCTCACGTTAGCCGCTGGATGTTCGACTTACGTACTCTACGCCGGATCTTTCCTCTACTACAACCATCACCACCACCAAGCTTTCGCGATAGTCGCCGGAGCTTTACTCGGTTGCGGCGCGGGACTTCTCTGGGCTGGAGAAGGAGCTGTGATGACGTCATATCCACCGCCGCATCGGAAAGGTACTTACATCGCTTTGTTCTGGAGTATCTTCAATCTCGGCGGCGTAATCGGTGGATTAATCCCGTTTATCCTAAATTACCACCGTAGCTCCGCCGCATCGGTCAACGACTCGACGTATATCGCGTTCATGTGTTTCATGTTCGCAGGCGTTCTCCTCTCTTTCGGAATCCTCCCGGCGACCTCAGTGATCCGTAACGACGGATCTAGATGCTCTGCTGTGAAATACTCCCGTCCGTCAACAGAAGCAGCGGCCGTGCTACGGCTATTCCTCGATCGGAAAATGCTCCTCATTGTCCCCGCGGCTTGGGCTAGCAACTTCTTCTATAGCTATCAATTCAACAATGTGAATGGACTTCTCTTTAACTTAAGAACCAGAGGATTCAACAATGTTTTCTACTGGGGAGCTCAAATGGCTGGATCCATTGCCATTGGTTACGTGATGGACTTCAGCTTCAAAAGCCGGAGAGCGAGAGGATTTGCCGGAATATCTTTAGTCGCGGTGATCGGAACCATTATTTGGGCGGGAGGGTTAGCGAATCAGCACGGTTACTCGTTGAACAATCTACCGGAAAAGAAACTTGATTTCAAAGATTCCGGGATAGAATTTGCGGGACCTTTCGTGTTATATATGAGCTATGGATTGTTAGATGCAATGTATCAGAGTATGGTGTATTGGTTGATAGGAGCATTGGCTGATGATTCGCAGACTTTGAGTAGATATAGTGGATTCTACAAAGGAGTGCAGAGTGCAGGAGCTGCAGTGGCTTGGCAAGTGGATACTCGTAAGGTTCCGTTAATGTCACAGCTTATTGTTAATTGGTCACTTACTACTGTAAGTTATCCGTTACTTGTTCTTCTTGTGCATTTTTATGTTAAGAATGATAATGATGATGATAGTAATGATAAGGTTTAGATAGTAGTTTATTAGAACATTCAGTAAGTTTACGTTTTTAATACAATGATTTTCCGAAATGAAAGTAACAGTTACATAGAGAAACAAAGATTTGAGGCTGTGAAATGAATGTCTCTATTCTTTATGGTAATTGAGAGACTATCTGGGTTTCTCATAAAGTAGTGTCCTTTATTGAGTATTACACAAAACTTTTTGAGTAGGGATGTCATCGAAATGGGGTTAGACTGTAGACAGAGAAGAAAATAACAGAGAATACAAGTTGGCTTCCATGGTGCAATCTTCACTGTATGGATGGTGTGTGTAACCAAACACATCCTTTTCATGGACCAGCAATTTCCATAACCTTATCAGGATAGGGGGCAAGGCTAAGGGACAAAAGATATAAAATTTACAGTCAGATACACATCCGGAAAAATCTCATTCTTCACTGAATAATCACTAAACTTGAAATGTCTTTATGTGTAAAGACATCACTCTGTTACATCACATAAGTGTAACACCTCACCTACTTTACTACGGAAAGTTGAATGAGTCAAGATGGAAAGTTGTTTGAGAAAACAAATTAGAAAACTCTAACCTTGAGCAATTGTGCACGTCAGTCTCGGAAAGAAATGCCTAATTGTCAAAAACACACAAGGCATTATTATCATGTCAAAGGTAACCATTTCCATTTTAAAAAAACATGCAACTATTTTCTCTACGCATTAATACAGAAAACAATTACTAGGATCGCATGTACGTCAAGCAAACTAAAATAAGGATGGACTTTCTTTTGCCTGACCAAATGGCAAGAACCTATAGCTGTACCTTTTTTTTTACTAATTCAAAACATGTGTTGGCTAAGATTTCTTGACAAAACATGGTGGCTTTGTCTTATAATTGTTCATCAGAAGACGACGACGACGAGTTGGGCACCACTTTGACCAATCAACGCACTGCCATTACCAAAACTGTACATATCATGTATAAAAATATATTATCTTTCCACAGTTGTTGAATCTGGTGATCACATAGACAACACACGGATTCCATGGAGACAAAACAGAGTATCCCTCTCCTCGCGCCCTATAAGATGAGACTCTTCAATCTTTCTCACAGGTACTCCTTTGTAAGTGTGTTTTTACTCATATAGTGTTTCATAGAATTCCCAACTCACCTTTTAAGCACCATTCATGGTTTTCTTTTGCTTCTGGAAGGTACGAAGCTTGATTGTTGTCTTTGAATTGTGATCAGGGTTGTTCTTGCGCCATTGACGAGATCTAGATCGTATGGTAGCATTCCTCAGCCTCATGCCAAATTATATTACACTCAGAGGACAACACCTGGTGGTCTTCTTATTTCCGAAGCCTGTACAGTGTCCGAGACATCACTGGGGTACTCTTCTGGATTATAATATCTTTAGCTTACAATTAAAACTACACCAATAGCTTCGCTTTAACATGTGAGCTCTGTTTGTGAAGCTATCCGGATATACCTGGAATATGGACCAGAAAACAAGTGGAGGCATGGAAACCCATCGTGGATGCGGTTCATTCGAAAGGCGGTATCTTCTTCTGCCAGATTTGGCACGGTGGAAGAGTTTTTCATCAAGGTTTGCCAAAAATATAGCTTTCTTCTTGTTATATACCAAAACCAAAAACATTGATGCTATAGATTCTTACCTTGTATACTAATTTTCTCCATTCTTCAGACCAGCCAAATGGGGAAGCACCCGTCTCCTCTACAGACAAGCCATTGATGTCCAAGAACATGTATGGTGGTCAGTTTAAGCCTCCAAGGCGGTTAAGGACCGACGAGATTCCCCCATTGTCAACGACTTTAGAATTGCTGCAAGAAATGCGATAGAAGCTGGTAAACAAAGTCTTTTTTCCCTTTTGGGTGTTAGATGTAATGTAATGAAAATGAAAGCTGATCAAGACACTCACATATATAAGTACAGGCTTCGATGGAGTGGAGGTTCACGGCGCACATGGTTACCTGATCGATCAGTTCCTGAAAGACAAAGTGAATGACAGAAGTGATGAATACGGTGGGTCACTAGAGAACCGCTGTAGATTTGCTCTGGAAGTAATCGAAGCAGTGGTGAACGAGATCGGTCCAGATCGTGTTGGAATCAGACTCTCGCCATTTGCAGATTACATGGAGTCAGGAGACTCGAATCCAGAAGCATTAGGGCTCTACCTGGTGCAAGCTATGAACAAGCATGGAATCCTTTACTGTCACATAGTTGAACCAAGAATGAAAACCCTTGAAGGAATTCTTGAGTGCAAGGAATCGCTTACGCCGATGAGAATTGCCTTCAAAGGAACGTTCATAGTAGCAGGAGGTTATTCAAGAGAAGACGGGAACAAGGCGGTGGAAGAGGGAAGAACCGATCTTGTGGCTTATGGACGGACGTTCTTGGCGAATCCGGATCTGCTCAGGAGATTCGAACTCAATGAGCCGTTGAATAAGTACGACAGAACAACGTTCTACACTTCAGATCCTGTCGTGGGCTATACAGACTACCCTTTCCTCGAGACCCCAGATACAACTGCTTAAGGGTTTTATTGAAATGCATAATTCGTATTATCGCATAACATAATTATCAAACACATAACCTGCTTAATGTTTGCCTCAAAATAGCTTCGGCAGTGTCCAACTCTCGAAGTTTCATCATTTCCACTACAACATGAATAAAAATCATCATCATACGGAACAAAATAAAAGTTCCAATGTAAATTGCTTACACAACTCACAACTCACAAATGCTTCAAGCCTTCAACAAAACTTACACCAATTGCACAAAGTACGAATATCATGATTAAGAAACCGGAATCATTTATGGGTTTTCGAATTAAAAATTCAGAAATTCTTACGAAGGTACTTGAGATAAATTAAAAAGTATGGGGCCTAAAATCAAATATACAGATACTTTGGGAACTAAAATTATAAATTTATGCAACTTGATGTAACGCCAGGCTAGTATTTGTGTTAAAACGGCGACGGCGACGGCGACAAGATTATTGCCGGGAAACAAACCGAGAAGATAAACCGTAAGATGCTCAACGGATGATGGAGAAGGAATCTGATTTGACTGCGATGGAGAAGGAATCTGATTTGACTGCACTGCGATGGATGATGGAGAAACCAAATAACAAGCACGCGGCTGATTCGTTTTCCAGCGAGGAATTGGTCTCACCGGTGAAGAAGGCAAAGAAGTCAGAGGAGACTGGATGTTCCGATGGAGGAGAAGCCGTAGCCGCCGTTGGTAATAGAGAGGCGGAAGAAGATAAGCCTAGTTGTGTAAGTGAAGAGAAGAAGGAGTTTCTCGTTGAAGCTGGTGTTGCTGAAGACAAAGGAGCTAGACATACGATGGAAGATGTATGGGTGGTTTTGCCTGACGCTTCTTTGGATTTCCCAGGGACACTAAGGTAACAAAATACAAGCTTTTAGTTGAATCTAGTTTAGTAATTCAAGCCAATTCTGTTTATGGACTTTGAATTAGGAAGATACTAGTCTTATTGTGCTGCAAAGTTGAAGGCTTCATTGGCAAAATGATCTTCTTTTGGGTTTGTTTATAAAGCTAGGCTCTTGTGTATTGATGTAGGTGTGCCCATTTTGCAATTTATGATGGGCATGGAGGTCGTTTAGCTGCAGAGTTTGCTAAGAAGCATCTTCACCTTAACGTTCTTTCAGCTGGGTTACCACGTGAGTTGGTCTGTCTTTCTTGGTTCATTTTAATTATGTCTTTACAACTGTTTTGATGTCATTTAGTAGGCCTCACTTCACCTTCTTTTCTGTCAAATTGTTTGATTACTGCCTCAGCTGGATGTCAAAGTTGCTAAAAAGGCCATTCTTGAAGGTATATAAGTTTACTTCATATGTCTTTTAAAGCTTTTTAGTCATTTCATTATGGCTATTTGAGATACACAGATTCTCAAATCTTAAAGCAATTTTACTTTCAGGTTTCCGGAAAACCGATGAGTTGCTCCTGCAAGAAAGTATTTCAGGTAATTTGTGTGTGTGTGTGTGTGTGTCATGGCTATATTCTGCATATTTTTTGCATCTCTCTGACCTTTTGTCTTGTACAGGAGGATGGCAAGATGGCGCCACAGCAGTGTGTGTCTGGCTCCTTGATCAAAAGGTATGACTGTGATGGGGTCGTTCCTCGTTTGGAATTCAATATTTTGACTCTATTTCTAGATAAAGTTCATAAAATTACTCGACCTTTTCTCCAGTATTCACACCCGTAAACTCTCATGCATTATAGGTTTTTGTTGCCAATATCGGTGATGCTAAGGCTGTTTTGGCACGATCCTCTGCTACCAACGAGTTGGGGAATCATACAGAAGCATGTAATCCACTCAAAGCAATTGTTTTGACGAGAGAGCACAAAGCAATTTATCCACAGGAGCGCTCTCGAATTCAGAAGGTTAGTTTATGATGAGCCAGACAGAGACTTCCTAGTAAATTTGAATACACCATGCTCTGTTGATAACTTTGTATGAGTTTTACAGTCAGGTGGTGTTATAAGCTCAAATGGACGGTTACAAGGGCGTCTTGAGGTTTCTAGGGCTTTTGGTGATCGTCAATTTAAGAAGGTAATGATCCTGTGGCTTCCCCTTTATCTTGAGCCCATTATCTTTGGGCCATTTTAGCTCTCTCGTGCAAAATTCTATCTACATGTTCTTGAACCTATCTCCATATCATTTTACAACTCCAGGTGCCTTGAATCTGTTAGTCATCCTGAAATCTTATGGGTTATTTGCATAATCGCATCTAACACAAGTTATTGAATCTAGTTTGGTGTTAGTGCAACTCCAGACATTCATGCTTTTGAATTAACTGAGAGAGAAAACTTCATGATTCTTGGTTGCGATGGATTGTGGGAAGTAAGTAAGCTCTTCGTTTGTGGTTGTGCAGTGCTCTATAAGAACATTTCATTTTGTCTTTCAGTTTGCTGCTCATATAATATAATCTACACAATGCATCCGTTTTCAGGTGTTTGGACCAAGTGATGCTGTTGGGTTTGTCCAGAAACTTTTGAAGGTAAATACCTACAGTTGTCAAAATCACTTTGTCCTCCATTTCACTCACTTTAACTACATAGAAAGAAACTCAACAAATAGATGTTTAGCCATGTGAGCAAAATGGTTTTTAGAACCTTGTGCACACAAATAAAGAGTGCCAAGGGAAAATAAATGAGAGATTACTAAGAGGCTAAGAGCTGTGATTTTGTAGGAGGGCTTGCCTGTAAGCACGGTAAGTCGCCGTCTTGTAAAGGAAGCTGTGAAAGAACGTCGTTGCAAAGACAACTGCACAGCAATCGTGATAGTCTTCAAGCGGGTATGACTAAAGAAGAGCCTGACTGACCTGTGGGCATCTGTTTTTCTGGCTCGTATGAGTTTTATAAACCTTTTGTTGGTAAACTCTTTTCAAGCTGTCAATGGATCAATTGAATTCTTGGGGGTCACCATAGAAAGAAAAATGAGTTTGAAGAGTAAATAGAGCTCTCTTTGTAGTGCAATTTCAGAAGCAAAAGTAGAAAGCTTTATAATCATAGACTTCATAGTACATTATGATCAGTTTACAATGAATAAAGCCTATGGGACAACGAAATATTATCATTGTGAATTTAGGATCCCTCTGGTTTGTAATTAAGATAAAAATGAAAAAGAATAAATCGCCAGCTTACACAAGCAGCAGTAAATTGACAACTTACCAATGTTTTGGTCTCACCAGAACATGAAAATGGAGGAGGTAAGAGAAGAGGCAAGAGTGCAAAACGAACAATCTTATTGGAACTCAAGATCGAGTTTTCTCTTCAGATGAGATCTATCAGCACTACAAAAAGAAAAAGAAGAACAGGCCATAAATACACACTCAATCTTGGGACTGTAATAACAACTGAGATTAATACTTCTGTTTTTACCTGGTGATTGTTGGCCGGTTTGGAGGTCGCTCAGCGAGGATGGTAAAATCTAATGACATGGGTGCTTGTTGATCCTTGTCAACATGAGCCTTCAAACTATCAACCCTCCCACGCTCAGGCATCACTCTTCTAAGCTTACGTGGTGGTGATAGCACTGTAATGGCCTCATGTTTACCGTAAGAAGATTTACCATCCTGCTTATGAACAGGCTTTGGGAGCTTAGCCGGGTCAGTAGGAGCAGGTGCAGAAGTGAAGTATCTGAACAATGAAAACAAAGGTGTGAGAGCAGAACGCTAGATATAGTTTGCCTATAAATAGGTGGTGAACTTTACGCACCTGTGTTCCAGAGCCTGCTTTATGGAAATTCTGGCCTTTGGGTCATAGGTAAACATTTTCGACAACAAGTCGAGAGCATCTTCACTAACTGCTGGGAATAAAGAACGTAGAGACGGTGCAGGGACAAATTGATACTCTACATAATCTGGAAGCTTTGTTACATCCGGCCACTGATCTGCTTTTGGTGTCCCAAAAGCAGCAAATATTTTGCTTAATTGATCAATATCACTGTTTCCCTGCAATGACAAAAATAGAATAAGTAAACATAGGCGAGAAAATTAATAGTAAAAATGTAATTAAGTAGTCTAAGAGTGAGAGTATAACATCCAAAGAGATGACGATTGGACTAAGTTTTAATGTTAGTCATGATGAGTTGAGTAAGATTATTTAACCTGAAGAAATGGTCTGCGCAGTAGAAGTTCGGCGAATATGCAGGCAACGGCCCAAACATCAACTGCAGCACCATATTGTTTTGCACCAAACAAAAGTTCTGGTGCTCTGTACCATCTAGCAAACACCTGTGCATTATCAGATGTATCAAGATATGAAGACATATAACAACTAGAAACAACAGAAAATAAGGTGCATTGCGCATTTGGAACAGAGCTCACATGGATTCTATTGTAATTGTGGGTGTTCAAAGGGAAACAAAGAAGGCAGAAATAGCTCAAGGTCAAGGATCCGGTTAATGGAAAAATTTATAGTACAGAGATGAGATAGCAATTGCTTGAGTTGAGACTGTTGACTACATGACACATTTTGTACTATCGACAGGTGATAGCATGAATCCAGTAAAAGCGTGAAGAAATTTCAGGGATTAGCATACAACAAGAAAAGTCAAAAGAATTTCGAAACAGCTAAAAACTAGCTTGATAATTTCATAAAGATTAATTTCTACTGATCAACTTGGTTATAGTAGAGCAAAGGATAAATGGCAAAAGCATACCTGGTGGGTAAATTTACGATTTGGACTACCAAATATACGTGCTAAGCCAAAATCTGCAAGCTTCAGCTGTCCATCAACTCCTATTAACAAGTTATTTGGCTTCATATCCCTGAACTCAAGCCACACATAATGAGTGCCAAACCAAGCAACATTACAGAGACAAGAGCAAGTTGATAAGGATAAACAAGTGTACCTGTGCAAAACCCATTTATCGTGGCAATAAGCAAGTCCTTTAAATGTCATTAGGAGGTAAGATTTGATGTCAGCGGGTGAGAGGAATATGTTGGAATCGCGAATGACAGCTTCGAGGTCAGTCTCCATGAACTCAAAGACAAGATGCAAGTTTTCCTTGTGAGGAAATGCATCAATGAGCAGAATTATATGAGGATGCTTAAGCTCTTTGAGCATTTTGATTTCCCTGAGAGCTGTAATATTTACACCTTCCCTTTGTTTACCAAGCCTTATCTTCTTGATTGCTACAGTTTGTTCCGTCTGCAAAATTACCCCAAAAGAAAACTAATTACTTCCCTTGACGACTCTCAAACAGAAAACCCCAACAAATTTCCCCATAGATGCATGAAAATCCGGAGGAGAAATTAGGAATTACCGACAGATCCTAAACCCTAATTTTCGAAGAAAAAATCAGTAAAGAAAGGACCTTAGTATCAGTGGCCTTGAAGACGACTCCATAGGTACCTTGCCCAAGAACCTCTTGCTTGAGATACCTATCAGCAACTTTCTTTGGCTGCTCCATCTCCGGCATTTTCGGGTTTTCAGAAACCAATCAATAATCGCGCCTCTCTTTCTTCTTAATTCAATTTGGTCCCCTTTACTAGAATTCGATTGCTTTCCGAAATTTTAAATTTTTGGGTAAAATCGACGATGAGGAAGATTCTGGGAGATTTTAGGGTTTCAGCGTTGGGAGCTCCGGCTCCGGAGAAAAGTAGCCGTTGGCGCGCTTGCAGACGCAATCGGCAAATCGAGGGAAACAACAAATAAAGAAATATTGAAAAAGAAAAAAGAAACAAAACTCTCTCTCTATAGCTGGATAAAGTCCCAGACCATACAGAAAAATTCCGAGAAAACCCCAATTATTTATTTTTAATACATTTAATATCCAAACCTTTTTTATTAGAAAATAATACATATATTAATAAAAATATGTAATTTCATATTTCAAAAGAATAAATATTGTTCTTTACATACCCGCGATCTAATGACAACAATAATTTCAATTTTACTTTTACCCATCTTAAGGTGTCTAAAGAATGCATTCTGTACAATTGTGTTCGGTTTGACTATACCAAATTATATCAATTGGTTCAAGGAATTAAATGGAAGAATACTGGTTTAAAACTTTTAAGTAATCATACCAACCGCGTTACTCTTTAATTTTGCCACTTTTGACGGAGACATGATCACCAATTCATCATAGAAATTTCCTATTGGTTAGATCAATCTCAAATGAGTACAAAATCACAATTATAGAAAAAGTATATAGTAAAATACCAGCTAGTTTGACACCTTAGCCATTTTTTATATGCTCTTAGATATTGTATGTTTAGTATGTTTTCATAGTTTTTATTGTATAATTTTTGTCCTTATCTTTATAGCTTAGGTACTTTTTAAAAAAAAAAAAAATCAACTGAAGTTTTTATTGCTAAAAAGGCATAAAAGTTCTAAGTAAATCATGTACCGTAACCCTATTAAATACTAGCTGGGCTTTATTCACAATAAAGCCGAATTTATTATAAGGGTTTAATCTCATCTGAAAAAATCAATCATTACCAACCCAGGCAATTAAAGCTCATTGGCAATCCACCATTTTTTTCTAGGGTTTAGATGATTTCTCAAGAGCGCTTCTATCTCGTAGTTCTCGTCGGCGGTAGAATGAAAGTTCAAGGAAGATCGAAGACATTTCCCTGCATTAGAGCTGGTTGCCGAGTTAGAGTCTTACTGTGTTCGATGTATCATGTCTTGGGTATGGTGAGAAATACAGCGTAAAGGTGAGTGATTTGTAGAATTCTTTTTTGCATATCTACTAAAATTCTTTAAATTCGTTGATTTAACAGTGCTCTCACCCACCTCATTTTCCTATTACTTGTGAGGAGAGACTGAGGGGGGAAGTTAGAGAGTTTGTTGAATAGTCTATCCGACCAACAAAGAGGGAGATGAAATGAAAATAAAAATTTAGTTAAATCAAAGAGTTTCAGTAGATCCAAAACAATAATGGTTATCTTTAACATTTGTATAAACTATAAACAAACACTTACGCGTATTTTGCACGACACCCGCGACATGAGATGTCAAACACATTATCAGTTGGTAAGATTATTACTCCGCAACCAACTAAAATGCAAGACAATGTTCTCTATCTACGCTGATCTTCCATTCTACGTCGAATTTTTCTACAACCAAATATAACAATGCAAACACAATCAAGAGATTATTTGAACTTCAGTTACGGATTTTATTTGAAATCGAATATCGCTTATAAGAGATAATGTGCGAAAATCCAAAGGAAAAGAGGTTTGCTTCTATCGAGATATATCATTAGCTTAAAATATTTATGAAAATAGTTTGATATATTTTTTTTTGATTTTCAGTTTTTTTCATTGTCAAAAAATATTAATATCAAACAAACGTGTACTTATGTCTAAACCGGTTAGATTTTACTATGTTGAATTCTCTTGAATTCCTATGTGTTATTTTTTATTATGAGAATTTTATTTTTAATACAAATTATAGATAGATATATGCAATGGTTATTACTGTGAAAATTTCAAACCAAACTCAAACAACATGCCGATCGATGATGTGGACAGAGAATTGGACTGGTTGGTAAGTCACAACATCAATATGCCAAGAAAACAGTTTATTTATTTCAGTTAAATATACAAATTATAGATTTTAATAGTATCTTCGAAATTATAGATTAGAGAGAGATTAGTATCACATAATAAATATTAAAGATATGTTTTAAGAACTTTTAAGGTAGAGTAAAGAAATTGAAAGGCAGGGGAACAAAGATAACGACAGTGTTATGATCCCTTTATCGCCCACATTGTAATGTGCAATATAACGAAGAGCTTACTTACTTGCCACGTTTTCCGATAACGTCTCCACTGTGATCTCAATGGCTCGCCTGTCATCAATTTCTGGGATAAAAACAGTCATTGTAGACAACCCCTGAAAATGTTTGACTGCTAGCTAGATGTTGAGCAAGAAACTGGTCCTCTGGAGAAAGGGCTGATTCGTCAAAACATCTTTGTCTCTCTGGTTCTGCTCCCTCCGACTCTTCAAAACATCTTTGTCTCTTGGGCTCTGATCCCTCCGACTCATCCGGAGGTTTAAGCAGTAGCATCCACACAAATTCATGTGAATCAATCACAGCTAACTCGGCTCCCTCATGCAGCTTCTTCTTTTCCTCGAAAAAACGTTGGAAGGATTCTTCATAAGCGGCCACCTCCGACTCTGACGCCACCAACTCCGCAGTCCTCAGATTGTCGTGGCGATAGGCATCAACAAGGTTATTGAAATACAAATACCTCCAATCACCTGGGATCATAAACTGATACTGAGGCTCGTCCATATTCCCTTCCTTGACCAAATTCAAGACTTGGCCGTGCTGCGCCACAGACTTGGCTGTAGCCTTGATAGTTTCAAGCTCTTTGCCAGTGATCCATTTAGGGAGTATAGCTGCATACTTGCGAGGTGGTGGAGGCGGACGCTTCATCTTGTAACTAAAGCTTTCAGGAAGATAGGCCTGAAACTCGGGAGGTTTTCGAAACGGTTCCCTCACCTTCACCCTCAATGGAGTATCAGCTATCCCATAATCACTATATTTGATCTCAGGTCCCTCATGTTTCTGCGCGCGGTATTCAGCAAGCTTTTTCTGGTAATAAGCGTGATAACGATCTGAGCTCCGGAAGAAGGAGTAATCTGGGTCTCTCGCATAGCTTGTCATCATACTACTCTCCATCTCAACCCCGTATTTGAAAACCAAACGGGCCGAGCTATCGGCCAAATATCTAACCCATGGAGGTACATCCGCCGGAGATAAATTCAGATTGTTGTTTTGCCCCGATTGCAAATCATTCGACATGTCTTTTCTATACAAAGAGAGACAAAGATAGATAAGAACCTTAATATGAGAAAAAGATATCGGTATGATAAATAAGAGGAATCGGCGATGCCAAGGACTACTTAATTGCAAATAACCTAGGATCTCTCTTTATATAGAGAAGAAACCAAAACATAAAATAGAAAACTCTAAGCAAAATAGAAACGTGAAATAAGGAAATATCAAAAGAAAAGTAAAACTACTAAAACTAAGTCCCTCCTACGTCAGATAACAAGTACCGTACCTCACCCGACGGGAAGTAACAGCCACGTCGCGAGAGCCTCAGTGACTTCGTGAAGAAACCGAGAACGAACGACTTCTAGTTCTCAAGCTTGGAACAGAGAAGATCCTCTGAGAACAACGGAGCCCTAGGCGTTGCCTAGCACTTATAAACGAGATACTTGTGCTCCAGGTTTTCTAATGGGCCTTTGTTATTCGGGCTTATAACTTCGGGTCATATTACACACTTAAATTGAGGTTATTCGGTTTTGGTTCGAAATTTGTGGAATTTAGTTTTTTTTGTTGTTGTAAAACGACACCGTACAGACAATTGTCCTTTCAATCCGGTTAGAACCAAATCGTAAACTGTTATATACTTATATTACAAAACCATCATGTTTAACATCAGAACATTACAAATGGGCTCAATATCTTTGAATATCAATCGGCTTTGAATATCAATATATCATTTACATTTACAAGGAGAGCTTTTGAGAAGAAGAAGAGACTCATGAGGAAGCAATGCGGCGACAACGACACCAGAAAGCTGTACCGCCACTTCTCCCTCGAGCAACGGCTATTTCTTCATCGATGTAAAACCAAATGAAGAAAGGGTCTTTATTACTCGGCTCTTCCTCGGCGTCTTTCTTCCCCAAACTGATCTCTAGAGGATCTAATGGTCCAATCTTTATGCGGATCTGTTCGAAGACAAAAGCTAGTATCCGGTTCTTCCAAGAAAACCTTCCTTCGAATGTTAATGCTCCTAATGGACCAAGATAAACCCCATTCTCTATTCTTTTTCCCTGATTCAAGAATCAAGCATAAGAAGTGTTTTGTTACTTCCAAAATCTCGGCTTTAAGGACTTAAATGCCTCAACAATTTTACCAATCAGACCCTAAAGCAGTTCTAAGTCGTAGCCTAGACAACCTCATGAAAGATGCCAAACTGAAAACGAGAAGACAAGCATACATGATCACATAACAATGTATGTAAGTGGATATATATAAATGGATCAATCAATCTGTTTCTAATTCAGTGCTAGAACCAGTTTAGAGACTTACCGCAGCATCAAATCTCTGAACAGCGGTTAGAGGGAAATAACGACCTTTCTTCAGTTTCTTCTGCATGTACGGTATATAAGATCCCAAGTCAATGATTTGAATGGATCAAGACTCCAACATTTTTAAAAACATGAAGGCTAATTTTAATTTCTAATGGTACCTCGGCGGTGAAGATGAGCATCCATGTTCGTCCAGGAGACTCGGTACCACCAAGGGTTTCAAGGAATGTGGATGGATCAATCTTAGCCTTTTCAATAGCAGAAAAAGCAGCTAAAATCTCATCTGCTGCAACTTTCCGAGTTTTTGCAGCGGTTTTTAACACATTCACACTCTCCGTTACTTCCTACATATTCCAAAATCAGTTCACACTCAAGTAAAAACTAGTTGCCTCCAGATATTCAGAATCTTAAGAAAGAACCCATAAGAGAGTCTTGCATTTGATAAAAGTAACTCTCTTAGTATTCATGTAATTTTAATTCTAAAATTTCACAACTCTTATAACCACCTTGGTTCCATGAAATTCTATCTCCTAGAAGTGAACTCATAACATTTATCCCAAATTATTAATTTGACCCGAAAGTAACTTGGATACTCCTCAGCTGGTTCCAAAAAATGAGATCAACAGGAATTTCTCTTCAGAAAACCCAGTTCGTTATAAAATGAATGTTCATCAGGTTTACAATATCTTTCAAAAACAATCGCAATGAAGAAGGTGCTGCTTACTTTGTTAGGGATTTGCTCTTTTGCCGGTGGGACAATCTGGTTCCTACCATCGACAGTGGCTTTCACCAAATGTAATCTCTCGCGACGACTAAGGAAGAGAGAAGAAGATGGGGACGAAACCCATGAAGCTAGTGAGACCATCATCGTCTCTGAGAAGCTTTTCACTTTTTTCCCCACTTCATCATCCTTCTTTTTTTCTTCCACGTCACTTTTTCAGACATACCAAATACAAAAACACACTAGAGCTGGTCGTTTTATTGTTATCCACAAGTTTTATTTGGTTGAGAAAAGCTTTCAATTATATATTATTTGTGTCATTATCTCAATATCGCCGGACCGAATCCTGAAGCTACTCAATTTTAAGAATCGTTTGCCTGATTACAGTTTTATTGCCCGTCTCTTATAAACAAAACTCAATCCATTTCGAGTTATATTAATGAACTTGTATGCACAGTGGATTGACCTGACCAAACCACGAAATAACATGAGAAACAAAGACAGAATGTGCTAGAAACCGCTACTTGTCTGACAAAAGTATTAAGGAATGAATAGTGTTTCATCAACTATGAAATAGCAATCTCCAAATAGCCGAAAAACAGATTCAGTCAGCCAAAAGGGAGGTAGTCGTATTAATTGTAAATTTAACTTGAAAGAAAAGAAAACTCTCACTCAAGTTCATCATAATTCTCTCTCTAGAATTAAAATATAAAGAAAACCGGTCTCAGGTTACACCTCTCCGCAGCTTGTAAATCTCAAACCTCAACTGTGCACTGAAAAAAAGGGTATTAGAACTTGGGTTTTAGGGAACTCAGATTTCTTAGTCCGAATCATCATTCATGAAGCGTTTTCCTAATCTCCCTCTTGGTGCAACCCGAAAGCCGTCTCCTGCTTTTCAAAGAAACATAACCCAGGTTTAGATTAGCCATTTTCTAAAGATAATTCTTCCATATGGTGGGTTTCAAATAAATGAAATCATAAGACTCCTCACCTTTTCTCTCGCAAAATTTGGATCAAGCGCTTGAGGCAGCACTTAAGAGCTCAGTAACCTTTCCAACCGCAATTGTTTTTCCTGTTTTGTATAACCATGCACATAAATTAGGATGAGTAAAAATAAATGCATTATACATTGCATTTGATAATCTCTGAAATCTTTACCTTCGGTTCGTAGAGTGAATCTTCCAAGTTGAGGGAAATCCGAGAATTTTTCAATACAAATTGAATTCGTAACCTGCAGAGATACAGCAAGGGGTGAGAAATAGAAAGACTTGACAATAAGAGGAAGAAAACGGTAGTTAGAAGGAGACAGACCTGGATGCGGCACACAACAGCAGCACCATTCTTCACAAACAAAACTTTCTTTTTCATTGGTTTCCTTGTCTTGAGATCAATTTGGCTTTTCAATTCAATAATCTCACACTCCTCGACAACCGCATGGATGTGGAGAATTGCCTTGTAACCAGCTGTAAAAATAGCCTACAGGAGCAGCAAAATAATGGAGACTATTTAAAAACTGTATATACTCATACAAAAACATTCTAGAATGTGTGCCTTACGTTGTCAAGAAGCTCAAGGATTTGTAGTTGGGCAACAAACTCAGTAACAACAGGGACAGGGTTAACTGCAACAGAAAACAAAGAAAAACTCCAAATTAGTACAGCTAAGAGAAGACTTAAGATTTCAGATATTAACAAAGTTATACGAAATAAAAACAAAAATTGGCAATGCAAATCATTTCTAGTGAAGGCAATCTGTAAAGCATCATACTCACCAATGCTGGATAAAACAAAACCAGCAAGGATGTCCTCATCTTCAATGCCAGTAATACGAACTCTCAAATTCTCACCCGGTCCTGCACGCTTAACTTTATCCTCATCGCAATATATAGCAACAACTTTCACATGTTCCTACAATGATTCATGAAAGTCATCAGGAAAACAATAAACTGGTAAGGAAATATGAAATGAGAAAAAGACATGAAAGCACCTTGTTCGGCATAACAACCAAGGAATCACCCTCCCTAATGCTGCCAGATTCTACTTTTCCCATAACAACAGTTCCCATGTCCTTGAACTTATCGATAATAGGCATCCTACAGTTCATAAAATCAATTCGGGTTAAGACAGTATACAACATACAAAGATAAGTTTACAGACTATAAATTCCCCTTCATATAAGAGACTGGGGAAAAAAAACTACAGAAGACATTTCCTCTTAAGGGGGATAAAGACATGCCAGAGTTGGGGAAGTTGCATGTGATGCAGAAAACAATGCATAGAGATGTTATTATCCATTTAAACATGAATATACACAAGTAATGGATTTCCTGAATGCATTGACCAATAATTAATAACGAAGAACAAACAGTATAAAAAGAGAGAAAAGAAAAGGGGCAGTGGTGGTTCACCTGAATGGACCATTAGGATCCCGTGGAGGAATTTCAATAGAGTCAAGGACTTCAAAAAAGCTAGGGCCACTCCACCAAGGACAAACATTTTGACCCATCCTCTGGTCCATATTTTTGCCCATTAGACCAGATATAGGCAAGAAGACAACATCTTAAAAACAAAAGAGTAAGAGAACAAATTAAATATGCTGTTAGACCATAGTTAATCTGTAAGGTTTACAGTTCAGTGCATACCTTTCTTTGTGTTGTAGCCAGAGGCCTTCAAAAACGGTACCATTTTTTGTTCTATTTCATCGTACCTGTGCATAGGATTTACATAAGTACAAGGATGTACGGAAGAAGATACGAAAATCATCATTGACAAGAAATTAAAAGGTAAATGTAAATTACCTTTCTTTCGACCAGTTCACAGTTGGGTCATCCATCTTGTTCACAACAACAATCAGCTTTGAAACACCCAATGTTTTGGCAAGTTGAACATGTTCACGTGTCTGCCCACCCCTCTCATATCCCGTTTCAAATTCACCTTTTCGAGCTGAAATCACCTACATCAGAGAGAGGTGGGTAGGGAAGTTAATAGGCTTCCTACAGGAGAAGCTAAATCAACAGAAAAAAAATTACTTATAAGCTAACTAACCAGCACACCGATGTCAGCTTGAGATGCTCCACTAATCATATTGGGTACGTAACTCTTGTGCCCCTATAATAAGTTCAGAAAAGCACACGAGAATTAGAACAGAAAACTCATCCAACATATATGCTGGAACACAAATTCCCCGCATAAAACAAAAATAAATGGAAAACGATTATTTTAGATTGATCCCTTACCGGAGCATCCAAAATGGTGAATCTAGTGCTCTGAGTTTCAAAGTGTGCCCTTCCAACTTCAACTGTTTTACCCTGTTAAATGTAGCAAATTAGCCATAGCACTTAGCTAACATATATTCAACAATAAACTTGATGGGATTTCCATAAACACATTAACTCTATCATCTAAGACAAGCATTTTAAGCAAAAAAACAAGCATTGACCAAAACACATGAAGTACCTTGAGCCTCTCTTCTTCATTTGTATCCATTATATATGCCATATACCTAGCATACAGGGCAATAAAAGTTTCAAAATTAATTAGAACCCAAAGCATTCCTTTTCAGGTTTAAGCAATCAGGAACACTCACCAGCTTTCTCTACTTTTATCTTTTGCTTCTTTCTCATACTTTTGGATTTGTCGTTCATCCACCTGACCGCTAAGATAAAGAATCTGTCCTCCAATTGTGGATTTACCAGCATCTATAATTGAAAAAAAGAGTGTGTAAATTAAAGACAGAAGTCAGCCATTATAAACATAAAAGTACACAGACAGAAAGGTCATGACCAGTGGGGGTTTCAAAGTACACAAGGCAATTATCCTGCAACCTCCAGCTTTAACAAAAACATGCCCATAAAAAAAATATAAATCATCAAGTAGATAGTCATACCAACATGCCCAATGAACACCACATTCAAGTGTCTCTTTTTATTTGCTTCTGCTTCATCTTCAGCTTCCTCTTTGGCAGCCTTGTCTTGAGCAGCTTTCTCTTTAGCTAAGATTGATTACATTTATCAGAATAATATATAAATCTTCAGGCAGACAACAGGATACCAGAGAGATGAGACGGGAGCAATACGAGACGATAGTCTACGAACCTTTCGCTGGGTTATGGACTGGATGAAGCATTACTTCATCATGATCCTCAGAAGCTGAAACCACCAAAGTCCAAAAAAAAAAACAATGTTATGGCAAAGTTAGATAAAGCAAACTAATTTAAAGTGAAATAAAAAGAAAAGGACACTGATGCCAGGAACCTTGTTGCTCATCAGGAACTGGGACAGATTCTTGCACATCATCTTTCAAGTCTGTAAGTAAAGATAAAATACCTGGTTATACTCTATGTCAACCACTCATCAAAAGATTTAGTATTCAATCTCATCACAGTATAATATATAGACAAATGATTTGGTTTTGTGTATGGAATGTAATAGCCGAGTAACATGGTAGGTACCTTCTTCTGGTGCTTTATCCAAATTCTCAACTTCATCTGAGTTATGATCTTCTGGAATGACAACACCATTGTTTTCATCTGCATATATTAACACAAAATTTGGTACCATAGAAATAAGAAGTGAGCAAAAATAGTGTTAAAGCTAGTTGTCTCTATTACCTGCCGAATCAAGCTGTAATGCGCGGATCTCAGCCTCAAGATCTGCACGGTTTCAAAATGTGTAAAAAAAAAAAAAAAAATTATCATTTCCAACAAAAACGTACAGAAATTTAGCAAAGAATTCCACAAAATACCCAATCCCTCACTATATGAGAGTTAAATTCACACGAATTACAAAGAGAACTACCTAGGTCAGTTCTACACAAGCCAATTAAAACCAACCAATCAGCTAAACCCTAATCCGATTTCTAATCCAAAAGCCGATAATCCTCCTTCCGATTAAAGATTAGCTACCGGAGAAACGAATCCCTCAGCTTCATAATCGAAGTTAACACAGTATAACGCAAGCATACAACAAAAATAGAAAAAAAGATCCGATCGACCAACAAAAGCAGTTAGCGCATAATCGAGAAATCGAGAGAGAAAGAAGACACATAGAGCGATGACTAGAGAGAGAGAGCTCGGAAACCCGTACCCATGTCGGATTGTAGAAGAGAACGAAATGAAAAGGGTTTCTAGGTTTTCTCGCGAAAGAAGAAGAAGAAGAAGAAGCGCGTTAAGGGATCCACCAAACGAACTAGTGCCGCTTCTATGAGGCTCTAATTTTTGCCCAGGTGGATCTTTATATATTCCTTTTTTTCTTTTTTTTGCGTAATCAAATTTTCGTTTTTTTCTCATCCCAAAACTCACGTGTCAGGTTTAACGTAATACGACGTCGGTTAAGAAATATAAGGCCGTCGTAAAAGCCCAAATAATGGGCCTTAGTTACTAGTACGTGCTGATTGTTGGAAGGCCAAAATCCACGATTGTGAATCAATGTTGTTTTTTTTTTCTTGTACAACATGGAAACAATATTTGGAAGAAGAGATAGATAATTGAACTTAAAAATTCAGAAAATGCCTAAAAATTTTATACAAGTAAATCTAAAATACAGAAAATTTTGTATTTTTTTAACACAACAATGTAAATTTCCAAAAAAATGTATATCGTTTTCATAATTTCTTTCAGCAAAGAAAGCACTAATGTAACAAGTAATGAGACAAAGTTCTTTTCTGTAGGAAATCTACCCATAGATTCTTTTTGGGGTTATTAATATATGTTACATCTATCCTTCAATCTTGACCGCACATTTTTATCTTCTTGTTTTGTATGTTTCCGATACTTTGGAATTTTAATCCAAAAAAGAAATTGAATGTTGCAATAAGATTTAAGAATGATAAAAGAAGGAGTGGGGGTAGCACAAAAGCCAATGAAGAGGCATGTGACGTTTTTATGTAAAAGGGAATCTAAAGCTAAACAATGTCAGTACATTTCCCTAAAGTCCTTTTCATTACCACCCCACCCATTCTATTCTTTCTTTTAAATTTGGTTTGATATATTTTCATCATTTCATTTCATGTATTAACCAAGCTTCATATTCCATATGAATAAAATGTTACTTTAATAGCAAAAATCGTTATCATACTCGTCTATTCATTAGTTGCCGTGTCCACTCTCTTTATTATATTCTTGTTCAATTGAATTTTTCCAATCTAAAGTAGCTTAGGAAAAAATTGGAATCGTTTTCTTTCGTTGACAAGATTTGTTTTGTGATTCACAATTGAAATAAATAAAAATATTTAATTAATAGTCCAAAACAAAAGTGAATTAATTAAAGAAAAAAAAAAACTAGAAAGTGAGTTCTTGAGTTAATGAAAGTAACAATTGCTAGTAAATAACTGGTTTATGAAATGATATAATAAAATCGACAATAGCTTTTTATTAAGTCAAAAATTTTGTTATTAAATCGAATAACAATAATATAGTAACACTTTTAAAAAGTTCCTCGATTAATAAAAAAAAATCTGTGAGAAATGAATCAATAATCCTTAATATTAATGAGTTTAAGAAAAATCCTCGAAATGATCTATTACCATCTTTGCCTCACTCTCTCTCTCATTAGGGCTAAAGATTTTTGTCTTTAAAAAGCCATTCAAGTTTCAATGGTTTTTTCACTTGTTCTCCTCCTCCTCCTTTTTTTTTTTCTTTTCAGGATTCTTCTTCTCTAGATTTTATCTATCATATTAGATCTGATGATTCTGGTTTTTCACAAAATAGTATGGTCAATACTATCAGTTTTTTTCATTCAAGTTTAATTCTTCATTTGTTCTTTCCGAGTCAATTTGTCTTCTGTTTCGAACCATTTATAAGTTTTCTATGGTTTTTTGGTATTAACTCGAGAATTCATTATTATGTTTCTCTTTTTCTTGTTTGGATCTCTAATGCTGTTCATCTACCTAGTTTTTATTAACGCTCCGTAATAACAAATATCTTCATATATATATGAAGCATAGGTTTAGGTTAGATGATGATGCCTGTGACTGCCAATTATAAAAAAAAAAAAGAGTTCAAGGGTTTCTTGATTATATGAATAAGAGTTACTCAAAGCAGATCCACACTATTATAGACAAGAACAAAGGAAGAAGAAGAGGAAGAGCTCCTTGAAGTTCAATGGAGGGTTTAGCAGGGTAAAGTAAAGCTGCTAAGCTATGGATCCCATAAACCTTATCAAATTCAGGATAAGGATTTTTTATGGATTCCATATCTCAGGAGCTTTCACTTACCCCTTTAATGGCTTCACTCTTCTTTGGATTGAAGGGAGCTCTTCATCTCTACCTCCATACCTCTCTCTCTCTCTTTAGTTTTTTAATAACGACTTTTCATTGTTTGTGTGTTGCAGGTGTATAAACATGGATGATGGATCTTGACTAGATTGAAAATATGTTTTTTTTTTGTAACATATATGTAATTTTTATGGTTTGTAATAATTTTTTTCAAGTTATACCACGACGACTATCTTTTTTGTATTTTGTATTATATTTTTTCTGAGCCACTAAAGTCGTTTTGTTTGATGCACAAAAATAAGTATATACCGTGTTACTACTTTTCAATTCATATCCACCATTGTATACTAATGTGATCTGCTCGTGCTCGATACTACTACTCTGAATCTGCTTTTATTTAAGTGAATCAATTAATATATGTGTAGTTGTCTCACACTATTCGAAGAAATTTAATACTCAACAGATTTAGTTTGAAATTTGAATGCCTTTACAAATAAGTTTAGCCAAACAAATACTATATCATTGTTAAATAAACTTATTAAATTAGGATTGGCTTAATTGCTGCATTCAAAATGAAAATCTATTTTTCAAAATTTTGACGCCGGTAGGTATTAATTTGTTGTTTCAATACAGCTGGAAATGTTTTCAAGTGTAAAACCACAGTGTAAGTCAAACTGCGGTTTTGTAGATTTCTCTCCCTTTAGCAATTTCTGTTGCTTTCCTTGAATCCATAATATTTACATCCAAAACAGCAATTATATAAGATTTTCTGCTATTTCAAAAAGATATTCTGCTATTTCGGCCGGCAGATGTACTACATCTAAACAAAGAAGATCTAATCATGATTGATGACTATATATGATTTAGTATGGAATTAGTTAATCTCTTTACCACGTGTAACGGTGTAAGAAAATTTGTTATTGACAAAAGAATTGTTAGAAATTTGACATATACAAAAATAATGACCACAAATAAATGTGTACTACGAAAATAAATGTAAAGTTGTAAGTATATGTGTGTGTGTGTCATTTATGATTTATTCCACTTATATGTTGTTTGATCGAATAGAAGCAAAATCAGAAAATGAAAGCTGTGAATGACGGTAAAAACAGTACTTCAAAAATATGGACAAAAACACATCTTTGTTAAGCCATTATGTCATATGTCACGCGAACGTAGCTTTGGCAACATCCAAAAACATGAGAATCATTCTCACAAACAATCTCCCCAAATCCGAAATCATCTAAACAACTCATTGCCCAAATGAGGTTTGTGCCAATGCTTTCAAAGCTGTCTGGAGTGAAAAGTGGGATTGTTTTAGGCTTTTAGCTCATAATCATATACCTATTACAGAACACGATTCTTAATACGAAGCTGCCACCAAATATGGACTGAGAGAAGCCCATTAACATAATACCCAGTAATATATCAGTCATATAAGCCCATTACTTAACGAACCCTAATCCAATTTTTGTTTCTCTCATATAAATAGCTTCTTGTGTTTTTCTCGCCCTTCTTCTTTGTATTTCCGCCTCCCCCGAGAAAACGAAAACCCTAGCTTCAGAGGCATCTCCACTCACCGAAAATGGCGGAAGGACTCGTTTTGAAAGGCACCATGCGTGCACATACTGACATGGTGACGGCAATCGCCACCCCAATCGATAACGCAGACATCATCGTCTCAGCTTCCCGCGACAAATCCATCATTTTGTGGAAACTCACCAAGGACGACAAAGCCTACGGTGTAGCTCAGAGGCGTCTCACTGGTCACTCTCACTTCGTTGAGGATGTTGTTCTCTCCTCCGATGGACAATTCGCGCTTTCCGGTAGCTGGGACGGCGAGCTCCGTCTTTGGGATCTCGCTGCTGGTGTCTCCACTCGTAGATTCGTTGGACACACCAAGGACGTGCTCTCTGTCGCATTCTCACTCGACAACCGTCAGATCGTCTCTGCGTCTCGTGACCGTACGATCAAGCTGTGGAACACTCTTGGTGAGTGCAAGTACACGATCTCAGAAGGTGGTGAGGGACACCGTGATTGGGTTAGCTGCGTCAGATTCAGCCCTAACACTCTCCAGCCGACGATTGTGTCTGCTTCGTGGGACAAAACCGTGAAAGTTTGGAACCTTTCGAACTGCAAGCTCAGATCGACTCTTGCTGGTCACACCGGATACGTGAGCACGGTGGCTGTATCACCTGATGGTTCTCTTTGTGCAAGTGGAGGCAAAGACGGTGTTGTTTTGCTTTGGGATTTGGCTGAGGGAAAGAAGCTTTACTCTCTTGAAGCTAACTCTGTGATCCATGCTCTTTGCTTCAGTCCCAATAGGTACTGGCTCTGTGCTGCAACTGAACAGGGTATTAAGATTTGGGACCTGGAGAGCAAGAGCATCGTTGAGGATTTGAAGGTTGACCTCAAGGCTGAGGCTGAGAAGTCTGACAACAGTGGTCCTGCTGCCACCAAGAGGAAGGTACAATACATACTAGCCCATGACTCTGTTTGTAATCGATTAGAAGTTTTCAGCTTTTGTATAGGAATAACTTTCTGTAGTTGATTATGACTAGTGATTAAGATTTGGTCTGTTATAGCCTAATGTTGGTCTGTTATAGAAAATGTGAAAGTTCGTAAAATGTTTCTTACATGGATTGGTCTATTCAAATGCTAAACGATGATATATGTATACATCTTCGTCTATACTTAGTTTCAATTTCAGATTCTGCAATTCTGTTTGTTTGAATTGCCTTTCCATGTATAGACTTAGGCTCTCTCTCTCTCTTCTTGGTCTGTTTTTATCTTCCATATTAGGCATTACCAATGGATGCATACTCTGTTGCGATATGTGAATGTTAAACCTGTATAGCAAATGTGTTTTGGGTCTATAAATTGTTCAGTCTCACCCCAATTTGAGCCAATTTAGGTTGTCTTATAATGGATTTGTGTCTCCATACTCATTTCTTGTTTGGATCATAGACATAGTAATAATTTCGCTCCTGAAGAATATCATACATATTCCATTGTTTTCTGTGTAACACTATATGTAAATAACTATGGAAATTGAATTCGATTTGTTTGTTGATTGGGTCAGGTTATTTACTGCACAAGTTTGAACTGGAGCGCTGATGGAAGCACCTTGTTCAGTGGTTATACCGATGGAGTCATCAGAGTTTGGGGTATTGGTCGTTACTAGTAATCTCATCACTTGTGCTCTACTTGCTCTCTGCTATCTCCTTGTTGGTTTTATTTATCACTTGTGTTTTTTCGACAACTCATAAAGAACCCTAAGGTTTTTGGAAGGATGTTTGTTTTCATGTCAATCTAGGTTTGCTTCTATATCTTATCTTTGAGATCTTGGTTTTTGGAGTTACTTCTCCCATTTTGCGGCAAATGATTCCATTAATAATAGAGCATTCCATTAATAATAGAGCGAAATGGTGGAATAGCGGAATACCCTTAAATTTGTAATTTTATCCAATATTGAACACATTGAACCAAAGGAGTTGTAACATAAAGTAATAATAATCCCAGTGACTACTGATTTGCAACGAACTAAGAAGAAGGTTTTAGACATGAACATCTAAAATGTTGGTCTCTTTGGAAATGGACATGATTAGAGTGTAGCAACTCTTTTGAGCTGCTCCGTCTTCGACCAACTCAATTTTGCCACGTAGACTGGTATACTCGAACAGCCGCTATTACTACTGATGTGGCATCTGTCGTATTTTTAATCACTCCCGCCATTGCCTTTTCGCGCTAAGATTTTTTTCTATTTATGTTTTTTTACTCTAGACTGGAAAAAAAAAACAAAAAAGAAAAATAAAGAAGACAAATCCGCAAGAACCCTAAAAAATAGAAGAAGATAAGAAAGCGGAAATGGGCATCAAGGATCTTCTCAGATTCATGAAACCTTACATCCTTCCCATTCACATCCAGAAATACGCCGGGAAACGAGTAATTTCTCCAACATGTTTTCTTAATGTTCTCGATTTGAGTTTCCGTTAATTGTTCTGGGTAAATCTCCATTAAAAATCAAGTTTTTAAATAATGGGTTTACACATTTTTTGTATTTCCAGGTGGGAATCGATGCATATTCATGGCTACACAAAGGAGGTAAGCTTCCTGCTCTCTTTAACCTCCTCCATTTCGTTGTATCTCCTTTCCCAGAACTGAGAGAGCTTGGTCAAAAGAAAATGCTTTATCTGTTAATAAACCGTGGAATTGCAATGAAAGAATAAAGATATTATTGAATGTGGCAAGTAATTGAAGCATTTTGGAGCTGATGGTAATCTATTTACTGGGTGGTTCTCAAATTCATGACTTGATGGGAAACTTTTTCTACAGCATACTCATGTAGTATGGAGCTGTGTTTAGACACTGATGGGAAGAAGAAGCTGAGGTACATTGATTACTTCATGCATAGAGTCAACCTTCTTCAACACTATGAGATCATCCCTGTCGTTGTTCTCGATGGTGGTAATATGCCCTGCAAGGCTGCCACTGGAGATGAACGTCATAGGCAAGTCTTTTTAGTTTTATTATTTCTTATTTGGTTCATTCTAATTTCCTGCTTATGAAGTTTTTCTTTTAACTAAGCGTTTGGATTTTATTTTGATTATCAGGAAGCGAAAGGCTAACTTTGACGCTGCAATGGTGAAGCTTAAGGAAGGGAATGTCGGAGCAGCAACTGAGCTTTTTCAGGTGCTTACTTCTTATTTCAACGGCTTAGGTCTCTAAGTTGTATAAGAGTAACTATCAATGTTGATTTGCAGCTACTGAGATTTTTCAGGTGCTTAGTTCTTTTCATTTCAATGGCTTAGATATAGAAGCTGTTTAATTATTTGCCTATAGAGTTGCAATACCTTCTACTTACGCTCTGATAGCTCCAATGATAGCTCCAAGACTAGTCTATGTTCACTAGGAAGACATTATTACACGCAGCTTTTTTCTGTATCCATCTTTCGTGTCTAATTTTAAACCAGTTCCAAGATCCTTCAAAGATAACATGTTCCTCTTGTATCTTATGTCTAGTTTTGCTTTCCTGCTGTGTTGCTTTGTGAGTTTAGTTAGTAATTTTTTATCATGTACTCTGCTTTATTAGATTTTGGTCGAGACTATGATATTGTGTGAGCTCATGCCTATTGTCATTACTATGTGCAGAGAGCAGTTAGTGTAACATCATCCATGGCTCATCAATTGATTCAGGTATAAAATTGTTTATTAACTGAGTACCGTTTCTTAGGAAAATATGAATCTTCTATAGGCCCTAACAACTTCTCAGGTTCTGAAATCAGAAAACGTCGAATTTATTGTAGCTCCCTATGAGGCTGATGCTCAGCTAGCATACCTATCCAGCCTCGATCTGGAACATGGCGGGATTGCTGCAGTTATTACCGAGGACAGCGATTTACTTGCATATGGCTGCAAAGCTGTAAGATGTTTTTCACATACAAAAAAAAACGAAGTTTATGATAAGTGTTTAAGAGCATTGTATGATATGTTTCCCCAACTTCTGTATTATAAAAGGTTATTTTTAAGATGGACCGCTATGGTAAAGGAGAGGAACTAATTCTAGATAATGTTTTCCAAGCCGTTGATCAAAAGCCTTCCTTCCAGAACTTTGATCAAGAGCTATTCACTGGTTAGTAGTATATTATTGTCTAATCATCCCAACATACCGTGATACATTTGTGTTGATAATTGTTCTTGGTTTGGCCTTTTACAGCAATGTGCGTATTAGCGGGCTGTGATTTTCTCCCATCGGTTCCTGGTGTTGGCATTTCAAGAGCTCATGCATTCATCTCCAAGTACCAGAGTGTAGAACGCGTAAGCATTTACTTTGACAAATGCTTGTTTCAACCATCGCTAAAAGAAAAGTCTAAGACATTCAAATGTGGGAATTATACTGTAGGTTTTGTCATTTCTCAAGACAAAAAAGGGCAAACTAGTTCCTGATGATTATTCCAGCTCTTTCACGGAAGCAGTTTCAGTTTTTCAGCATGCTCGTGTGTAAGTAACTTTGGTATCAGTCAGGTGTTGCTAATATCCATTCTTTTATGGTTCTTTCCTTACTTTGTTCCCTTTAATTGAATCTATTGCAGATATGACTTTGATGCTAAGAAGCTCAAGCACTTGAAACCCCTCTCCCAGAACCTCCTGAATTTACCAGTTGGACAACTTGAGTTCCTGGGACCGTATCCTTTTTCATCCCCTCCCTAAATATTTCAATCTACTCTTAATTTGCAAAAGCAGAGCATTTAACTACTCTAAACACACAACAATGCCAGTAAAAAAAAAAAGAAGATTCATCACATAAACTTTCACGTGATTATTTTGCAGTTCTGTTCACCTTGACACATTAAACTTATCAGAGATCTATCGCCATCTGTTGCTGCTGCAGTTGCTGAAGGTAATATTGATCCCATAACCATGGAGGCTTTTAACCGCTTCTCGGTTCCTAGGAGACAGTTGCAAAAGCCTGTTCGATCATTCAAGGAACAGGAAAAGGAAAGCTCCTTTTTGGTGTGTTCTTCGTCTAAAAGTGAGGAAAGAATAGAGCTCAAAAGGACTGCAGATGAAGCTACGATTGATCCAGAAGCTACTCTGAAGAAGGCGATGTACTCTAAACAAGATTCAGATCTGCACAAACTGCTTTCGCAGCCTAGTAGGGATCAGGTGGTTATCCAGCCCAGCAATCCCTCACTTATTCCAGACAACAACCCGTTCAAGATAAGAAAAACCAATGAAATCAATCTAGAATTTGCAGAGTACGGTTTGCAAGAACTCGCTGTTTCATTTGTGACCATAAGCAAAGCAATGGACGTGGCTTCTTCTTCACCAAACTCTCACGGACACGAGGATCGAAAAGAGGGTGTTACAATCGATTTGCCCAAGCTTGAAGATTCTGGAATCAAACAAGACTATGCGAAGAACAGAGTGAAGGAAACATTTGAAACAACAGAAGTAGATATAGCTGAAGTTCAAGATCATGTGAACATGACGACAAAGAGAGTGCGTGGAACAAAACCTAGAACCGAGAGTTTCAAAGTGAAAACAAGCTGTAAAAGTTCAGAGAACAAGAAGACTACAATCAAGAAAAAACACAGTATATTAGATTTCTTTCATCGATTGTAATCTCTTTAATTTTGGTATGTAATCTTTTCTTTATAACTCTTAATATATGATTATTTGGAGAATATAGAGACGAACACCATATATTATTGCAAACACTCCATATGAAAAAGATTTTAAAAAAAAAGATACACATATTTGTAAGCTATATAGATAGACATAGGCACATAGCTATAACCGGACTAATAGAAAATGTGGTTTGATATATAATACCCACATTTTTGTCCGCTCTGGTTTTTTAGGTAAAGGTTCCTTTCGGTTTTTAAACCAAAAAGTTCCGGATTTTTAGTTTGTTTCTTGTACTAGCGTCTGCGTGAAGCAGGCTCCTTTTGGGCGTTGAAGTAGACAGTGGCCACAGGTAGACCAAGGTCGAAATGTCCAGCGAACATTCGGGTGCTGAAATTGGCTCGTGATGGCGGCTGCTGCACCATCAGACCCACCGGTGAGTTTTGCCGGAAAAGTACCAAAATGTAACGGTGGATCCCCACTGGTGGTCTTGGTTCCATGTATGGAAGTATCTCCTTTCCTGAAATTTAAAACATGGAACATTTTTCATCGTACTAATATAAAATACATTAAGCAATAACTGTTTTCGCTAGGAAACATGTTATATAGTATTTTTCGTATCGTACAAAACGGCTTTCTTTATTCATTTTTGTGTTTAAGGTTTTGTATAAGATGACATGTGTAGGTTATTTAGTTGATATACATCAATGCATACGTACGGACATACATGAGATGTTGGTTTCAGAAGACACCACATGTCGTAAGTATGGGACATAGCTTGAAACATAGGAAAATTAAATAGTGACTCTAATATTAATATGCCTTATACATTTAATATATAGTTAAAAACTGACCTAAACCACTTGGATTCATTTTTTCTTAAGAATAATGGATTTTATTTTATTTATGTTTCGTTTTTAAATGTTAATGCTGGAAAGTACTTGGCTATTGCCAACTAAAAATATATAACAGAAGCAACCTATTAGAGAGTTAGGTATATGGTTTTGGACCAATCAATATCGTGCACACGGAAATGAAATGTTCTCTAAGCAAGTAATGTTTGTTCTTATAATATTCACTTAATTCATATCTAACCGAAAGCACCACGGTCCAAAGATAATATGTTTTAATGAATAATAAAAGTTAAGAGTATCGAATTATTCAGTTAGATCTAAACACATCATCATGGACATAATTAACTATTACTATATTTTCTTAATGCTTTTCACACTAACGTCACTTTATTTATAATGCAAGCAGATTAAGCAATATCTGTTCACTGTTGTAAAAATTATAACAAAGATCATAATCCTAAAATAAAGTAAAGCAATTTGTATTCAAAATCGAAAACTTAGCTTTGATATTTTTTTGCATACCTCTCGAGGGGTTGGTGCCTCCGGGGATATCCACGACAATCCTGAAAATTTGAAATAATTAATAGTGTTATCGCACCCTTATTTATACGTTTTGAGTAAATTGTTCACGTTGATGTACAATTGTTACACTAAACAAAAAACAAGAGTGCGTCACTTGGTACTGACCAATGGACCCATTCTCTCATGTTCGGCTCGCTTGGGCTAGGTGCGTCCGGGTCAGTCATCACCTGCATGCATCGAAATATTTACATTTATATACTAACGGCCAATGAAATTTCAACACATGCAACACGCCGTCTATCTCAAATAATTAATTAAATGATTAAATGATATTATTGTAATCAAAATTTCAGCTAAACCGTGAGTAACACATTTAATTATGTATTGGAAACTCATTGATATTTATGTATCTATAATATAAAAATTACGTCAACATCTATGTGAATGTACCATAAATATGTGTAATTTCTTAAGAAAATAGTTTCAATAAATATATATATTTGAAGTTTATCATAGCAAACACAATTTTTGAATAGAGATTAGTCAAATGCATTTGGACATCTTAAAAATGATGTTTAAGTAATGTATGCATGCATGTTTCTACTATAATGATGACGGTAAATCATGATGACGAGGAAGCATGTAAGGCATGTGCACATATATACACATATATGTTTATTAATGCATAAATGGATAGATGTGAGAAAATGAATATATACGAGAGTGTAAAGCTCATCGGAATGGCCCGAGATGTTGACTTTTGGAGGATTGACTGCGGTGGAGGGTTTGATCTCGCAGCCGTTAGTGATGTGTTTGGGGCCGAAGTAGACAGACATATTGGCGGTTGGGATGAACATGTCCAACACATCTCCGATCACTCTTCCGACCACCAAAGGATCAACAGAAGCTGCCATCGATCAACAGAGAGGGAGATATAGAGAGAGAGAAACAGAGGGAGGTTCTTATTTTAAAAGAATCGTTGTTTTGTTTTGTCGCATGTCCGAATTCGGATGGGCATCTAGTCATGGTTTATATAGGAAATAAGTTACTTACATCAAGAAATATTTAATAATAGCATCGACAAATACAATGAATTTGAAGCACCATGGCGATAATTTCCTTTTTCTTTTATATTCATATTTATTTCCACGTTAAATTATTTTAGTGTGCTTTTTTGAATTAATCATTTTAGTTTATAGTAAAACAATAATAATTTAGTTTTCTTACGAAATATCTATTGCATCTGTAAAATACCATACAAGCTGTTTCATTTAAACAATGAAATCCCTGTTTACCATAGACATCCACTTCCAAAGAACAAATTACATATATAATCTTAATAAATTTTTAAATGTTTAACTTGAATAAATATTTATCTTCGGAATGCATTTCGTATTTATATATTTTAGTAACGTGTTAGTATTTTTATAGTAATAACAATATATAAAGAAATAGATAAATAAACTATTATGAAGCGTTATTTTGTCGTGTATAGCCACGCGTAACGTGGCTTGCAAAATTTGTTTTGTGTAATTGAATTAAAATCTTCTAGAAAAATATATTAAAAAATTATGTAAAATTGTTTGTTTTAAAGTATTGTAAAATTCAAATATTTAGAATTAAAATACATAAAAACAAACTATTATGATGCGTTATTTTGTCGTCAATAGTAAAAATATTCACTCGTGTCGTATGATTTATGGTCGGTCAGAGATTCATCGTAAAAAATGGTAAGCGTTATAAAAGAAAGTATTAAGATATTAAAGAAACAAAAAAAATTGATACATTAATCAAAACTATTTTTTACTTTATGTTCAAAACAAAAAAAAATCAATGTCTTTTTTTTTTTTGGACAGAAAAATATCAGTGTCTAAAACAATAGAACTTCATGTTAAGATGCCTTAAGTATTATACTCATTCATAGGTAAATTAATGTATTCGGGGCATTTACAATATAGTTTTGGCTTGGTTATAATGAGCGAGGGGAAGAAGAAACAAAAGGAAAAGGTTAAAAGAAGCTTTGGTCGGATTAGTGTAACCTATAGGCCATGCATAGGCCATTTCAAACTCCTTTGCATCCACAATTATGATACGTGTCGTGTCTTCGGCTCAGCTGTTACCCACGATCCCTTTTGTTCCTCGTGCCACGTGACATCATTTCTGCCGTCGGTTAGGAGGATCATCCCTTACACGTGGACCATCCTTGTGGTACTCGATCGATTGGTAAACTAATTTCTACGGGTGGTAACTCTTGTAAACGTTTTATAAGTTTTTTTTTTGGAACTCATGTACACGTCACATGTGAGAATTTCTCTAAACTTTATTTGTTATAGTAATCAGGTTCAGATCTCATACAAATTAAACAACTTGCAACCAACCGCGTAGAATAATGAGGAGGAACAAAACACGAGACTTGAGTTTCAGTTCTAAAAGCCTAATTCAAGGGGTCGAATATGTTCATCTCTTCAACAACAATCACTAGATTATATAAGAACTCATGTATTATCAATAAGTTCAATCTCATCTCCATCTCTCACATAACTAATAATAAGCTATGGCAGAAAACTGTAATTTGGTCATTCTTCTAGGGGCATTATTGGTATCAACCGGCCTCTTCCGTAATCCGATAATTGTCGCTGCCGTCGGCGGCGAGGGTATTCCGACGGTAGGACTGTTCACTTTCGGAGACTCTTACTTCGACGCTGGAAACAAAGACCAACATCCTCCCCAAAGCTTTTGGCCCTACGGGAAATCCCGCGATGACCCCAACGGCAAGTTTTCTGACGGCCGCATCGTCCCTGACTTTATCGGTACGTTACAGTCAGGGCCGGCTCAATTAATTTGGAGTCCCGGTACAAATCTTAAAAATTGGCCCTTTTTCATAAAAAAAAAAAAAAAAATTGGGCCTTTTTCATGTTAAAAAAATCTTAAAAATTAGTATTTTTCATACGAAATAAAATATTTGGGCCTTTTTCATGCTAAAAATATCTTAAAGTTTTAAAAATTACCATTTTTTATACTAAAAAAAAAAATTGGGCCCTTTAATTTACCCAAAAAATTTTGGGCCCGGCACATTTGCTCCTCTTGCACATCCCAAACGCCCCTGGTTACAGTTACATATTTCTACGTACTTAATACCCTTTTTCCAACTTTTATACGTTATCTCTTCTAAAATCTACTATGCATTGACCGATCCACTATATAAATTCAAATTTGAAACGTTTTATGGTTCGTTGACAAAAAAAAAAAAAAAAAAAAAAAAAAAAAAAAAAAAAAAAACGTTTTATGGTTATCAAAATATATAGGAAAACATGATTAGTAACCATCGTTTTATTGCAAATAATTATTTGGTGATCCATGATAAAGCTGAATTCATGGGCATTCCGAAAAAGATCCCACCAGTACTTAAAACAGGCGTTGATGTTTCACGTGGAGCCAGTTTTGCGGTCGCCGATGCTTCTATTCTTGGCAATCCGGAAACATCCAAACGTAAGCCCTCGTTTATTATTTTTTAATTTTTTTTTCGTATTTTGAAATTTCTCACAAGTGTATGTGTATGTAATATGTATGTAGATGACACTAAATCAGCAAGTGGATATGTTTTGAAGTATAAAATCAAATTGGACCGACGATTTCATTGGAAGGTCACTGTTTATGATTTACATTGGTACCGAAGATTACTTAAACTTTACCAAGAACAAATTCAACGCAGACGCCTCTGCTCAGCAAGCATTTGTCATTTCCGCTAGTAATCAATTGAAGACCGACATCAACGTACGTTGTTGATATATATATGAACAGGCAACGAGTGTTACGAGCCACTCAACGATTTAGTCAAACAACACAACGAGAAGATTGGTCCAATGTTGAATGACCTTGCTAAAAAAAAACTCCCGGTTTTCAGTTCACCGTCTTTGATTTCTACAACGCTGTTCTTCGTCGGACACATAACCATCTTAACTACAGTAAGTCATCTTGTCATCCAATCAATACCTATATGGTACAACTTAATTAACGGGTTTAAGTGTGATCGAACCGAATAAACAATATCAAAACCAAAAATGTTAAAACTTTTTTGTTCCATATAAAAAATATCTGATGGAGTATATAAACACTATAATTAAGCAGGGTTTTACGTGTCAAACACGTCATGTTGCGGTGTGGGAACGCACGATGCGTACGGTTGTGGTATGGTAAACGTGCATTCGAAGCTATGTGAGTACCAAAGGGCTTATTTCTTCTTTGACGGACGTCACAACACTGAGAAGGCACAAGAAGAATTTGCTCATCTTATCTTTGGAGCAGACATTAACGTCGTTCAGCCGATGACCCTTCGTGAGCTCATTGTCTATCCTTTTAATGAGCCTATGCGTGAGTTATTGGCAACCAATCAGTTCCACCATCACAACTGATGGTTAAAGACGTACGACTATACTTAATTCAATGTTTTTTCTTCTTGTTCTCTCGTCTTTTATTCCAAAATAATTTGCGTGTAAATGTATACACTTCTTCTTGTGCCTTCTCAGTATACATTTAAGGTTACATTTAATATCACGTATCACACCAGTATTAAATTTAATGCGTTCAATAGAGAATAAGAATGAAGGGAATATTAAACTCCCAAAAAAATTAAATTAAATTAAATTTTAGACTATATAGTAAAATAATAAAATATATGTTACTTTTAGATTTAAAACCAATATTCGGTAAGGAATGTATTTGATTAAAAAAAAACTCAAATTATTTGTACTATCGTTGTTGACTTGTTGTAGTAACATTTTACTAAAAAGCTGTATATTTTGTACAATAAGAAAATAAAAAATATAAGACAAGATGGAAAATCTTCTTATTTGATTTTGTTTCCTTTCTTGTCTTTTCTTCCTTTTTAAAAAAATTATTTCTTGTCTATTGTCCAAATTTTTTATTTCTTTTCAACAATTCTAAGCCATTTTATTTTAGTGTCTTATTAGACAATTTGTTTATTTTAATATTATTTTTTTGTTGAAATATGTAAATAATTAATTAAATGAATACTTCTTATAAAATGTTGAAAAAATCCCTTAGATATATTTCCCAATATGTGTAGATATGATTAGATCTTAATTTAATATTCATTTATTGCTTTAATCATAATAAGCTATAAATGGTTGTTATGAAATAGTAATACATTGTTAGTTTCTCATAATAATTTAATGTTAATATACTAAAATATCAAAATTTAATAGTTAATGATTTTCATTAATAACTTAATATTTCTTCATGAAAATTAATTTAAACATTATTTGTTTTGCTAAGAAAATCTAAAATTAGTTTTAAAATATACTTTATGTATATGTGACATTCGTATTTGTTGAAAAAAAAGACTCCCCCGTGCTTCAAAATTAAAACAGAGTCTCCTAAACAAAAACCTCTCAACGTCCGTCTCACAACTTTCTACAAATTTCTCGTCGTCTTCGTTCTCTGCTGCTCCATCAATGTCGGATAACTATCCCGATGGTGATGAGACAAACCTCTCCGCTGCCGTTATCCCAAATCGTATCAGGCTCTTCGAGGAGATACAAGCCCAGCAGCTTGAGCAGCTTCAGTCTCTCCCACACGATCTGATCAAGTAAAAAATTAGGATGCGGATGGTGTTCTCTCTTACATACTAGAGGTTTTTCGTTCTGTTCATTTTTCAATCAAAATTCTGGTGTTTTGTGTACTTAGGATTACAATTACATTGGGAGATATCAAGGAGGTGAAAGAAGGGAAGAGATGGGAGACGACCCCAATGGACATCGCAGTGCAGATTTCTAGGGGTTTGGCAAATTCTGCGCTGGTTTCTTCGGTTGATCATGTCCTGTGGGACATGATTAGGCCCCTGGAAGGTGATTGTTCGCTTGAGATTTTCGGATTTGACAGCGACCAAGGCCGTGATACTTTCTGGCATTCTAGCGCCCACATTCTAGGCCAGGTTCTCGAGCAGGAATTTGGGTGCAAGCTATGCATTGGACCCTGCAAAAGCATAGATGAGGTAACAGCAGTCACTGCTTGTTCTGTTTTTTTTTCTCTCTTATGTTTCTTTGGTTAATATCAGAAAAAGAAAGGAGGAATCAATATTGTTTGGTTCTTGGTATTTCATCTGTAATGTTGCAAAGACAGGCTATGTCTGATGTTAGTAGTGGATTTTTATTTCAGGGCTTCTACTACGATGCATTTTATTATGGCGATCTGGGCTCAAACGACGATCATTTTCCATACATCGAAGCAGGTGCTGCAAAATCTGCTCTGGTATGGCTTCTTCTATTCAGAGCCGGCCCTGAGATTTGCAAGTAGTCTATACCTATACCACTAGACTAAAGCCGATTTTGGAAACTGAGGGCCGAACTATTTATATAAAATAATCGGCCACAAGCATGAACTTCATTAGCCTCGCCCAAAGGCCGGCTCTGCTTCTATTAATATGTTTGCTGAATGTTGTATATGTCACCTAATATTTAGTGTCCCAATTCTATTCATATCTACATCTCAGGAAGGACAACCATTTGAAAGGATTCTAGTGACCAAGGATCAGGCTCTTGAGATGTTTTCTGATAATTTATTTAAGGTGGGTTTTAGAGAAGAAGTGATATAAAAATCATTCAACCTTTGGATTGTCTTTTTTGGACTCTATTCTTCTGCTGTTAATTATTTTTATCTTATAGCTTGAAATCATCAATGACAACTTGGCTGAAGACGAGACCACTACAGTCTACAGATGTGGCCCATTGGTTGATCTGTGTCGTGGACCACATATACCAAATACTTCCTTTGTGAAAGCTTTCAAGTGTTTGAAGGTGAACATTCCGACTCTATCTACAACATTACAGAATTCTAGTTTGTTTTCCAAGTTTATAACTATCCAGTTTTTTTTGTTCCTTCACATCTCAGGCTTCATCCGCACACTGGAAAGGTGACAAAGACCGCGAAAGCTTGCAGAGAGTGTATGGGATATCTTATCCGAATAATAAGCAACTCAAGGTACTAGCTTTATTTGTTATAAAAGATTCTTCATCATCATGCCTTTGCATTGTTTTTATTATCTTTGCAGGACTATCTTAAGTCTATAGAAGAAGCCAAGATATATGACCACAGACTCTCGGGCCAACAGCAGGAACTTTTCTTTTCTCACCCACTCAGGTTCTTTCAGTTCTAATTTACAATTTTGTGTTTGTTAGTTCCTCTTTATTTTTGTTTCACGCAACTGATCATTAATATATGTTTCAGTCCTGGAAATTGTATCTACCTCCCACATGGCACTCGCGTCTATAACAAGTTGATGGAATTCTTCAAGAAAGAATATTGGAAAATGGGTTACACTGAGGTTTTTCTCATTTCACTATGTAACACACTTGAAGACTATGTGTGGCGGCGCGGGGTTGCTAAATAATAACCTTTGATTTTTGCAGGTCATTACACCAGTTATTTACACCATGGATTTCTGGGAAACATCAAGACATGCTGAATACTACCAGAAAAATATGTTCAAGTTAGATTTTCAAACACCCGGATCGGTAAGTATGGTTCTCAGTTTCTCACATAGGGTTCTAAAGTCTAAACTAATTAATATTAATATAACTCAATCCCTTATTTATTTGAATTTTTCAAATATTAAAAGAAAAGTTTCTCATAGTCTATCATTTGAGAGACTTTCTTCTCCCTCTCTCCTATTTTTATTTGTTTGGGTATCTACCAATGTAGATGTTCTAAGAGTGCATGGAAACCTCAACAGTCTTCTTGACTTTGTTACTTTAGCAATTAGCTAGCTTAAGGTGCCATTTGTAGCTCTACGTTTCTAACAGGTGAAAGAAATGATTTTCTCTATTCTCCATGCACAGACTGTCATACATAACTACGGGATCAAACATATGAATTGCCAGGGTCACTGCTTGATGTTCCGACACAGTGTTCGCTCATATAACGGTTAGCGCTCTGTTCCGTTAGTGCAGTTTGATCTCATTATAGTTGTGAATTTTTCGACAAGGACAACAATATGGAGAATTAATTAAAATGCTTTTCTTTATCAATCTTACTCATGAAGTTGTAAACTCTATCTTCTATCTTTACTGACACCATCTTTTTATGGTATGGCATGTAGAATTACCCATTAAACTGGCTGACTTTGGACCGTTGTATCAAAATGAGGCAAGTGAAGATCTTAGTGGGTTGACCCGTGTCCGACAGTTCCAACAGGTACCTTTTGAACCTTTTTGGCGTAGTTAAACTTCTTTAGGAGTTGACTAGATAGAGCACAAAAAATTCCTGAACAGCGGCTTTAACATAAGAGCAGAGCTTAGTAGAGCATGAAAAGTTCCTGCACTCTGGCATTAACATTAGAGCCTATTTGCCATGTTAAAGCACTTCCTTTGCTTACTTGTCAACATACTTTTTGCTCCTTTGCATGTTGCATATTTGTTTGACATTCGCATATATCTTTTTCAGGATGATGCACACATATTCTGTAGCGAGACGCAGGTTTGTGATATTTGTATCTTATCCAGCAACGTTGGAGTTCCTTATCCTCCCAGTTTCTTGTTAGATGTATTCTGTATATATTTTCAGGTTAAAGAAGAAGTGAGAGGTATATTGGATTTTGTTGACTATGCTTACACAATATTTGGCTTTACCTATGAGCTAAAGCTTTCAACGGTAGAATTTTTGTCCTCTGCCTGATTTGATTCATTATTCGTGATATGATCTTGTAGCTTATTGTTTGCATGTAATTTTCAATTTCAGCGGCCAAAAAAATACCTTGGAGATTTGGAAAAATGGGACAAAGCTGAGAAGGATCTTGAAGAAGCACTAAATGATTTTGGAAAGACATGGGTTGTATGTGTGCTACTTCCTGATGCTTCTACTCAACTTTATTATTCACAGAGTATATACATTCATTCTTAAGTTTGATGTTTTCTGCAGAAAAACAAAGGAGACGGGGAATTTTATGGCCCAAAGATAGACATAACAGTGTATGATGCAATGAAAAGGAAATTCCAGTGTGCTACTATACAGGTTAGGTGCCCAAACTCTTTCTAGTTTTTTCTTTCCCCTGCATTTCTCTTGGTAGTTTATTTAGTGTGTTGTTTCTGTTGTTGCCTAATATCAGCTTGATTTTCACCTTCCTGATCGCTTCAAACTGGAATATTCAGCTGAGGATGAAACGGAGATAGAGAGTTCTGTGCTGATACATAGTGCGGTGTTGGGCTCTGTTGAGCGTCTTTTTGCCATATTGTTGGAACAGTACAAAGGAAAATTGCCCTTCTGGCTTAGTCCCCGCCAGGCCATAGTTTGCTCTGTTTCAGAGGATTCTCGTTCCTACGCAAACAAGGTTATACATTCTTGACTGTACACTTTAAGAGCTTGCTTGCAGAGTCTTATATATCTCTACCTAGTTTTCTTTTGTTTGCATATATTCAAACAGGTGAGAGATCGAATTCACGAAGCTGGCTACTATGTTGATGTTGACACAACAGATAGAACCGTCACTGAGAAGGTAACTGTTACAAGGTCCCTGAGCACAAACAATTGAGGTTTATGTTCCCGTATACATTTTTGAATCATGATTGTGGTTGTGAGTAGGTGCAAGAAGCTCAGGTTGCACAATACAACTACATACTGGCCGTGGGTGATGAAGAGGCTAGAACGGGACAGGTTCGAGTCCAGTTTTGCTCATTCCAATATATGTCTGAGCATCAAGCCTCTCTCAAACATAGTGTTTTTGCTTTTGTTTTCGTTTACAGGTGACTGTTTGGCTAAGAGACGAAATGATGAGCATCGAGACTCTGTTGGATGAATTCAAGTTGAAGACGGCCAACTTTCTCTGAGACCCTAGGGGTTTATGTTTTCTTTGTGTCTAGTGATCATAAGGATTTGGGTTGATAATAAGAACTGAGAATTCATAAAACCATTTTGACAATCTAGATTTATATTTAAACACTCTTAATTAGCAAACAAAAACCCTAACAAAACCAGGTAACGATAAAACAAATTTTTAACACTGAGGAAGATCATGAGGAGGACGAAGCAGAGTTTGTGAAGGAAGAGGTCCATTTTTAACGATAAACCCCATAGCTAATCCCCACGAGGTATGTTGTTCTAGATGACAGTGAATAAACCAAACTCCTGGATTATCCGCATTTATCCTAATCGCCGCCCATCCTCCCGTCGGCACCGCAAAAGTATTTCTCTCCGGCGGATCTACCAAGTTGTACCTTTTCGGATCCTTTTCCGGGTCAAAATTCCCAAATCCTCTTCCCACTACGAAGAAATTGTGTCCGTGTACATGTAACGGATGGTTCTCGATGTTTAAGAAACTCGTTCCTTGAAACACGATCTCTAATCTCGATCCGAATTCGACTTCGAATAGCTTCGTCCCGAATTCGGTGTTCATGTTTTCCGATACCGGATCTACTCCCGTGAAATCGAATCTGTTCGGTGGTTTCTCTGGGAAATCGAGCGAGAAAACTCCTTTACTCTGTTTCTTATAGTAGCTCTCGAGGATCGAGATCGGAGGTCTGATGAATGAGATGTTGTTCATTGATGCGAAGAATCTTTTCCCGGCGTAACCTTCGCAGGTCTGATTTGGCGGACAATCCTGGAGATTGAGACTTATCGTGGTGATCACTCGCTTGTCGATCTTCGTCGGGACTTTACATGGATACTTCGCTGATCCGAGACTCTTGATGCTATCGGAGAATTTCGTCGCGAATTTCGTATCCAGCATATTCGGAAGAGCTGCGACTGTCGACATTGCCGTTAATCGCCGTCTCCGCCGTGTATTTTCGGAATTTTCCGGTTTGCTTTTGTCGCTGTATCGGAGGAACCCGAAGGCGGTTGAGTTGTTGAAGGGGAAGACGGAAGTGACGTAAGGAGTTGCGGCGATGATAAATTCGCCGCCGGAGAGTTGGTCGGCGCGGAGAAGAAGGGTGGTGGTTTGACCTGGAGCGATCATGATTGCTTTGGTATGAACCGGTTTGGTGTAAACCGCGTCGACCTCGACTACGGTTAGCGTGTGATTCGCTACAGCCAAGAAGAGCTCGTTGTTTAGAGCTGCGTTGATTATGCGGAGGATGTAGGTTTTTCCGGCGTCTACGTTCGCCGTGAAAGTATCTGCACACGATCATAATAAGTGAGAAACGAACCAAATTGGACCGGAATTGAACCGATCCGGATTAGAATTTAAATCGTCGGTTTAAGGAAAATAAATTGGACCTTTGGTAGAACAAGGATAAAGTGGGCCGGGAAGCCCGTTAAGGGTGTAAGCGTCGGAAACGTTAGCCCCAGCTCCGGTCTTCATCATCTCTTTCTCAACCATGTCCACGTCATCATTCCACCATTCACCTACATCATCCAATTCACATTTTCTATTTTACATCGTGCAATAAAAGTTATAAAACTAGTTTAAAATGATATAGGCACTTTTTTGTCGTGGGCTTGGTGTTTTTTTAACATATATACGATGGAGGATTTGAACCAGCTTAGTTTTAAGATCGCATCATTTTGATTCTAAATTTCAGATATTGATATATACACTATGTTTTGAACGGAAATGAAAAAAGAAGTTATATTTTGTACCAAGTATAATGGGAATTTCGGATTGGATGTGGCTGCCGGAAAAGGGATAAGGCTGCCGCGGATAGATGATGAAAGCGCCGTAGACGGAGGCTCGTTGCCATGAGTGATGAGCATGCCAAAGGAGTGTGCCTCTTTGATCTTCCACTTTGAATCTATATGTATATGATTGTTTTGATCTTATTGGACATTGTGTTATGTAAGCCGGTCCATCAGCCCAACCGGTTCGGTATTGCCTTAACCCATGCCTGTTCACAAACCCCAAATTCAACCGATAAATAAACTCACAGAAAAGTAAAAACAATTTTAAAAGTGGATGAATTATGCATGCACGAGAATTGTTACCAATGAATAGTTGTATTTTGAGCAATCCGGTTAGTCACTTTGATTTCTACGGTGTCACCTTCGTGTACTGCCACGGTCGGCCCTGGATATTGTCCGTTTACCGTTAAAAGTTGTTTCGTGTGGCACAATCGAGTTACCTTCTTCCATTCGACCTAAAACCCCAAGAAACCAAAAAAGTTTACCGTATATCATATTGAAACTACCACGTTAAAAGATTGTATACACTACGATTGATAAAGATTGTATATACTATGATTGATAAGCAATAAAATCTTGAATATGCACAAATGATGTATAATTTTTCCAAATCTTTAGTATGATCATATCATAAAAATATAGTTGTAGGTATCGGTAAGTCTGCCTAAAAATGCTTACATTAAAGTGAAATCGACGGGTGGTTGAAGCGGAAGAATAAGGGAGAAGAGTTGCAAATATAAGCAAAAAGGTCGAAATTATTAGAAACCCTAAATTCTCCATTTGCTTTATAGAATTCTTTCTTTTACTTAGCTATGATTATTGATCAAGTTTGCTATTGTGAAGGTTCCTTTATATAGGAGGATCACATTGCGTTTCCTTTCTAGTTTAAACCTTATTTATATACATAATTCTGTTAAAGTACCTATATTTTAACAAGTTTTAAGAAACCCCCCAGACGATCCCAAAAAATGCCTTGCAAGAAAGAAGAAAAAGGAGATAGACTATTTTACTGGTGAATTTTCTTACATTATTGGATCGGTAGGTGAGTGTACCAAGTACGAAAAAGTGGATTTCAAATCTCTCATATAGACTCATCTCAAATGGATTTTAATCAACTGCTTCTAAATAATATAGCATCACTAATTAAAACGAGTATTATCATCTCAAATGGACTTAATCGACTGCTTCGAACATCTTTAGTTTTTTTTCTTTTCATATCAACATCTTTAGTCTTATATGAATCTATCTAGTATCTATTACGATTTAGTTATTGCCCTCATGATCCCTAAAACCACGTGACTTTCTGAAACATCACCAATTGACCATATACTAGTCACTCATCTTACAAAAGCTAGCTAACTCCCCTCTTGTTTTTATATATATTGTATATGTATACTTTTTCTTTCTATAATTCTATATTTCTCTTCTCGACCGATTTCATACCTCAGCTACCTCTTTTCACCCAATCAATCTCATTTTCACCAAACTTCCCTCGATTTAAAACAACTTGCTCATTTATATAAACACCTCAATTCCTCCTTTTTCATATTTGAGTCTATTTGATAAGTTGATTAAAATAGGTTTGATATCTTCGTCATGGTCGTCGACTAAATATATATGTATATACATATACGTATATCATTTATAAAATTGTTCTAATAAAAAATGTATAGCACATTAGCACTAACAAATCTTAGACGTAAATATATAACAACACCAGCTATATATATATATATATATATAATTCGATAGTAACTTCTCAGTTAATTAAATTGAATATACAGACTGAAGATAATTTAGTTCAGAACCTTATTTCTTTTAATTAATATTATATTTTATTCATCTTCCTTCTCGGAAGAGACATCGTTGAAACATTACAATAGCAACTATATATTAACTCCTGAATGGTTAAAAAATAATTTTAGTTTTCGATATATATTTGTTTTAACAATAAGTGGAAGATACTATCCACGGTTGTTACGCCTTCTGAAAAAGAAGCACATGCATGTAAAATTGTTTACGTAAAAAGTTATGTCTACTTTATTGAGGATTTGTGTAAAATTGTTTACGTAAAAAGTTATGTCTACTTTATTGAGGATTTGTGGGGTAAATTTAATCTCTCACATGTAAAACGTGTATGATATATAAGTCTAAATTCCCCCTTTTTTTTAACGTTTTTTATATTGATTGAAAAGTATTTACAAACTCAGAAAATAAACCCAAATTGGCAAATTCTCTTTTATTATATTTGGGTTCAAGCGTCATCTAAGCCAATTTGTTTTTTTTTTTTTGATAAATGGCTTTTAAAATTTTGTGAGAGTTTGTTTGGTGCATTAGGTTACCATATAACAAAAAAAAAAGAAAAAAAAAGAAAAAAAAAAGAAGAAAAACTACATGCTATATATATATATATACTAGGATATGACCCACGGTATACCGCGGGTTAATTATTTGATTTTTTTTTATCTTTTTATAAATTGATAAATTTATTGTGTATAATATTTTTTGTTGTACACCGCGGGTCACATGCGTTGTATATAAAAAATAAAATTTTTATGTTGTATTTGTTTTGTTTACTGTTTAAGATTGTATAATTAAATTTTGATTTATTAATTCTAGGATTTCACCCGTGGTATATTGTCCCATATTAATATCGACACAAACCCGTCTTACCATATACTCCTGTCCTGTGGAATTAAATATCATTTTGTTATTTTTGTTAATAATACTTTTATTTAAAAGACATATAATTCGAGTCAATTTAAAAGTTTACTTTCAAATGGTTTCAATAATATATATATATATATTTTTAAATTAGTATGTATTTTTGGACCAACCCGTAAAAATAATTTTATAATTGTATCTTAAAATACTAAATAATTGTATTTTGATTTGTTAATTTTAGGATCTCACCCGTGGTATACTGTCTCGTTTTAGATAATTGTAAAAATTAAGAAAAGATCTGAATGACTCAATTTCGGGTCAAAATAAAAAAACGACCTAATTAAATGTGCAATTTGTTCTTAAAAAAAATGTTAATATAGATTACACACATACTTTTTTTCTTCATCGATTGATTAATATATGTCTGTTTTATAAATTTTGAATCATAACATATGTAGAAAAAAAACTAAAATTTATTAAATATATATATATATATTTTATAATAATTCAAAATAATATAAATATAAGATCAAATAAAAGTGAAATGAAAAAAAATATTTATGTTTAAATTAGGTAGAGAGGTTTTAGGAAATTAGCTCAAATTTGTTATATTAGCATTAAAT